TGATCCACATTCTCCACCTGGACGCAACAATCGTGTCAGCACTACGCGTAACGCTAAAGGCTCCAAGATCAAAAACATGATAGGTCGTATTTTTTCTCGCTCCTCCGCTTCCCAGGACCAAACTCCTCGCCCACATGGGGTTTCCCTTGTAGACGTCTTTGCAACACGAGGCAAATACGTAAGCTTTGCTGATTTTTTGACATCCATCTAGTGACGTTGATATTGTCTTGCAGCGCACCGCTAATGCCCACAGTGGGAAAAGGCATAAGTTGTTGCAGCTACAACGTCCTCCTCGCCGGCAAGCCCTCGCCGGTGGCTCAAGCAGCACCACGCCACCAGCGAAGACATCCAATGTGGTCAATGAAACTGCGCCAGCAACGTTGCAGACTGGAAGTGCCAACGCTTCTGCTACAACTAACCACCCGTCTCCGTTGGACATTGAACATGTTCCAGACATTGGCTGCTTTGCTGTTCTTACAAGGTGCTTCCCGTGTCTTTCACAAACTCGACCGATAAGTCCTGCTGCTCCGCGCACCGACTAAGTGGCCTTTCCCTTCCGAATTTTTTCACTGGTGAAGATATCACCCACATACAAAGCATTTGAAGATACGTATGTAATTTGATGTTGCTCACAAAAGACATTGCTTATTATCTGACTAGTACTTCGTTCCCATGGTGTCACATCACGAGCATGTCAACCTAGTGTACTGCAACGAATGGGGCATATCAAATTGTTGATGCTATCCAGTTTAATATCCTTGTACAAGAGGTTGTTATTGAAGGCCCTCAGATTGGGGTAGGTACGACACCTGACTTGAAGAACTTGGTCAGAATCATCTCCACGTTGGATACTTCCGTCCTGCGACCAATGACAGTCTAACGGAAACCAGATTGGGCAGCATATGTGCACCACCGATTCATGCGTCTGAATCCTCTCGCTCGTCGTCTCTTTCAATGGCTCCGAGCCTTCGAATTCATCGCCACTACATCGGACGACAAGACTGTCTGAACTGTGAAGCGCAAAACACACTAGCAAATTAAACACGCGCTTGGATGATATTCATCATAGTGACTCACTTGTTCTAGCAATCGGGTTGATAGTTACTGCTCTCCAAATTGAACCATGCTCTCGACGTAGGAATACAAAGTAAGCCCCGGATGACTCGTGCGACAACATGAAGATAATTAACTCATTTTCCAGATCTGCGTCAGCCATTATGTCAGAGTGGAAGATGACATTCGACGAATCGTTCATGCTCGCCTGGAAAACGCCCCACTTCATCTATTCAACACCTCTACTGGGCATTTACGCAATCGAGATACACAGATCAACACGTTGGAAAGCACAGAGTACAATGGAGATCTTAACATCATCGATGGCGCATGCGCCCCTTCAGATGGAGCCCATCGATATAGAAATGGTGGAAAAATACTTCAGCTAGGTTGTGTTATCGAATAGGCAGAAAACAAGGAGCTGCTGCTGTATGTCATCCAGGACAAAGCCATGTATAATCTGGAATTATGATCAAGTTCCAGTCATTCTGGAATTTTCCTGGAATCTGGGTATCGGCTGAGTGTGGAGCGATACTTGTTGCATCGACCAGAATAACAACGTTGAGCTCAAACGATCGGTCAACTCCATGTTTGCCTAGTATCGCTATTCAGCTCTTACGATCACATCTTCTTGCCGAAAGTCGGGCGCATCCGCAAACCGCGTGTAGAACACGTGAGGATGGACTGTTCAGGGATTTCTGGCTCCTCTCTTCTACCAATATATCTCGATGACTACTCTCCCAACCACAAGAAGTCTGCCACTATGATGCTGGAGTTGAAAAAATCGACAGGCATGAATGCGGAGGTTGTCGCACACGTCTGTGCATGGCAGGTGCGTCAGAGAAACTGCAATGGGCGTTGACGCGTGTCACCATGATGTGGCAGGAGAACATTGCATGCTCATTACTTGGCATCTTTGATGTCCACCTACCTGCCATCTATGAGGAGCAAAATGCTCTCAGGTGGTTCTCGCAGGAAATTATAGCTCAGTTTGGCGATATAACCACCCTGGATTGGGTCGGAAGATCATCCAAGTTTAATAGCTGTTCTGCCAGCCGATATTACCTCGTACGAAGCTCTCCCATGCACAGCACCATCTCTATCTGAAGATGAGATGCAGATTTTCATATTCTTGTGCGAAATGCCGCAGTTGTGGAGCGTGCTTTAAGGCTGTACACACAGCTTGACAGGATCAGTGCTCCTTGTTTCGACGATCACAAACTGTATCTCTTCCTTGCATCACATTTCACTGATGATGTCAAGGCAGCAGAGGCTCGGCGGCAGAGCTTCAAGACCTGTTCATCGCCGCTGAAGATCAGGTGATCAAATACTCGTCCATCCCATTGAATCATTATGACCTTGGGTTGCATGACTTCGCAGACAATACAGATAGCCTGGGAATTTTTGAAACCCCGAGTTCCCATCGCTAGTGGGCCTTTTGGAGAGCATCAGTTGTTGATTCAGCCTGAGAGTCTCGTTTGCGAGCTCTGAGGTTGAGTGTTCGCTTTGGACAGCCTTTTGGTGCAGTCCTGCAAGCACGGCAGCGTGGTAGGAATTATAAAAGAATTGCTTTGGAGCGCAGTATCATCATATGGGTAAAGGACATGGTTGCTATTCGAGACATGATGGATGTCAAGACACTAGATATTGCAATTGTGTGTATGCATCTCCAAGAGCAGAACGTTTGACGTGTTTTCATTCATACCTTGATTCGCTGCATCAATTGACAAGATTTATTTTGTATCATATGTACTGTATGCTTATAACTTATGAAAGGAAATTGAACGTTGAACAATGTCCTTATAACGATAAAAGGGGTTTTCCTTTTTGGTCATCGGATGGACGTGAGATTTCCTTCCGTAGTCATTACATACTTCCGCAAACCATTCAGCAAACAGTCGGACCTGGTCACATATTCATGATTTCTGTTAGTCGTTTTCAACACTTGCATCGACAGTGCTAAGCGTTACGTCTAGGCATTCTTCATATTCAATCAGAAGGGAGAGGTGCGCTTGGTTGTCTTATCATTGCCTTCTCTTTCTAACGACTCGGAATTCGTGGCGCCAAGGTTCTCATATCCAGACTGTATCGGACAGACTTCAAGTGGGATCATTTTCTATTCACGCCGTACTCGTCTTATACATTATAGGCGATCCATCGCAGACGTATTCCGGATACAAGTAGTATCTAACAGTGATGTACGATCTCCCATCATAACGTTGGGCTCGACCAGTTTCTTTCATGTGCGGGTGAACAACCTCTACGTTGTCTGCGTGACAAAGTGTGTCCAATACCTCTAGCTATCTTTATTGCGCTAATCATCAGCTCAGGACAAACGCAAACGCCGCCCTCGTCTTTGAATTTTGCTACCGTTTCATTAGTATCGCCAAATCATATTTTGGAAAAGTAGACGAGGAATCAGTCAAGAACAACTTCGTGTTAATATATGAATTAATTGATGGTAAGGTGGTTTTATTTGTCTGGATGGTGCTTCACCAATGATGCTCTACAGAAATCAGTGACTACGGATACCCTCAGAACAGCGAGATCGACACCCTCAAATCTTATATCACCACAGAAAGCGTAATATCTTCCGCTATAGCAGCTGTTTGCATTTTCCTTTGCTGGTTGATCGACATTCAGCTGATGGGACTTTAGGAGGAGTCCTCAAAAATCACTACACAAGCTACAGGAGCGACAAGTTGGCGACGTGGGGATGTGAAGTACAAGAAGAATGAAGCGTTTGTAGACGTGGTGGAGACTGTCAATCTAAGCATGAGTGCAAAAGGTGATGATGACTTCCTCTTATGCATCGTGCGCAATGTTCATGATTGTTCTCTAGGGACTGTCCTTCGTGCCGATGTGGATGGGCATATCCAAATGCGCGCGTATCTGTCTGGGACGCCAGAATGTAAATTCGGTCTCAATGACAAGCTCGTCATCGATAAGAACAGCCAAGGCGGTGCAAGCGACGCAGTAGAGCTGGATGACTGTCATTTCCATCAGTGTGTCCGGCTTAATGAATTCGACTCAACCCGCACGATAAGCTTTGTTCCTCCCGATGGCGAATTTGAGCTGATGAGGCGAGTCATTTCTATACTTCTCAGTTTCACAACCAACCACTGAAAAAAAACGTTATACAGGTACCGCTCGACGTCAAATGTTAAGTTGCCTTTGCGAGTGATCCCTACGGTAAATGAGATTGGAACCACACAAGTATCGTACAACATTTCCGTGAAAGCCAGTTTTGGGAACAAGTTGTCTGCCACCAACGTGGTTTTACGGATACCGACACCATTGAACACGACCGGCGTGGACTGCAAAGTTGCAAATGGCAAGGCTAAGTATGTACCTGCCGAAAACGTGGTTGTGTGGAAGTATGTCACCTGGTCCACTTGAGATGACTTCTGCTTATATTGCGTCTAGGATTCCGCGAATTCAGGGTGGACAGGAGTGCACCTTCAACGCGACTGCTGGTCTTACTAGCACTACCACTCGGCAAGTTTGGGCTCGGCCACCTATTGACGTTGACTTTGAAGTTTTGATGCTCACCGCATCTGGTCTGATCGTTCGGTTTCTCAAAGTCTTTGAGAAAAGCAATTATCACAGCATCAAGTGGGTGCGCTACCTCACCAAAGCGAGCGGGAGTTATCAGATTCGGGTAAGTGGTTAAGCTATCCGATTCATGACAGATCGCGTGCTGACAACTGGTGAAGTTTTGATGCGATCATTATCCCTTACATTTGTTGACTTATATACTACAACCTTGGACAATCGTGTTAATCACATACCAACTGATGGACTTTGGGTCCCTTCTGAAATTTTAACTACATGTTGTCGGGACTTGTGTTTGGAGTACCAATCTTAGTAACAACTATACACAGGCCCCGACAGTCTACGCTCACCTCAGCTCTATTCCTCAGTTTCAACAACATCGTTCCGCTTCCATGTTCTGGAGGTAAATTTTTTCCCTTTCCACATATTGTGGGGTTTAAATACATTGTGAACTCTATTCTTGAGTAGATTCGGATTTCACAACACATCCTCCATCGACAGTCTACTGGACAAGGATGATGTTTCATTAGAGGCAATTCTAGACGAAGACGATCTACTACAGGAATGCAAGTCACAGAACACGCGGCTCATCGACTACTTTCAGCGTGTAGACGTCCTGAAAAGACTTCTGGGGTATGTGACTGGTCAGATTCCAGGCGAAGAGGAACGAGGACGGTTCAAGTAAGCCTTATCTCCGGTACTCTGCCTCATGGGCATTGCCACTAATCAATTCTAGGTATCCGTATGTCGCTACAGAAGTTCTCTGCAGTGAAATATGGTCGATAGTGGAAACCTGCGTCAATTCGTCAGACCAGCTGCTGACACCGTTCTGGGAAACGGTTCTGGACAAGTCGCCTGAAGAGATGAAGACAGAGATGGTCATGGCTTCTCACTTTGCCAAGATTAATGCTGTCTTTCTCACCAAGAAGCCGGCGGAGGTGAATACCTATCTTTTCACCGCCGTCCTCTGACAAACCCAGAGCTATGTGCTCAGATGCTCGCCTTCATCCAATCCCAACCATTTGTTGTGGAGCGCCTCTTGCGACACGTCGAGACGCCATCTGTAGTTGACCTTATTGTCCGCATCATTCAGCTGGACGAAGTCCCAGGTGGTGCAGGGGTTCTTGAAGTATGCTCTTATATGCAGCATTCTGCGTGGCAGCTTACCCAGTATCGCAATTCAGTGGCTTTCGTCGGAGAACCTCATGGGCAGATTGGTTGAGCTGCTTTCCCCGGCGCACACCAGCGACATGCACACAGTGGTTTCAGAATTGATCAAGGGGATACTTTCCATGGCTACTGCGTCACCTGCACCGGGACTTACGGATGGTCTGCAGAATGGAGTTGCTTCAAATCTTTTCTCCAGGGAGCTGGCGCGGCCCGAGAGCGTTTCAACATTAACCGATTACATATTAAGCGATTTCAGTCCATTAGCCGAAGCTGAAGGCCAGAAAGCGATCCATGATGATGATTCTACTGATCATTGTAGTTCCTCCACCCCAGAGCTCCCAAATCTCGACACCTCCCTTTCTTCTGTTGTCCACTCGATATCTGTGGTCATTGAACTTATTCGGAAAAACAATTCAGATTATTTCGAACCATACCTCTTTCATACCCTGCGAAATCGGCTAATTCATATTCAACAACAGCTGGCAGGGGCTGAAAACGGGCGCGCGAAGCTTGAGGAGTCCATGAAGGAGATGTCGGACAGAATGGGCGTGGTTCACCTGGGCCCTTTGCTAGATATTATGGGCGAACGACTCGCGACCTTCGAGAAATATCTTCGTCGACCACGATCTTTGGTGAGTCTGTCGGTTATCACTCGAATTCTCGATATAACCTTTCCCCCTTAGCAAGGTCCCATACCCACAACTGTAGGTGTGATCATGCCCCTCACCTTCGAGCGATTTCGGATATGCGAGTTGTATGCTGAACTCCTGCATTGCTCCAATATGGCCATATTAAACCGTCCCGGGGAGTATAGCGATCTTTATGACAAGCAAGGTCGATTACAAGGCGGGCTATCATCTCTGGAGCATCTTGCTCGTGTAATTGCAATTGGTTCCGGAGATGAAAGAGACCAGGACACAATGGACGATAACCATGACGACGTGGAGCCCGCATTGGAATTGCCTGTCACCAACCGATCACGAGGTTCCTCGCTATTAGATTCGGATGAAGACATGAGCGATGATGAACCTGGCAGCTCGGATGACGATGTCCTGGAGGAGATTATGATGGATGATCCTCCGAAGCTGCAACATTCACCGTCAGAAGATCTTCAGCCACAGGAACCTCCAATAATCGTCCCTTCCTCGCTCAATGCAGCGTCATTACCTCCACCTGCCGAGATTGCGGCTCAAGGTACTGCAAAACGGACTTCCAGCATGTCTAGTAGTAGTGATAGCACCGCAAAATCTCCCTCCATACGTTCGCGCAGAAGCTCCAAGCGGGTGGTTAGCACTGATACCGTGCCAGGTCTCTCGATAGGGGAGAAAACAAAAATGCGCTTCTTGGAGGCCAACGTTTTGAGCACCTTATTGGTGAGCTGCCATTTTTCCGTACTGGTACTGCACTCACACGTCTGATCAGGACCTCTTCTTCGAATTTCCTTGGAATAACTTTTTGCACAATACCGTTTATGATTTCATCCATCAAATCCTCACAGGCAGGACTGATGGAGGACTGAACAAAGAATTGTCGATCTCTCTCTTCCGAGATGCACACATCATGCAGCGCATCATCGATGGTCAAAAGCGAAATGATGCAGAAAGGTACCACACTTCATCTCACCGTTGCATGATCTCAATTATATTCCTTCAGCTCAAAAGCAAAAGGTGTTCGGCTTGGGTACATGGGCCATCTGACGCAAGTGGCGGAGGATGTTATTGGAGCTCTTGAGCATTATCCACCCAACCTCCGGTTAATCATTGAACAGTATGCACCACAGCCTGCTTGGCAGGAGTACGTGACGGGTCGTTTCAATGAGACCAAGAAACGGGATACCAGCCTCCTTGGCGGAGGGAGGCCTACCGTTACCTCAAATTCACGTGCTGGTGGTAGATGGACGGTTGACGAGGAAGATAGTGGCTCATCGTTGAGTGCAGCTGCGACTACAGGTCCTGGAACTACTGGTGAATTTAGGAGATCTGTGACCACAAGACCATCAAGAGCAACGACTGCTGACTTTGGTCCTGCGCCGATGGACGACGAGGACGACGACCATAGCGCTGGACCTCCACAAGTATGTCCTATTTTATTTGGAAACTGAGTATTTGTTCACATTTGCATTTGTCCAGTTTGCTCGCTACTTGGCTCAAGAGATGCATTCGAGGGAACAGTTTCACTCATCATCTGATGCTTCGGATGAAGACGAAGATGAAGACGGCGGATGGTTGGCTCAATCGACATTTGATTTAGGCAGACCACCCCTTCGGAGAAATACTGGAAACCAACAAGAAATTTCTTCAAATGGTTTTGACGTAGGTACATCCCCACCGTGTCGTTTCCCTGAAGTAATTCGGCCCCCCAGGATGCATTCAATCCTGGCCCCTGCGGCGCTTTGAGGGAGGCGCTTGCTGATGATCCTTTCGGGGTCAAATATGAGGACGTGAATAATTCTACTTCTCTCTCGTTGAGCTCTATTGACAGATTCATTCTAGGACGATGGTTTCGGCCCATTTTCCGATGCAGCAGCAACCTCCCCAGATCACTTCAATTTTTCGTCCTCGATTTCATCGTCTTTCTCATCTGATGACTCCTTTGACTTTGGAGATTTCCAGGGCTCAGACGACAGCATCCATGACGGTGAGCTTACCCCGACTGCTGGGAGCTGGACTTTGGCAAGCGGTTCAGAATCAGAAGGGGACGAGTTCGGCCACCCTGGAAACGGCTCGAATGGAATGCATCCGATATCGTTGGATGATTTGAATGGTCGACTGGAGTCCGATAAAAGTAAGGACTGGAGTTAAAAACGGTGTTGATAGCGTATTGTGTGCATTATCTTAGGTGATGCTCTACTGTTCATGTGTACATATCACAGCACATATTTCTTATATTCATTGTCTCGTTTGGTGTATGTTAAAGGATAGTTATGGCGTGAACTGATACCCTCCACTCCTCGACTCTGCTGTGAAATTCAGCTCGGCGAGTACTTTACCAGTCGGGTCAGCAAGAACGCATTCAATACTGTCACCTGGATTGACAGGACCAACACCGGAAGGAGTTCCGGTGAGGATGAGATCACCCTCCTGTACATTTGAGTGAATAAATTAGTAGTGCGGACACGATTATCCTGACGAACCTCCAATGTCACGATGGAAGAGATATGTTCGATAAGTCGCGGGATGCGGAAAATCATGTCCCCAGTCGTACCATTCTGCTTGATCGCACCATTGATCTAGCGTGCAAAGAATCACGTCAAGAGAAGCTCCCATTCAATAATTGAGACACACCTTCAGGGAGAGTGTGAGGTCATGAGCATCCGAAACGGCTGACTTGGGGATAAAAGACCTGATGACAGGTTCAAGACATATCGACATAACATGTTCTCATGACACACCCAATGGGAGTGAATGTATCAAAGCCTTTCACAGCAGACCAAGGCAGACCTTTCTTCTTCACCTCGTCCTGCATGTTTCGTGCGGTCATGTCAACGGCCAGAGCTATGTGTCCTAATAAGCATTCAAGCCAATTCACAAAGCATTTTGCTCACCGTAGCCCGCAATGTGAGACTCGGCTGCATCCTGGGAAATGTCCCGACCGCCTTTCCCGATTACGAGGCCAAGTTCAACTGCGCTGGAATTCATAGGACTATTACAAGAGCATGATATCGAAGCGGACCTTCATGGTGTGCTATGATGCCGCGTGGAATCTCAACCTTTCCCCCAGTAGGGAGGTAGCTCGTCGTAGGCTTGAGAAAGAAGAAAGGTTCTTTCGTCTTGGCATTGTTGAGCTCCTTGATGTGGTCAGAGTAGTTTCTGCCAATGGCAACGATCTTATTTCAGAATAAGAATATGTTGGTCGCGTAACGATGTTTGAATTTCACCTTTTTCCCCTGCCTTACGAACTGAGCTGCTGCAGACATGGTGAGCACAAGATAAGCGAGCGGAACACCGCGTGGAGGTTATGGCGGTCACGTGAGATAATTATCAACTATACTTGTACACTATTGGCGTTGTACTATGACCTGGCAGCTTTAAAAGGTTCCGTTATCCATTGGGTGGGCTTCTGTTGCAAATGAAGCCTATCATATCGAATGAGATCCGATATTCGTGCAACTGTGATCAGTGAACATTCCGCGCTACAACGCAAGAAACACTGTGCTGCCCTTTGCTGGTACATAATTCATTCATACTAGATTGAATAAGTTAAACATGGATTTGTCATGGATTGATCGGGCTTGGTCGGATTTGCCCGATTTAGGTCTCGGCCGACTAACCGAGTCGAGTCACTCTTAGCACTCCAAGACTTCGAAAATTGTTTGTTTCAGAGCAATTTCAAAGCAACGCTTTCTCTTTTCTGTCTTGCTCCCGTCGTTGTACTCAACGACAATCATGTCGCTCCCTGTTACATTTCGTGTATGCAATGCACCGAAATCTACTGCAAAGGTCTCATTCTCCCGCTCCCGCTCAACTGTCGCATCGTCTTCGATTGTCGACGCAAAAGCTAGAATAAGAGATGCTAGAATGATCAGTAGATCATCAATTCGAGATGCTACTGCGGTTCCTTCTGCGTGCGTGTCTTTCATGTATCTTTTCTTATCTCAAGTCATCTGATAGTATCTATTCGCAGTCGACCCTCCCCAGTTCCTGGATTTCAGCAGCTGCCGCAGAAAAACAATATTCCATTTGACTTGGAGTCGCATACCAACACACCTCTAGATCATTCCTTTGTTGGTATGTCAGGTGGTCAGATTTTCCACGAGATGATGCTTCGCCATGGGGTGAAGCATGTTTTTGGTTATCCCGGCGGGGCTATTCTTCCTGTCTTCGATGCCATTCACAACTCTAAACATTTCGAATTCGTTCTTCCTCGCCATGAGCAAGGCGCTGGGCATATGGCAGAAGGTTATGCCCGCGTATCAGCAAAGCCTGGTGTCGTCCTGGTGACTTCTGGTCCAGGCGCAACCAATGTCGTTACGGCAATGCAAGACGCGCTTTCTGATGGCGTGCCTCTCGTTGTTTTCTGCGGCCAGGTAGCAACCTCGGCTATCGGGTCTGACGCGTTCCAAGAAGCCGACGTTATTGGTATTTCACGCAGCTGTACCAAGTGGAACGTGATGGTCAAGGACATAGCAGAACTGCCAAGGCGCATCAACGAAGCATTCAAAATTGCAACTTCTGGCCGTCCTGGACCTGTGTTGGTCGATTTACCCAAGGATGTCACCGCTGGGATTCTTCGCACACCATTGCCATACAAAGCGACCACTCCAGGCTCCCACACCCTGCCTGCGAATCCTATGCAACCTGTCTCTTCTCTAACCGACATGGTGTTGATCCAGCAAGCTGCCAACCTCATCAACCAATCGCAACGACCTATTATTTACGCTGGGAATGGTGTCCTCTCATCACCTTTGGGACCTAAATTACTTGCGCAATTGGCTAAGGAGGGTAACATTCCCGTAACGACTACTCTGCAAGGCCTTGGTGCCTATGACGAGACGGATGAGAGAAGTTTACATATGCTTGGCATGCACGGATCTGCGTATGCAAATTTGGCAATGCAACAAGCAGACGTTATTATTGCTTTGGGTGCACGATTTGATGACCGTGTCACGGGCAAGGTTGATACTTTCGCACCTGCTGCCCGGGCTGCTGCCTCGCAAGGCCGCGGAGGTATCATCCACTTTGAGATCCAGCCGAAGAACATCAACAAAGTTGTCAATGCTTCCATCCCCGTCCTCGGCGACGTTGTTTCCAACATGGCTGCGCTCGTCCCCTTGATCCGATCATCACCACGCACACAGTGGTTCGGTGACATCCGGGAGTGGAAACAGAAGTACCCCTTCACATACGTCCCTTCAAAATCTGGTGCACGAAGCAAGCCACAGGAAGTTATTGAGGAGTTGGACCGGCAGACGGCCCACAAGAAGGACGATGTTATCATAACTACTGGTGTTGGTCAACATCAAATGTGGGCGGCCCAACACTTCCGATGGAAGACGCCTCTGTCGATGGTCACTTCTGGTGGTCTTGGAGTGAGCTACCGCGTTTTTCCACGGGATACCGGACGTTGACAATTTTGCAGACCATGGGTTTTGGCCTTCCCGCTGCCGTTGGTGCTAAAGTGGCCGCGCCTAACAAAACTGTTATTGACATCGATGGCGACGCATCATTTAGCATGACTGCTATGGAACTCGCCACTGCCTCACAGTACAATATTGGTGTCAAAGTCCTCATCCTTAACAACGAATTCCAGGGTATGGTTTTGCAATGGCAGGGTTGGTCGATCCCACTTTCAATATATGGATAGTTCTCACGAGAAATCTAGATCTATTCTATGATTCCAGGTACTCGCACACTCGGATGACGAACCCCGACTTTGTTCTGCTGGCTAAAGCCATGCACGTGCACGCGATTCGATGCGAATCTACGGCAGACCTTCCTGCAAAAATGAAAGAGTTCCTAGAATACGACGGCTCGAAACCCATTTTGCTTGAGTGTATGGTCGAAACCGACGAGCACGTGTACCCGATGGTGCGTTTAGAGAGGCCAGTTCATCTTTCGGTCGGGTAAACTAACTGTTACTACCAGGTCCCCGCGGGGAAGGCGTTGCATGAGCAGGTGCTCCACCCTCTCCTGAGGCCAAAAGAAAAATCCGACGCATGATCTAATTTTCATTATCTTTGATCTATATGCATATTATTCTACTTCTATCTCTTCGCGCACATCAGATTCACAACATACCGTTTTCACTGTGTACTAACATTCATTGGGTCGACCATCTTTTATTGACACGAACCACATTTATCTACGATGTTTTTGAAATTGCAAAAGGGATGTTGAATCCCATGGGGATGTTGGGGTTCTGTATGGTTACTCCAAATAAACAACAGAAATAGTGTTACTGGTGCATGTGCATGTGCGCCCAAGAATAGCGTTTGCGCTATATCATTACTTGGCTTCTCCCGACGAGATCGAATGTGGAGCTACTATTAGCCAGGTTCAAATCAGCACTGCGTAACTGTCATACAAGATCGGGAATATCTGTTCATAAGCAGTGCGTGCAGGTGCCCGGTGATCCAGTTTTGCATGCGATCAGTATGGGACATGGGCGTAGTGGGGCTCGGGACGTCAAGATACGACTGCTTGGCAGACTTCATCTGCTGAGTTGGTAGCGCTGTTCGTGAGATGGTCAGGGCAGACCAAGTGGGGAGGTTCAAGATTCAAAATAGCAGTTCGTTTCTTCCCGTGCCCAAGGCTAGTCGTGTACTAACGCGATACGGCCAGAATCAGCCAAGAGGGTGCAATATCAAGCAGCGAGCTCATCTCGGGCTAGCCAAGGCCGTGTTAGCACGCTGTACTTGGGAAGATGTTACCCCTGTCCCGATTCATTCATCGACGAGTCTGAGCTGAGAAGCATCAAAGCATAATCAGTTTATACGCGATGGATGATGAGTCTCACATGCCTGGTAGAATTTACCCAAGAATCACAACGACGCTTGTGAGATGATCAAGGCACAATATTCAGTCGAGAGAGTGTTTACGCACCCCTAAGTGTGACATGATAGATGGGAACACAGGTCCAGGTGTACATATAGGCACAGGCCCGGGTCCGAGCTCAGACGATGAACAGGCAGAAACCTCATGCAGCGGATGAGTAAATGATACGGACAGATGCATTGCGCCGTTGGAAATGCTTTCAGGGAACTGGAGCTGGATCGAATGAAAACGGGCATAGCTCATTAGTTTCGACCAATGATATCTGACTCCGACTGAGATGCTGGCCGGCCTGTGGAAAAGGCCTTAGATCACGCCGTTGTGGGTCCGTTTGGCGTGAGCTATGGAGCTGTGGGAAATGAATGGCGAATTGTGTTGCCCCTCAAACCAATTGAGCTGTCATATGATCCTCCGCTCGAGACTGTGAGCGATAAGACCGCAGTAAGCATAAATACTATGGTTTGATTGACATTCGTTGGGCTAGGACGGATTCATCAGTTCCTGTAAACCTTGCAGCACAGCAAGGAATTCCCACTCACTGCTGGATCTCCTGATGGGGATACGATGCTTGAGGATGCCCTTCAGGGAATCATTGCGCATGCAAACCATGATGTGTATCCTGAAGCATTGCTGAGGCACGAACCCTTTTTTTGCGAAGTAATAATATGCATGTCACGCAAGAGACTCGGACCCCTCGGGCAACGCGTTCCTTATCAACCTCGAAAGCGCCACTTGAAGTGGCAAAACGCTAATTTGTGTGTCAATATAATACGGCAGTATTCACCAAACCTTGAATGGCTGATGCTGAACCTACATAACACGCCGATGGAGTTTGATGTTTTACGTTTGCCCCTTTGCCGTGACAGATTGCCTCGCCTTGAGTGATGTCGGGAATGCGCTTGTTTCGAAGCGGGGAGCATAGCTAGTAGACGCCCGTTCGACTCCCGCGAGTGGCTTGGCTCCATGATCCTCTTAGCGCCTCGAAGCGAGAATTGCGGTATGATAAAGCGAGCGGGATTAGAAGCAGACCTCTTGACGTAAGTAAGAATAGGCGATGCGGACCGGTGTTATTCGAAGATTACGGACAAACTTGTTTGAGTTGTCCCGGAAGGAGCGTCGTCGACAATTGTACAGTAAGAGCGTTGAAACATTCTCAGCGTTCTCGAACTCCAAGAGGAATGAGCGGCGTTACGCTACCATTTCGCTATTGGTGGCGATATCATGAATGAGCCCTATCATTTTTAAGAACGAAACCCGACTCGGAAATCGGCAGACGAGCATACCACGGGTTCAGGCTTCGCAAATGCGAAAAAGTCAGGCCACATCAGGTGAAATCTAGTGAGGTTGATCAGTTCATCGATCGTTGCTGATCAGGACGGTAATACGTACGATGGACTCTTACTGCGTGCACAGACTCGGATGCAGGAAAATGTGTTCAATCAATCATAGACGTTACACACAACCCATCAAACACACTGTCCGATACGGTATGCCAACTGGAGCTGTGTGTATTCCGCCAATAAATCCCGTCCAATTCTTATTATCCCCGTCGGGGATTCAAGGGGTTCCGGATGCATTCGGCGCAAGTATTAATATCATACGAAGCGATTAGATCTGCATTGCCGGAATGCAAGAGCGCGCAAGGTGAGCATGCGAATGAATGTGAGTACCAACTTGAAACGAGAATACCGGCCTTGAATTGATACGCTGGTGGATCCATGAATTCAAGGGCATCCCTGTGGCAATGGACCTTGTGAATCACTGTTTAGCGTACAGGGGCATTCATATGGCGGCCTCGGATAGGAATACCACGCATAGTCGCCGTACTGATGGAAGGCATCGTCTGGCACCATCGCTTGGGATATGATCACGGAAAACATCAAATAGTGGGAAAATGACGATAGGACTCAGATACGACTTCAGGTAAACACATGAATCAGGGCAATACCACGATCTTTGGGAGTACTCCATCAACATTCACAACGCGGCACTGTGCTGCTATCCCAGCCACTTTCGTCGACCGCGAATAATCCACAGCGGCACCGCCCAGCCTGAAGATTACAAGAGTCAGATGAAAGAGGTGGATCACAAGGCGACGGGCGCAGCAATGACCAATATCTCACGTTTTGCCTTTCATTGTGAGTGTTGAAAATGACTCTAAAATGAGATTATCACAAGGAGATGGCCGGATGATATGAATAAAACGTGCCAATAGATGTCTTCTAACACACGACGAGCGTTCAGTATGGAGTTTCATATGGGTCAACGGTCCTCGTTGGAAATCCAGAACCGCGAGGATCCATCGTGTTGAGGTAAAGATAATGCGCGGAGGTTCGAAGATGAGATTATCAGTGTGGGATCAGTAATCGCCCATTGGTGAGGAATGTGCATGTTGAGTTGACAAAGGCGTTCTGATTACCAACGTAGGTAATGCGTTGGTCATCGTCAGGTTATCGATCATTATAAGATAATCGGCGTCATTCGATGATGACTGCGCACAATAATAGCTTACCAGTAGCGAAAATTGGATGACCTCGGGCTGGAGCTAATCGATCAGCCCGACGGTGACGGTCCAGATTCCGGCAGCTTGAGGTACAGATCGATAACAGTCTGGACTCCATCGACGTATATGTAGATCGTTGTTGATCAAGCCGGACCTCGATGTAATCACACCAGGCAAATCCGTGAAGGGCGCTGAATCTGTTATCCATTTCGCTTGTTACCGTGGGCCACGAGATAGAGACGGCGACTAGATGTGGTAATTGATGACCGGGAGACTTTTGTTTGAATTGTACTTCAGGGGTTTGGAGCTCCATTCGGAGAGAGGGGGACGCCATCTAGAACTCTGGAAAGCGGTAAGCGGTAAGCGGATAGGATGGGGAAACCGAAGAAGCGGGTGTGGAGCATATTAACAGAGTGGTTCGAAATGAGCCGAGGGGAAAGGGGTGTACTGGAACATCCGTTTAAGTCTCAGTCGGCCTTTAAGAACCAAGCGAAGGTTTTGTGTGTGCGTAGTTAGTGGCAGCTGACCATGATTCCTAGGGAGATAAGATAACAACAAAATCAGTTACCCTACTCTGACGGGATCAGGACAATAGCCAGACCCACGATGCATAATAACCGGTTCCTGGGGAAAGAGATGAAAACGCCATATACGTGGTATCAAAGGATATCAGTCAGCATCATACAAGATCGTGCCAAGCATACAACGTGTTTACTGGTGGTGTATGCATCTTGTGACCATATCAATGCATCGATGGCAGGACAAAGGCCATATGGCCTGCTGTATCAGTACTGGTTGGCCAAGGCCGGCTGTACACGACCAAATCAAGGCCATCCAATAATAAGCGCTCCCTTCATGGCCAAAAGGGATAAAAGCAAAGGCACATATTTAATGCGGCATGACATGATGTGATCAAAACGAGAGAACTTCGTGACTACAACGAGGGAATGGCCCCAGGTAATGGCGTGGCACTACAAGCTGTACACGTAGGTGATGTCAATTCTACAAAGAAGTAACCAGGGTATCTCTTCCATTCCATGGGTATGGGTAGTCACTGGCTGGTCTGAAGTTATCTGGATTGGGCCCATGTTCCGTGGGGCCCTCTGCCCTCCACGCCCACCGTTGGGAGAGAAAAAGGGAACTTGGGATACGACTCGCTGGTAGAGTACATGTGTGTGGATAAATTTGCCACACAAGCTAATTGAAGGCTTACGATAAACCCCGTGAGGGAGAATGGGGATATTTCTGGCCAAAAGATCGTCTATCCAAGGCCAATGCGGAGTATGCGGCCATTGACGCCCATTTTAGCCTGTGATATGAATAAACAGAGAAAGGTCCGGTCAACTAAGAACAGAAGATGTGCTAAATAGGTGGGTTCGGGATGTGGTTGGATGTAATTTGTCACAGGAAGATGGCAGCTGGTTGACACGAGGGCGGCGGCACGGTGTGGCAGCTCGCCAATAAGGCTCAAAGGGTCACAAAGCAATCTATAGAACACACGCATAAGGTGCTATAATGGGGTCTACTGCGACGGCGGTTTGGCCTTGCGAAACTCGGCGGGGATCACTGTTATATGAAACTAGACGCATCTCAAACCACACAAAATTATGGTTTAGATATGCCGATATTACAACGCACGAACAGAGACTGGCCTAGACGAGACTCATGGCCTGAGGCCACGGTCCGATTCCCCTTTCGAGGCCTGAAACTGTCTTCGGGTAGGATGGTGAACCGGGAGCTTAATGTGAATGTTCTACCGGTGAGATCGAAATACTAGGCGCTCTCGATAGTCGGTGAATGATTATGACCGAACTGATTGGTGATATCATGCGATGACTCGCAATGTATGGAGACGATATGATACGTGGTTCACGTGGATATACCTGATATAGACCGGCGGCATGCGCGGAAGAAGCCGGGATAAAGGGGAAAAGGTTGAGTCAGCAGTCGAGTACTTGAGTCAGCTGCGGTGCTTGCGGATGCAGTGTGAGTCATTTGGCCCGGCTTGGTCGGTATTGCACAGCAAAGTCGTGCCAACCTCGAGTATAATATTCTGATTGCGATAATCTACATAATAATATAATAATAATTCTTAACAGAAACTCGAGGCAAGAACGTGGAACGAGAGGGCATTTCCTGATAAAGACTTACTTTGAGGCGATAAAGAAAAAAAGGACAATTCTTGGCGCAATCGCCGCATATCTCAGATTGACCCAAATCGGATGACTTGACATGGCATCACCCCATAATCGGATATTATTTCCTAATCTGGATTTCAAGGTGCACGATTACGCGGTTTGTCTTGGGTTGCCGGATTTACAGCTCACCTTTGTCACTGCGTATATAAACATCCTCCTGTCCTCCCATCATGTCCGTGTATCCCTCCCCCTTAACCTGTACGATATCAAGTCCTTCATATATCGGCTTAAACTTGGGATCTACTATATAATCCTCCAATTCGCTTTTCGACCCTTGAATTTTTTTTTCTCGGTGACGGCCCGCCGTGCTTCTAATTTTCAAGTAGCCCGCCTTCCCTGCCCACAAATCTGGCTATAGTCTATCCGACCCGAATAACAACATTTCGCGCCATACATATAGCGCACCTTTCCAAGAACCTTTTTATAGTTGTGCGGACATGCCCCGCATAATCACCAGTACTACTCAATTCGATCCAACGTCGACCATGGCATCCTATGACTCTGCATCCACATCACACAGTGTACCATCTCCACCAATTGAAAGACACCGTCTCAGACGTAAACGTTCTCCTTCCCCATCCTCGCAGCACTTCAGCGTGAATCCATTTGCTGCACATCGCACATATTCCCCCTCAACCCGCGCTTCTGACATCGCGCGCCTTCTTGACCCATCATATGCATCGCCGTCACATCAAACATCATTCAAGGCACTAGGCTCACGAACTGCTATCAGGGAGGTTTATGTTGATCACCACGGTGACCTGCATGATCCTGATTTCCGTGACTTCCCCACTTTTGGCCATGCGCATTCTAAACCGAGTTTGGGGCGGATATATTCGGACGAGAGTGATGCAGAGGAAGATGAGGAGATCTGCCAGAGACGGGCATCTATGGAGAAGCAACGGAGGCGGCCATCCACTACCACTTACTATGCTTCCCCTGCCTACTACCCCTACGACGAGCCTTCGTCGTATGAGTCAAGAAATTTGGTTGAAGTCGAAGATGAAGATGAGCAGCTAGATCATCAAGAACACGCACCTCTCAGGGAGAAGTACTTCACTTCGCGATCAAAATCTCCTCAGAAACATTCTCAGACTGAGAAGGAGACATATCCTGAGAACCCTCATATCGAGGCGCCCCAACCTCTTGCACCTGACAGTGACTGGACGTGAGTTATATTCCCAACTGAATCGCGTCTCAATAGCTGACAATGTACTTGTAGACCTACGTGTGGACATGCTATTCGCCGTCAGTGGCACGCCTTCACACTGAGCCTGCGCTTTAGTCTATTCCGGACGAAGCGTAGAATTCAGCGGAGAATGTCGGGCTAAATGCGCCACCGATGTTATCATACCCCTCGCGCCAGCAAATGTCTATGCTTTCTTCCTTTTGAGCGCATGTCGCCGAGGGTCGCAACTTTGCATACCCCCCAATACCCAGCGGGACACGTCGTGCCTAGCACCTGTCCATGCGCACATATTATTGTTCAACACGACGTCGCATTTCTCAACTTCGCTTTTTGGCGGCGCTTTCTTGCAAGCGCGACTCCACTCGCGCAATCTTCACATTCACATTCGCATTTGCATCCCTCGGCATTTTCTTATTTTCGCATCGTTTTCAATTTTGCTTTCGCACGCGCAATGGACATCTATGCAACAGTCATGCATTCACATTTCTATTCATTGTTACGGACCGGATATGTATTGATCTATCTACGTCCCCCGGTGGGATTTTCCTGGGAGTTATGGGGATCCGATAAGTGGAGCAGAGGGAAGGACAGAAGGAGAGCGAAGGAGTCGCAATTAGTGGAACGAAGAAGGAGTAGCATACGTAGTTTGGAGGAGACACGATTGAATGACAACGAAATGACCGCATCTTCCCTTCGGGATCAGATTGAGTGCTCCGTCGGCCTAGCCCGGTATTTTCCGTACTTTTGACAGGTCATCACCGTCTCATGCCGCCTCATGCCTTTCTCTTTCAGCGGACCTCTGGTGTCACGCCGCACATAGTTGGCTGAGTACCCTGTGCTCCAATCATAAGTTCCTTATCTCTCTCGATTAGACAAAACTGCCATTCTCTCATGCATGAGTACCAATACTGCTTGTGGACCGTAAAGGGTGGGCGCCCTTCCAACTTGCCAGATTTGTACGCGTTATCCTGTTCTCTCACCAGATTTGTCTATATTGCAGCATCGTACTGTGTGGCCACCCATCCTGCATACCACGGGAATGGGAGACCCGATCCGATGTGGCGTAGTGCTAGCAGTCTTATCGTTCCGTCAAGACTCGTCGCTTCATCAAGCGAAGTTTTTTTTTTCTGCGCTAAACCAGACACGACTGGAATGGAAGCCTTCGTCCCCGACGTGGCGTGGGCATTCGGTCCTTGACCCGTCCTCGACTCCTTATCCAGCTCCAAAAAATGAACGTAAAACAAAGAGTCGGAAGGCGCGTGGTCTCTTGTTCCTATCACGACGCGTTCGTTCCGGCGGGATTGCGTACTGATGTCGTCTCGACTACCCCACACGCGTCACCCCTGTGGGATAAACCCTCAAACGTTGCGCTCTCGATTCCGGCCAATTCTTCCGATTGTCCGTGATTTACATTCCCATTTGGACACGTTACCTCTCAGTTATCCAACTATCCACTGCTTATACATGCATATTGTGTCATCGCTCCGTCGCCTAGGCCTTTAACCGTCTCTTGCACACGTCAGCCCTCGACGTAACATCACCGCAACAGTTTTGGCTGTTCCAATCCATGCTGTCATTCTGCCTGACGCGTGACTCTGTACTACTATTCAATCTTCAGACGTATTTGGATCAGTAAATCCAGGGTCGAGCCCACACGCCCTCTGCAACGCGTTCGGTCTTTTGCTTGATCAGTTATCTGCAGCTCAAACAATGCTGCGCATCCTATTTTATGTGGTAAGTGATAGCTCTTTTCTGTATCCGGCTCATTCGCCAGATGCAGTCTGATCGGCGTCCATCAGTCCTCACTCGAAAGGCGAGTTTTTAGCAGCGCTTCTGACTTCCCCGCGAGTTTTTTGCATTGCATTCTTACTCTTCATTCTGGTGAGTTTAAAACTGCTCTGTAGAGCGCTCCCGAGCCGGAACCTGATAAGATAACACACTATTCGTCAGATTATTCTCTTCGCTATCTATCCGAGAGAGCCTGCTTTCTTGCTTCATCGTTTATCCGTTTTATATGGGATCCGCTCTTCAGCTTAGCCGAGCCGCACCGCGGGAGCAATACCCGTCCTCCATCGCCCAAGTTGGTACAGGAAACGGTAGTTCCATCTAGCGAGGAAGCGAAGAAGTCCTCTTGTTATGAGCACCTCACGGTATCAGCGAGGCGTGGAGCTTTCCCTGCTCAGCATAGGAATGCTGTGTTCCTGTATTGAATTTAGAGACTGGAGGCTTAATGAACCTGCCAGAGCGGAGTACTGAAGCCACTTTACTTCCGTGACGGATTAAGCATCTATCGCAGCATGGGCAATACAATTGATTCGACACAAGGCTTGCACTGCAGGCTTGTGCCACTCCGCCACTGTATGGCTTGGCTCTCAATATTGTCGAAGAAAGGCATCAAATGGACGGTGTTGTTGACATTCCTCAGATTCGCCCTTCACCATATCACATGCTTTGTCTTCTCCCCTCCTTTGTTCTAGATCATCCATGCAACCTCGGTGAGTCTAATGACCTGCGCTTCTGCCCGCAATCTCATCGATTTCCCTTTGCCCAGCGATTATCTCTTGTGTCTTGAAGACGTTTGACACTCTCCTATCTATTTCATTTCGCTAGATCCCGAATCAGTGTGCCTTTGTATATGCCTATACCAGCTTATACCTCTGATTTAAGCGGATCATCCTTTTCCTTTCGGGTCTATCAAATTCGATCGCACAAACGTTGGCATCTCCTCCTGAGATATGACTGGGGGAGAGCTTCATCCAAGACAGACCAACAACGCATGTATCTCATCGAAGACTTCATTCAGTCCCACTCATCTCATTTCGACGAATAGCCAATCTCGTACGATCGCGGGGCGACTCTCAACTTGATGAAGTACTGTTCATTTATGATGAGTGGCTGAGTGAATCCGCGGACATCGTGATAACTTCATGGCCAAGGCGCTCGACGAAGATAGACTTATGGACCTATCTTGTTAATTTTGTTTCATTCGTTCCATTCTATCACAATTCTTCCCGCGTTGCTTTCGCAGTACGTGATACTCGTCGAGGTTTTACTGCATTGGGATTACCGCAGAGACGCTCGTCCACGTGTGGATATTATGAGAAGATCAGAACCATCTTCTGATCAGTAATTTATAATAAAAAAGTTACATATGTGGTACATAGTTTCGATCTGTTAATATTCAAGGCTCTGCATACTAACCCATGCTAGGCCAGGCTGGCCTGGCCACACAATGCCAACTTGTGGTACGCAGCATCTACTTATAGGGCGTGCTGCTGGTTTCAAGCCAATTACGAGTTCCCATACACGCCCTTCTTTACACCGCCATACCATGGAAGAGCCATGGATCAAGCCTTCAACTTGTAACACTCACGCCTGCATGCAACCCTAGAATGCCATATCGGCAAACAATTGGCCTGGCTGAAAATATGCCTTGCGCATCAAAAGGGTCCTGCCAAACTTCCAAACAACACCCCAATCATGTAACGCTTGCCAGCGTTCTTTCCCGTGAAGGCACACACTAGTTTCGTAATCCTGGCCAATGTGTGGGGTAGTATGAACCCGAAGAAGACACGCGCTGTAATCACGCTGCGTTGTTTTTCCGACTTGTGGTACGACATTGTCTTTGTTTGATCCGTTTGTGGTAACCCCGTAGGTTACGGATTTGGTTGGATGCGCACATGATGGCTTCCTTGTGGTCGGTGCTAGCACCGCGGTGATCAGCATCAAGGGATTACGAACCGCGGACGGAAAGAAGTCATTTCCTTTTGACTTAAAGCAATGTATGCGTAGCTGCCTCCTAGCCGAAGGACAATGGACAAAGGTCAGTGGCGGGTTCGCAGATGCAAGTGGCACAACGGCGTGTGTTCAATGCATCGTTGATGCAATCAGACCTTGTTCGTCAAGTCAGACTCGATGCATGTAAGTGAATGATGTCTTCAGACTCACCGTCTAGATAACCCCTAAAGCTGGCATGCTCGATACGAGCTGTGTATGTTACACCTTTTTTACATTGGACGAAACCCTTTTGACAGCAGCGATCAGGAAACGGGATTCTGATGTGCTGCGTGGCGCAGGGTTCAGACCTACCAGCCCTGATCAGTGTCACAGAAGCACGGCACGACCAACAGACGGTGTTATCTGTCAACGAGTGTTTTGCGGCGTTTTCCAACACTTCGTATTCGCTGAGGAGCTGCGAGACGGAAGACGAGATAAGTCAACTATATCATGCGTAAGGAGATCAACAAAACATAGACATGGTGATAATCGCAATGAAAAGTTGTGTTGGATAGACTGTGTATACCGAGGATACTCTCGAATGTCATCCATCTAGGGTTCCAATTGAACCTGATTGAAGACTTGTTGTCTGCAGACACTTGTGGGTAAATTATGTCGTGACGGTGATAAAGTGAAAACACCCACTCATGTTCGCGAAGTCACTGTGAAAACAGAAATGCAGACTGCTTCAGGTTATCTATCACGCTGCCCAGGATGCTGTTGTGAATCCCAGTTCTGTGAAGGAAGGTTAAACTTGAAGTATTCGTCGGGCACCCAGCCATCATCATTACTTAAAACCTGCGCGAGAGGAAAATCGACGATAGTGTATGACCTGCGTGAACGCAATTCAATAGAGAGTGTGAATGTTATGACAGTACTGACAGAGGGTGCGAGATTGGATGATGCCGATATGGGTCGAGACTGATGAATTGTAAATAGGAGTTCGATAATGATTTGACACTTACGTTCTCCATGGGAACTACATCTGAATGCAGTGATGATTCGAAAGAGGAGCAGCGGGGCAGTAAGGAATTAGCTGGGGACTACAGGGCGATTGTCTAGTCAACTTCGAAAGGAAATAAGGAACAACAAATATAAATGGTTAACACGAAGGTCGTGGTCACAAACAAGAACCGCATCTGTGGGGTAAAGGGCAAGAGGGCAGGTAGCAAAGAAAAGCGGGTTATTATGGGTCCATTATAGGAGAAAGTGAACATGACTAAAGGCGAAAACATCATAGGCAATATCGCTGGATCACGGCGCAAGGAAGCAGCGCGAGGTGTCGGGGCAGGCTGAATACCGAGTAAGGCATGTATTTCAGACGTACCGTCTTGCAAGAGAATGTTGACACATCTATGAATGTGCACACTGGGCTGTGGCTCTTGTGCAGGTTAGATGCTAACAAAATTGTGAAATGCTGCATATGTAGGTGTTCAGCTCATATCCGGTTGAGAAGCCACTATTGGCATGAGTCAGGTGAGAGTAGGGCAGGATGGGAATCTAAACATCAAACCCTTCGCAACAGAGCTCTCGGACAGTGAGGCTCCAGCATCAGCGCATCGAACTCATATATCATTTTGGCACTACCGTGCCTGAAGCTGGTCAGAATGGTCAGGTTGTCCAGAACACTGTTGTATGTCTGCAACTCACCGCAAAGTCTCCCACACCCCATAATAACTTCAGATACTTCCGAGGCATTACCAACACGGTAGCACCTGACTTCACAGTGAGTTTATTCGAGTGATGAGAAAATACCGTCCCAAATAACCACTGTCGAATGAACCACGATCTATCATGTGTCAAGATTCCATATCTTCGTACCATCTGGCGACTTGTTCGTGGCAAGGCACATGCTGTCCGGATCTGCGGAGATGTCAGTCATGAAGAGACTGCTCATAAAATAGTTTCGTGATCCCAGTCATCCTTGCAAGTTTTGAGCTCTGCGGGACGACTCTCCATTAGCAGTGACAACTCAGTACCCATTGGCCATCCCTCAAAACTACATATACTCCCTGCTCACGCCCCTTCATTCTACTGCAAGGTCCTATCGCCAAGCGGTCTTACCCCGAAGGCCGATCATTAACTGCAATCCCCGAAAGTAGGTCCTGAACCCTTGGGCCTAATGAATTCATCATGACCCTGGAAGGTCTCTACTGGTGTCATTATCAATTTGGCAGTTAGGAAAGTTGGCAAATACGGGGATGTTTATATTGAACGCGTTCAAAATAGGCGGTGAGCTCTCTTGGATTGCAATAGGCCAGATATTGACAAAACCAATGATTTCAAATGGGCATTTGGGCTGCAGCACGTTATCTGGTGGAGCCAATTGCTAGCCCATCGGCGCTCGAAGTTTTGATCGACCAAGCCTTAGTAGGCGGCCGGACAGCAAGGAAGCGAAGATTTCAATTTTGTGACTGCAAATTTTGTTTTCTCGGCGGGCGTCTGAGGAGGTTCGACTTTTGGCCGACTTGGTGAGGCGGCTGCGGCTGCTAATGGTGGCAGCAACATCTACCATCGACACTGCATGGACCCGGCCCCCCTTAGACTCTGAGATCCGAATGCCCAACCACGGGCCACCCCCAGTGGAACCCCTTCGTCTGCCTAGCGACCATGACATTCCTCGGTGCGCAAGTTTCTCGCGTCTTCAGCCGTACAGTGTTGCAAGAATAGCAGGCGCTATAGAACTTCAAGTTAGCCTCCATGATCGACCTAGTACACTCTGCACAAGTTTGCACGCCCGAGAAAAGGAGTGATCCGGGCGGAGTGACGGTCATCCGGGCCGCTTCACTATAATTACATCAATACCACACTTCCACACAGTTTTACAACTACTAAATGTATTGTCGACATCAGGCTATAGCTAGCCTTCAATATGGGAAAAAACTTCATAAAACTACGGTGAGGTATATGTAATCTCTCGTAGTTAGTCCTTGATAGAAGGAAGACAGTTCATCCTCAGAGGCGAGCTAAGTGTGCTCGAAGATGAGACATTCCCTTCATGATTCTTAGATGAAGCGTCATAAAATGTATGCATTCGGTATCTCTCGGAAAATATAGATAGGGTTTCAGCTCTTTGGCTATTGGCGTACTAGAGTACGAGCCGACTCGTGGTTCATGCTTCTCAACAAACAGTGCCCGAGAGAACACTGTGCGTGTATAGTCAAACAAAAAGGCTATGAGCTCGGCTGCTTCCTGATGCGCATGTACTGTAGGTGTCAACTCGACAATAATGGGTACGAGGCTTGGAGGTGGCCCTTGTTCTGTAAATATGTTGTGAGCTACAATAGAAGGGGCTCGTCAAAGACATCTCTTACCCGAGGTATGAACCTTGGCCTTGTCCTGGAAAAAGATACTTGATCGACATTGGATACAGTATTCATGACAAGTGTAGGCAAATGCAAATTTATGATTCAGCTTGGGGGTTTTGGGTCAGTACTTGGGTGTCTACAAGAGACCATATTGTTGAAGAAAAGCTCACATGGCAGATGCAACAACTTGAATGTGCTAGTATGGAATGGTTCGAAAGTCTGAAGGTATGGATTTTCTTTGCTGTCTTTTTATGCATTTGAAGAAGGTCATGCAAGTGACCATCCCGATAAGGCTCGGCGCTCAGCGCTCAGGCTTATCACACAGCCTGGTTTCTACTTGGAATCTGGGAAGGGGTTCAAGGTAACAAGGCTGGCGCTCGGCGAACAGCGTACCGGTGAGTTTTTCCTGGCGATTATGCTGATTGCGGTGCATTTACCTGGTCATATGTTCTGTGACAAAATCCTTTAATATCTTCTTCTCACCGGTTCTCTGATGCGGCGGCAGTGGGGGCCCTGACAGGACGGCGCTAGAGATCTCTTACCTACCCCGCTCACAGCTTCGCCAAGGAAGTGCATCTGATGGAAAGTTTCGTTGCAGTTTCGATTTATAGCCTCATAAAGCTATCCACAAGATACGCTGCCACAGATTTATCTACCTGCAGGCTAGTGTGTGAACTAGTGGTACACCTTCCTAGGATGATCTGGCTGGCTACGCGGCCAAATGCATTACTCGCTCTTTGCAAGACGAAGTAGTATCTTTACACAGACGCATGCGTGTTGTTGGGGATCCAGATTTCCTGTTCAAATACTTGTGTCATTTGCACATTGGAGTGGTGGTATACTACCTCACATTTGGTGGCCTTTGCTGTACTATCATGATGGCGATGCAGTTGATAATCCAGTCGCAAAGGATGACAACAATAACACGGACCCATTTTATTGATTGAGCACCTTGCGGTCCTAATTCAATAGGTGACACAGCCTAAGGCTCAAATAGTGCCTACTAGTAGGTCTTCAAGTTGTATTGCCGAGGCTCGACACATCATGATGCTGTCGGGTCTGGTGCATTCCTGCGAGAGACACGGATAATTTGATGCAAATACACAGACACGGTGACGCGGCGGCTCGATCGGGTCCCAGAGCGTTAACGTTTGGCTACGATTGAGAAGCAGTCTGTAGATCTATCACAGAAGACGACGAGGAGAATGGCACCGAATAGTATACTGGCGGTAATATCCAAATATAGCAAAAGTTTCCTACGGATACGCAAGTCATCTTGGACCAGGTTTTTAACACAGGGCAAGAGCTGCCACATAGCTCCCGGGGAGACTCGCTCACCAATTCTGCATACTACGACTAACAAGCAGACGTGGTCTGGCGATGGCAAAGTCTTTTGCTCAGTACGCCTCTCAATTTTTGACCCAGCAGCATAATCCAGCATCGAGTCTGTCCTCTTCGCAGCCTTTATTCTTTTCATTCACAACCGACGAAGGGTCTCGTGCAGGTGATGATCATGATACAGAGGTTGACGACGTTGACGACCCTCATCTGCGTGTAAGCAGACTGTCAAGTCGCGGAAATTTTAGGAGTCGAGCACATGATATAGATGATGAAGACCCATATCTACGCCTCGACGAAGGGGATGATAACCTGCCAGGGGCCTCTCATCATACTTCTCAGTCAATTCCTTTGATGGCTTCCGACTATGGCCAAGCTGAGTCCCAAGACTATCCAAAGGGCTGGCTTGCCCACCAGGCATCTCCTCCTCGAAGAATTCGCTCGCCTTTACCGTCCCTTTCATCCTCATCTCTTGGTTCACCTGAACCTACAATCGACTCACCGAGACCCATGCCCAATCGCTCTGCTAGACCACAGCATCCTCCGCCTCCACCTTCACGAGCTCGCGAGCCTGTTTCCTTATCTCTGACTGAGTCACTTCTGCCGAGGGATGGCACCACACGCCCCATCGACGTATTCTCTTTACCAGATCCGCGGCATATCACTCGGGCTCGACGGAAGTTTAATGATTCGCACTGGACCATATTTTGGTGTACAGGTGTTTCTGTATGCGTCTTCTTTTCCATTCTACTGCTATTCTTTGGCAAGACTCGCAAGGACGACGGACGGGGGGTTTCGCTCCCATACACAACGCTGCTGCATACAGTACCCCTGCTTACCATATTGACATTTCTGAGCGCTCTTATGGCATATGTCCACGTTTTCCTCCTCCGCATATTTGTTCGTCCAGTCATGATCGCGACATCAGTATTCATACCAGCTACACTTTTTATCTCTGCTATATGGGCATTCGTTGGTAGTTTCATGTGGGATGGAGACCAGGAACCGACTTGGGGTGAGACAGTCGGGTGAGCACTCTTTTCGTCTGTTTTGACCGCGGAAGCTCATTAGGGTATCCAGTCTTCGACTATTCTCACTTGTACCCCTCGTTCTCTCTGTCATCACTGCCAGAGGCCTAGTGAATTTACCCCGAGAAATCCATTCAACTTCTTCTATCCTCGATCTTACCACACGGCTTCTCATTGCAAATCCTTTCCTTCTCGCTCTCTCTCCCGCGATGCTTCTTACGATGCTGGTTGCATCTATACCATTCATTACCGTGATATTCCGACTCCTTTTGATTGGTTATGTCTATGAACCCAATGGGACACTAGAAGGGCATGTTCAAGGGTGGGCGAACTGGGCAATATTTGGTGTAGTTGGTGTGTGGTTTTGGAGCTGGGGCATCGCGAAGGGGATGCTGCGTACGACTTGTGCAGGTGTTATTGGTGCTTGGTACTTTGCCGAGTAAGCGTTTTTTTTTTCAGTTTTTATCTCGTTTACTCATGACCTCAGCCCTGATGTTCCAATTCCACTGCCAAGCGATAGTCACATCATTCATGCTGCTCTCTTGCGGGCTGCATATCCCTCTCTCGGATCGATTGTCCTCAGCGCGCTCATTCTCACGGGTATCCGATTGCTAGGACTTCTCATCCTGGCCCTACGTTGGCTTCCGCTCTATCTACCGCTTGCACTGCGTCCATGGTGTCAGCCTATAATATTTGGTTCAGGTATGGCAGTCTCATACCTAGAGAGCGTTACCACATCCTTGAGCAAGTATGCCCTCGTATATACTGGGTTGACCGGAGACCCCTTCTTTGTGAGCGCAAGGAGGGCCCGGGCTCTCACTGCTGCCGTTGAGACTACTAGCGCTGGTCGGTACCGCAAGAAATTCAAGACTGAGCGTGCGTAATATCTTTGTTTCGCAGAGTCATAGCTGACATGCCATTCAGCACCATTACGGATGCTTACCTATGCACCATTAACGCCCACATTTCCCTTCGCACTTGTGACGTATCTTTTTGTCGCACACACGTTAGGCGCACCTGATTATGCCTTGGGAGCCTCGTTACTTGCTGGTGGTGTCACCGCACTCGTGGGCTTGTTTTGCATAGGACTAGTCAAGGATGTGTATGTTATGATCAACCAGCACAACATTCTCGTGCTAATCATTGCCACACTAGTGCTGATACACTGTATCTATGTTACTGCATCGACAAGGATGTGGGTGAGAGACACAGGGAGGAAGTATTTGCTGCTGTGAGTGTATTTTGGATCGGCTTTGGAACATCACTTACAATTCACACTCAGCTCGAATACGAGATACAGCCTCGGACCGCAGCTCGATCACAACCTCAGACTGCAACTCCACCACAACTGCAAGCTCAGCCGCGTTCGTCGTTATCAGGTCGGCCTGAACAGGCATCTCCGACTAGGGCACAGCGTCCAACAGTCATCTCTCCTCCGCGATCCGACTCACCGCGCGTACCTCAACAATTTACCCCTCCCTCTCCGAAACCTGTTCCACGCCCTATTCAACCTGCTCAACCTGTCCAGCCGATACAGCCAACCATCCCAGATGCAGATATTGATCCTTTCGAACACGAACCTATAGGGTTTGATGCACCTGCAGCGCAAACTCGTGGGTACGATCTCTCCCCCGAACCTGGTCGTGCGTCAGTGGACGACGAGAGCCTTGACGAAGACGACGAGCACGGCGAAGAGTCACAGCTTTTCCCAGGGTCAGGGCTTTTCTAACACGAGTACTTAGAACTGGGCAATTGAGCTTGTTTATAATCACACTAATCTGCGATGATGGTGACATCTTAGGATAGATTAATCCCATTATGCTGTATATTTGCATGTCTTGTTTTTGTATTTAATATATTTCCATCTACATATTCATGGTTCTTGACCAGGCCTGTAGATTGAGAAGATTTGCTGTGAGTCAGTATGGTTCGAAGTAGCTACATGGCCCAGCTAGTAGTACTGTCCTCGTTTCAAATCCCTCTGACCAGAGAGTCCCCTCGAACGTCCGCATGTTCACAGGTGAGATGCAGAACGCGTACTGCTACTGTTCCAAGTTCTCCCAGATTGGCGTTCCGAAACTTCCGATGTCTCCGACACACGTAGCTTATGACTCGGAGCACTGATTGTTTCAAAGCAACATCAACAACATCAAGCTTCGACGGTTCTGAGCGGTTCTATCAGGTAGCGCCCGATTCAAGGTTTACTACATCGACCAAGAAATGTCAGCAAATCAGTTCAAAGGTCCCTATGACCCTTCTATCATGGCTGAGTCCTATGCACAGTGGGAACAGTCGCTCGAAATCGAAATCCAACGGACTTTTGATACTGTCAACCGCGATGTCTTGGATGGTTATATGGCTAGAGATCTTGCCAGGCTCAAAGACCCCCAGGTGGATCCGGATTTCCTTTGTACATGGACTGTGCGTAGCGTCTGTGTCATAATCGTTTGAACTTAACTCCAACTGCTGGTTATTTCAGGGCATCCTCTGGGATAGGACCACATTGTCAAGGACTGCAATTGAAGTACAACGAGCACCCACCGGTTTTAACTTCCTGATCAAGACCTGCTTAAAGTACAACCTGGTCGAAGTCATGATTTTGATTACGTCGAGATATGGCACATTTAGGCTCGGCATGAAGAATGGACATGCTCTGGCCAGTTATTGTGGACTCGCAGTGCTGGACGACCTCTTGCACGTAGGGACAGATGTAGAAAGAAAATCAATTGCCGAGGAAATGATGAATCACAACATTGTAGACCTCTGCTTCAAGGTGAGGGCACATGCGATGTCGTTTGGGCGAAATCTGAAGGATGGAACATAGAACATAGATAGCTGGCTCTGTGCGCATCGCAGACTTGCTGCTTGTACCATTCGCTCTTTGGCTGGTCTAATTGGGGACAGGATTCCTGCGGATATGGTGGCGGATATCATTGCGAAGCTCTGTGTGTTTGTGCTTCAAGGACCCCGAATTTTTGTTGAACAGTTCTATGCTCCGGAGACAAAATGGCAAGGTGGAATAATTGTTTTAAGAGGGCAAAATGTAGGTCTTTTTGCTGCGGACATGTCCATGGAATTAACTCCATTTCCTCCTCACCTGTCTCAAAGGCTTCCGAAGCAGAGGTGGCTAAATGTGCTCTGCGATACTCAGGACTGGCTCATGACGATGCTCTCTGGGCTGCTCAAGGTCTTCTTTGTACCTACCCCATATTGCCCACCAAGTTTCGCCTTGAAATTCTCAAGAAAAGACCGCAAATTGTCGATTTGTTGTTTGATTGCGCGATCACGCCTCGACCAGCATGGTACCCTGAGCGGCAAAGTGACGCGGTTGCATGTGAAATCCTTGCACTTCTATTCCAATGGCCCCCTTACGTAGTACCCGGTGTGTCTTCGCCGTTGGACGGCTCATCGAGAACCCAGGAGTGGAAAGCTTTGTCTCAAGCCCTAAAGATTTTCACTGAAAGACAAGATTGGAGTGGGAAGCTAATTGAAGTCTGGATGAGCGTCGAAGAAGAGGATTGGCGCCATGTCGAGTCGTCAGTTCCTACTCTTGATTGCACTTTTGTCTCTAACCCTTTTGTTCACAGGTTGTTCAACAACGTCAAAAATTATGGAGCGAAAACTCTCCTTGGGAAAAGGACATTTCAACTTGCATTCGAATTACGAGGTATGGTAGCCGGGGTCAGAAGATGCTCTACTGCTGAGTTTTGTTTTGTTCAGGCATCAAACGGATCACAGTCCTGCGGTTGATTACTACATTGACTCATGCGGCAGACTCATGTGGAATTACCAACGCAGAGTTGGAGTCTCTCCTTCGTGTGGCCTACGTTGCATCGCAGAAAATAAAAGAAGCAGATCCGGAAAACGAAGAAGACCATCTGATGTATGCGGAGCGAACACAGGATATGTTCGCACTGCAAGTCGGCGACTCACATGCAGCTCCCCAGGTAGATTCCCCCTTGCAGATCGCAGAGGAAGTTGTCATGGGCCCTACAGCGCTCGCGCGATTGTTGGCCGTGCTCGCTCAACGGGGTGTTCTCGACTCAATCCAAGCTCTCAAGAAGGCACCGAATGGTCTCTCAACCGCAACCTCATTAGATCAAGTACAAATGATTACACATCCCGACATCATACGGAAATTCCTGCTAATCGCTTTCCGGCGTGTGGAGTCTCGTACAGAGTCTGGACGGAAGGTTACTCAATCAAATCCATATTACGCTCGGATGCACTTCGTGTCCTCTGCAGAACTTGCGGCCTCCTTAGTCTCGTTTGACAGGTATACGCGCGGAGAGTATGCTGAGGAAGTCAAGGGTGTTCGAAAGCAACTCGTCGTGGCCCTTGGGAATGCATCAGAGATGGCTATCCGCACTGGACAAAGTCAGATCGCCTTGAGCCTTGCACTCGGTGCGATAACAAGCGCAGAAAATATCCCCGAGTCAGAAGGTCTCGATGAAGCGGTAACCGCCAAGAACATACGACGGGCTGATCAAGCGAGAGCGGCACTTCGCCAAGGGTAGTTCTCCTCGCAGCTCTTCAATATTTTCCGCTTGATTACATGTGCTCTTCGTTATCAAAGTGTTCAGACTTAATTACTAGGGATCGGCGGTGCCGATTTCCACCTTGCTTGTTCGACTAGGGTTCGGCGTTGCCGACTTTCGCCTTGCTCCGTTGCATGTGGTGTTGTTTCCTTCTCAATGCTTTCGATTCGGCAGATAAACCATAGGCGAAGGTGCGTTCTAACACATGTGCTAGTTCTTCCAAGGTGTGAATGAAGATGACGTTAAAAAGAAAAGGGTAGTTTTATCTTGGATTCAATATTGTTGTATCCAGCCTGAGTATCACTTGTCACCAACATGACTGACAGTTTCATATAATATGTATCTTGACATCAGCTGTAGTTCTGAAAACGTAGTATGTTCACAATAAAATTACCTATGACTGGATAGTTTGCGAGGTTTTCTTTGATTCTTGATTCTTAGTTCATAGTTTGAGCGCTGAGCGCTGAGCCATCGATTAAGCTGAGCTTATGTGAGCGTCCCGAGGTGACATCGTGCTGTGACGAAAATGTCACGAACTGCAATGTCCTTTCTTGCACTTTCTCGGTCGTCCATTCGGCAAGCGTTCTCTCCGTGTCTTGCACGCGGCTATGCCGCAAAGAGCTCGAATACTGAACGGGTACTGAACGTAAGTGCAAAAGACACGTCGGCTGCTGAAGGTGAACATGCAGAGTTAGAAAACTACAGTGCTTCATATTAACACTTATTCCAGAAAAGACACTTTCGTCATGTCCACCAGGTACAATCCTGGAAGGATTGAATTATCTGAAAGGACAGCCTCCAGTAATAGCTCTACCTGATGACGAGTATCCTCCGTGGCTATGGGACCTTATGAAGCCGAAAGTATATGCAGATGACGGACCTGGAGGGAAGGCAGAGAAGAAACGGCTCAGAAGGGAGAATCAACAACGTATCAAAGACCAGAACTTCATGAAGACACAGTAATATAACGGTGAGCAATTTGGCTATTCGTACTTAACGCTCTCAGACACATTCCTAAAGATGACTCTGAGCGGCGAGAACTGGTTGCGCTAGATGGGGCCGTGTCAGTTGAGACGTGAGTTACCTTATTGGTACTGTGTCGAAATGTGCTGCTTCGTGTTGAAAATGATAATATTCGCATCTTTGAACACGTGCCTGGACGAACTGCGTATGCAGTGCTTCGTATCGCATTGCATCAAGTGCTTTAGGCCTCCCCTTGAAGCACACATACTTAACTGCAATGCTCGAAGCCACAACTTCAGTATCTTACACCAAGTAGTAAGAACAGAAGTTCGTTCCTTCTCAAGTTAAATGTCGTGACTAAATGAGAGCGGTAGATGTGTCATTTTACTTGAGACTTGATGTCGTGTTGGCACTCATGGTCTTGATTCCTCCTACATGCCAGTTTTCCAAACCTCTTGCTTTAAATTTACCTTTATTTCTTTCACATTTGCGCCTTGTAAATTTTTCGTCATAAGTATAAATGATAAACGATGTTTTATGATGAAGACTTTAGTAGTAACATCATAAATATTAATGTTTTTTTTGCGGCGAAAGCAAGAACTCCGAAATCTTCGATGGACTGGTGACCAGTTCGTTTTACCCGTGATATGTAACTCTTCAGCCCTCCTGCTTACAGCTCCAGAAATTCAAACCTATTATTCATGTGAAAGATCTCGTACCTCACCTTCATAACTAATGTTGCCAATCTCAAAGACGGTTCACTGAACACCGCCTACATACCAAGGCTTGGCAATGTCTGCAACGCTTGAGTTGGCGAGAATCATCAGCACACGGCCCATTAATTCTAAAGATGATAATCTCACCATCAAAAAAGTTCGTAAATTATCATGACACTCCTCACAACATCCACCACCATGCCTGTACACCCATCGGTGCACAAGGCACTCGTGGTTATCCTCCAACTCTGCCATCCTCTGGTAAACACGGTCCACAAAAATTTCCGGACGTGCAGCTGCTTCACGTGCCCCGAATTCATTATATACGCGTCTTTCAGCATCATCCAACAAACGTTGGTCATCCCATTGCCGGCAATCGCAAGTTTTCCACAGTGCTGCGCACAAGTAACAAAACTGCGTCGAGCATCGGCAGGTCATGTGATAACACCCCTGGCAAAGTTCCACGATAGCATGACAACCCGGACAGGTCTGCCACCCCATTTGAGACGCAAGGGATTTGACCACTGATGTTTGGGCATTCTCAGCGCAGTCTTCAAACAAGTGGGCTCGATTCTTGCATGCGGAGCACACACGTGTTCCACAACTTGTACAGGTAATCTCAGACTTGTGGCCAGAAGATGAACCTAAAAATTTGGAGCAGATCTGATTGGGACAGTAGATCCGTGAAGTCGGTGTAGTTGCGAACTCTGCAGATTTTTCCTGGAAATGGGATCGCAAGTCCGATGAAAGCAATGGAAGGAGATTCGCAACGGGAAGAGGCTGCTGGCAGCATCGCACGGGGTAGAGTGTTTCATCCCTGGTAGATGCTTCTACAAGGTTAACAAGGCAACCTCGACAGTAAAAATGAGAGCACGGAGCATTGAAACTTTGCGAACGTCTGACAAGATCACCGCATATGACACACTCCACCCTGGGACAAAGTGATATAAGCCCAAGGTCATGAAATGGAAAATGTGCCTAACCGAGATGGCATCCTGTCACGAGCTGAAAGTTGTCCCCTATGATACTGTAGACGAGAGGATTCGGCGAGGTCGTTCATTTCATCTAGGTCTGGCTCAACTGCACCTGTGATATCATTATTACTGGACATAGTGGAGCCAAACTCACTGGAGAGGTCGTTAGTAATATATAAAATCAAAAATGAGATTTACGAACGACAAAGATACAGTCCATTCGAGTATTTCTTGTGAGTGTGTAGGAATTGGTACCTCATTGCCTCTTTCAAGGGCAAGCGCAGAAAGATGATCATCTTGCTCCCCTTGGTTGATGCGGGACAACACATTGAGAGCCGCACTGTCTGTTTCGAGTGCTTCATCGAGGCTTAGTGCAAATCTGCGGTCTTGAAGTTCGGTCAAGGATGCCTTCAAGTATTCTGCCTGAAAGTTGAATGCAATTTCTTCATCCGTCAAGCAGGCGTCCTCCCGTAACTTTCCTTTGCGTGATCCTTCGACTTCTTCAATATTTAACAGAGATAGTGCTAGGACGAGGGCTTCTGCCTCTATGTCTGACACGCTGCAATAAGTGTTCATGATAGCTGAAAAGAAAAGGGGAATGTAACCTTATTATTATCGGCTCCTAACAACTTACAAGTGCCACTGCCGAAATACATTACATAAGCACAATATCATATTCTCACAAGTTGAAGTCCATATGATTTCACTGGCAGGTGACCGGTAAACAGCTATGCAACTCACATCCTCGTATTAGCGTGGCAGTCTTTAAGTGGTCTGCATTATACTCTATCATGATGGCTACCAGAACTCCTGAATCAACACGAGCGCTGGTCATTAAGAAGTGCTCCGCGGAAGCAACGCCTGTCTATCATCATGCTGTCCTGGAGACACGCCCACTGCAGCAACTAAAACAAGGGGAAGTCCTTGTGAAAATGGGAGCTGTGTCATTCAACCATCGAGACGTGAGTGATTTGACCAGCGTAACATCGGCTGCGGCAAGAACTCGTTGCTCATCTGAACGCCCTGATAGCTTTGGATACGCCTTGGTCAATACCCCGGAATCAACTTTGGAAGTGCCTTCGGTGCTGATGGAGCAGGTAATATCACAGTAATAATCCGAGTTGGGGAAACTGAGGGCATTAACCCAGGCACGGTAATTGCATCGGCGGATTCAAATGACGCACTCCTGAACAAACGCGTCTTCCTGACACCCATGCGAGGTTGGGAAAGCAAACAAGATGCGCCGGAAACGGAGTGGGTTACATATTTGTCTATTTACATTGGCTTACGTCTCATGCAGAGGCAGTTTCGGAATCCTTGGGGGTGGCCGCAACCCTCCGTTAGGAACGTTTTCCGAATACATTGTGGTGGAAAGAAATCAGGTTATTCGTTCTCCAGATCATCTTGATGATATTCAAGTCTCTGCTTGGCCCCTTGGTGGCCTAACTGCTTGGAGGTCCGTCTTTGCCGCGGTACCATCTTCGTCCTATCACTGAATGCATTGAAACTAGAGCTGCGATTGTCAATGCTGAAGCATCCAAAGACCAGAATATTCTTATTACCGGAATAGGTGGAGGAGTAGCGCTTCTTGCCATGCAACTATGTCTAGCCAGAGGCGCTAATGTCTATGTTACGAGTGGTAGCGAGGAAAAAATTAGGAAAGCAACTGCTCTTGGAGCCAAGGGCGGAGTGAACTATAAATTAAGTAAGGGTTAACGATCTCGAACCACTCGTCTTGTAGGTTCAAACTATCTTACAGAGGATTGGCCATCGCATCTTGTTGCCCTTCTGGCAAAGAATAGCGGAAAATCTGCGAAGATTGATGCAGTTCTTGACTCTGGCGGTGGAGACATTATCACACGAGTGAACAGTGTCTTAAAGCAGGGCGGCAAAGTTGTGGTCTATGGGATGTAAGCGAAGGAGGTTTGTTTCTTGAAATGTCACTCAGCATCATTACAGGACCGCAAATCCCCAAATCAAGTTCACCATGCGAGAGGTGCTCAAGAATCAGCGGCTTATCGGTAAGTTTCCCTGCTTGCTTGAATGACAATATTGAATGTGCGGAAGGTTCGACAATGGGCTCCCTCAAGGATCTCACAGACGCAACAACGTTTATGTCAGAGCATCGCATTGTCCCAGTGGTGTCCCATGTCCTCGAAGGACTTGAAGCTGCAGAAGAAGGCTTCGAGCTCATGAAGCGCGGGGATCAGTTTGGCAAAATTGTCATTCGGATTAACGACAAGGCCAAAGCCAAGTTATGATGATGTTTATTCAATTGTTGGATCTGTCGACCGCAAGTTCGCATTGCCCTATTCTGACAACTCTGTCTCGATATCGTTTCTGCAACTGTATTATATAGCCTTAAGATGTGTGGAATCCAACATTATGTAAAGTTGGATGGTCTACTTTTGTACTTCTATCTGAGCTACCATTTTCGTTCTTATGTACGTATCTCTTATATGTACGCGCCTCAGTTCTGCGTCGCATAATATTTGTCAACCTAATGTGGTTGTGGCTCAATTAATTGTGGATCGACGATCGGATGTTAAATTTTCTCACGACTTCCATTCATTGATGACAACATTCCTATTAATACTTCGGGTCCCCTCAGCAAAGTCGGGACAGCCTCTGTTATTCTTGCTCGCCCATCTCGTGAAATGCCTAGCACGCTAATGCTTGTTAGCACCACCTCGAACTCCTCGTCACTCTCCCGATCCAACCATAAGGAGGAAACTGAACGTAAGTGGTCTACGTCATTGACATACTTCGGAACAAATGGACCCATCGGAATGTACTTAGCAGGTAGCATGCCCCATTCAGCACGATCCGTAGACGACGACGACGACCTCACAATCCGTCCTAGACGCAAACCGCCCCAAAAAATTCCCAAACAACATGTCATTACAAACACGATCACATCCTACCTATCCAAATCCGACAGTCGTGAAGAGGTGGTCTCGGTCACGATAAACAGCTCACCGGAGCTGTCTTTCATCTTACACAAACCCCTCCGAAATCGACTATCATTCGAAGACAATTCATGCGAAACTATGCAAGACTTCATGGACGCACACGAATTCTTCACGATTATCACGAACCCACAGACGAAGAATTACAAAGACGTACTTCCTTTCCTCATCACGAGAAGAAAGAAGTTTTTCGAGAAACGTCTGTGGGTCGTACGAGCTACGTTAAAAGCCATGAATGGGGAATGGAGTACCCTGGGTACCTCCCCTTCGATCCATGAGGAGTTTTCGAGTTTTAGCAATATCGCTTGCTTGCGGTTTGGTGCACTGCCACCTGTGGACGTGCTCATTAAGCTGTCTGTCGAGATCCAGACATGCGCGCGCGTCAACATCGATGTAGTACCAATGGAGCGGTTGGTACAGATTTTTGACCGCATGTTTGAGGATTGTCATCTGTTTTTGCGATCGCGCACGGTTGCGAAGGCGGCACCGAGGTCAAGGGCTGCTGCTGCCAAGTCCGCTATGGAGAGATTTCTACCGCTTTCGGGCGGCGTTGATTATTTGATAAAGTTTTGTAGAAATACTTTTCCTAGTCAAGAGATTCGTTACCAGTGGACTGATAGGGGTCGTTTCGAGGATTAAGTCGGGCTGGCAGTAATAGGAAGGACAACACAACGTCTGTAGCAATAGTACAGGAAGCAATAGGCACTTTAGGATACCTTGTATTAGTCCAACAATATATCATAAAACCAAATAATTGGTTTATAAGTTTGTCCTCACAACGTAGCGCGACAATTTCCAAACCAAAATAATTAACTGCCTTCACTTGCCACGGCAAATTTTCTTATATATTGGTTTACAGTCTACGTCGTATTGCATTCATGTTCAGCTGCAAATTGATACACTACGTTCAATGAGGTGTACATGCAATCGTGCTTGTGAAAGTCGTAAGGGAAGAATGTATATTAATATTCGGGTCACTACACGCCCAAAAATATTTCGAGACTTATTTACCGTGACCGATCGCCCAATCACTCTGTCCGGCCGGCTTCCATGAGGTAAGTCGAAAAAGTATAGTCCTCCTGATCAAGAAGCACAAGGCCTGCAGGACATGCGACAGGCGTCACTGATGTCGATGATGATAGAACGACTGCTGATCGCATGTCTCCAGTGCACCCCAGATCGGGTTAGTATCAACGGACTCGATGGGAATACAAGCATTGTGATGCCACGAAACTCCTCCAGAACGATGTTGCTGAATTAGCAGTTGATACCGAACATGAAAGAAATGGTGCTTTGTCGGATCGGCGCATCTCCTGTTGGTAGTATTGCCTGATTCAGGATCAAGGTAGGTATCTCGAGTATCTCAGAGATGACAGGCAGACGTTCGACATTATGTATTTCAAAAGAATATTTGTGGGCAAGTCCTTTCTTGACGAGTACGAGCTTCCATCCTAAATCGAACTGGTGTAAGGTGCGGTCAGTTGTGTGCATTTGCCTGACTCACCGAATCTTGTACGCTGAATCAAGTCCCTGTTCGTAGAGGTGAGCAAATATTAGCACCGATCAGACTAACCATACCTGACCACCCGTTGAATTGGGGACACTTGAATATGTTTTCGTAGCTGTCTGCTAAGAAGGCATCCATAAATAAACATACTGAGCAGCATCTGCGACAGTCTCTGTTAGCCCTGCACACACAAATCCACCATCCGGATATTGGCCTAAATCAAACTGATGAAAATGCTCCGACATACAAAAGAGGGCGGAAGTACAGTGGAACTTGCTTATCCAAACCAGTCTGTTGGAGGTAACCTCTGTAGGTACTAACGTCGCGATGGTCTTGAAAACAAGCTTCTCGTTCCGAGCGACCCTCGTCAGGTCCAGTTCGGGGCCGAAGGCGAAAAATTGCCAGCTAGCCTCGGTAATTTCGCCGGTTAAACGTAAAAACATCCTATCGGTCGTCAATATGAATATCCAAGCTTGAGCATCAAGAGTAGAAGCGCATACGACAATTCACCAAAGTTCCTAAATCGGTGCCAATACTTTCGAAACAAAGACAACTTGATTATGAGCATTCTTCCATCGAATATATGGAAAACAGGCTCACTACTCCATCAAGACCGATTTCCTTTAAACGAATATCATCAGTGGTAACCCGTACATCGTCTGTGATCTCACATAAAAATAAATATCTATGGCATCCTCGTCAGATTGCTTGGACGAACATGGTTCGGTGCCCGGATCGCCAAAATGGTGACATCCAAGATACGAGTCACCCTAGAAATTAAGACATGTTTCACATCTTCTCGATCAAGGTTGCCACGCGGAGAGTTCGAAGAGCCTTGAGTGCCTGGATGAAGTTCTCATGAATGATGGCGATGAACATTTGCATCACAATGAATGGAGAAAACAATTCATATCAACGAAGGAAGGTAATACGTATGAGCATTTTTGGCGACTTACAATTTGCAAATATAAGTCACAAGCATAAGAAAATGATCACGATCGCCACCTGCCCAAGGGAAATCTCCGCATCTGCTACCGAGTACAAACATTGACAATAGGTAGCATGATCTCGTCCCATACCGTCCGCAGCAGTGCTATCAGCGTTGTCCTCGGCTCCTTTGAGTCCATGCGAGCCGTGTCCTGTATCACGTTCGCGGAGTGCTTCTCGAGCATCTTCAGATCTGTGAGAGCGAGAGACGGGAAGGGAACGTGGTGGGGCTTCCCTGACACTGAAACAATGATGGTGTTACAAGAGTATTCGCTAGCATTGAGAATAATGACTGGGCCGTGGCGGGCTCCCACTTGCAAATCTTCATATAATGGCGGGAGCAGGAATCGCGAGAAACCTTGCAGATTGCGGATTTCAGCCACTACAGCTTCCCATTGCGTCGTAAGTCTCCTGTACTCCGTTTCTGCCCGATCAGCAGCATCCCGGTCTGCATTGCCTGCAGAATTCTGAGCATCAGATAGGCTCTTGCTGAGCTCCGAGAGTCTATGAGCTAGCGGGATATTGATGGACTTGAGATCGTCCAGCGGAGCCCTAAGTCGACAGGCTAGCGACCATTGCTGGTCGTGACTCTGCTCCTCAAGTTCAACCCCTGACCCTCGTTACAGATCATTACGACGAATAGCGCATGGTGTTGCATTCATGGGTAGGGATTGAGCACTATCAATGGCGATTAAAGCCACCAATGAATCTTGGCAAAGACCAATGGCCTCCTCGACATCTTTTCTCTTCCGTGTTTGTGCGAAACGAGAGCAGAGTGCCATGCTCAAATCGAATAGATTTCTGTGGCGCTCCGGATGATCGTCCTGCTGTAGCAACAGAAGCGATTTGCGGCACAGATCAATGACCTCATCAAGGCCCTCTCTGGCATGTAATTTATCATGTCTAGTTATGAGCGCGGCAGCAAGGTTGTTGAGCTTGGTGTCACGATTTGAGCGCCTAGGTGAGCATGACGCCAGTGCTTTGCGAAAGAGGCTGGCAGCTCTGTTTATGTCATTAATGTTATAGCATTCATTGAAACGGATGAGGAGGGCACGCTCCAGGCCGTCCGATGACGCATTATGATATTCGTGCCCAACAGGGCGTAGAGGCAACGCTTCTTCATAGAGAGAGATGGCCTCGTCGAGATCGTGAGATCCCCCTTGGTAATCGAAGCAGCTACGGAGGGATACGGTCAAGTTAATCAAGTAGGTAACACGGTTGGGATTTCCCTCGGGGCCCATAGAAACAACTTCACGACCAAGTTGTACGTTCCGATCTAGATCATCAAAGCCGCATTGTCGAAAGCGTGCTTTTACTGCCTTTGCAAGCTTGTTGACGGCGCTGGGATTGTTTTGATTTTCCGGAGGACATAGCTTGAGTACGATTCATCGAAGGTAGATGTCTTCATCGGATGCATCTATGGGAAGATTGTTGCATGCCCGTATCACATAATCGACACCATTTTTGCCGATCGCGATGCTACGAAGATAGGTGTCTTCAGAACAGAGAGACAGTAGCTCATGACAAAGCTGTGCTGCCTTGAAGATATCAACGGTGATAGAATGATAGCTGTAGCGCCAAATCAATGCTTCGGCGAGATAATAAAGAGAAGCTGGACGGTCGGGGTGGCCTCGCGGACGCAGTGCAAGGGCATCGCATAACAAAGTGGTAGTAATGTAAATGCCTTGAAGATCCTTGCGGATATACCCTTGAAGGCGGGCCCATGCAAGGTTTGTGAGAGCTGCCGCATGGTCTGGATGATCGACCGGACACTGGTCCAGAACTAACTCAAAATAGTTCATAGCATCGTCCAGGATATGGACTCCACCCCTGCCTCTCATGTAGTCGCATAATCGTATGTGGCCCACATCTGTGTCTCGAGAAATCCTGCAGTCACCGATGGACTAGAATTTGCATTCCGTCAGCAGAAGCCAACAGCACGAAGGCCGGTGTCGCTCACATCAAACGGTACACTGCCATCATTTGCGCGAGCAATCCCAGAAGCGACTTTCAGTGTGAGAGAAGGGCAGGGGCCTGTAGCACCTCCCGTGCGCTCAGAGTCACTGATGGTCAAATCATTAGCACTAGCCCAACTTCCATCTGCAGATTTACATTGAGAGTTGGTGCCAGTGAGATGGACATTGGACATCGTCTCCGTCCTTGGATGTGTCAAGGTCAGACTCTGGAGTCGAAATTAACGAGGCGGAGGATGGACCAGCTTGTGCAGCAGTGTAGGAGAATGCAGGCAAATCTGGGGGATGCGTATTACGAATCCGATGGTCGGGAAGGTTAAGCGTGTGTTTGATTTGCCTGGACATTTGTGGCAAAATTTTGCCCATCGTTTATCGTTTATTGCTCATCCTAGACCTAAGATCAAAAGTTTTTAAAATCGCAAACGACATGCCCCGACAGCTGCGTGTTCGCACATCCCGATCAAATTACTATGCTTCGCTTCCGACTATAGGCGACGAAGAAGATAGTAGCGGGAGTGACTATGCCCCCGAGGATCTACATAGTAATGACCCCGAAAATCGGTCTAGGCCTCTACCCTCGATAACGCGAATACGACCGTCCCATAAGCCCCCACAGTTTGTACAGGCATATACTTCCAAGATGTCTGCTCCGAGAGCTGCGAAGATGAATGCACTGCCAAATCCTAGCGTCCATCATCGACACAAAGCCATGCCAGTTTTTCTTCGTAAGGAAAAAGTCGAGCGACTTGATGCTCCTCCTACGCTCTTCAACCCACCAACGATTGTGTCAACCAATAGTATGACATCAGAACAATTTCTAACGGATCGCATCAGTAGGGCTTGGGGTTATAACGTTGGCCCTGGTCCTGTATGGGATATCATGGAAGACCGGTCATGCTTCAAGGAGGCTTTGGAAGGAGAACAGAATCCAATAAATGAGTCGTTCAGGCGTCCCAGAGTCCATCAAGATGTTGAGGTGAAACCTGGATGGACGAGACTGAATGAATGGTGAGCGCTTCTATGTCTGTGCTCATTCGAATAGCTCAATGTTGACTTCTCAGTGATGCTGCGAAGTACTTTCCCACTGACACTGTGCTAACAGATGATGGTCAGCCGCGCCCCCCTGCACCTGTACATTGCTTCCTTGGACCGTATGGTCGCCAGACTCGCGTTGAGATGGCTATGTTCGACAGTCACGCTACATGTACGTTCCTCACCACTTTTGCAGACGTTCGTCACGACTACAATTCCCTTATTAACAGCAGAATATATGCCTGGCAGCACATCTTTCGTCTTCAATGTTGGATCTCCTGCGTGGGGCGTAGACTGGTGCCCGACATATCCAGATGACCGACCCCGTAAGACAGAGCGCTCCCTCGTCAGTAGGCGCTGCTCAAGATGATACACAGATCGAGGTTATAAACATTACCTGGCGGTCGCCCCTTTCTCTTCGCGGTCGCACTCACCGATGATCGGTGCGAAAGTCCTGCGTCCCGTTCCTGGGTGCATACAAATATGGGGTTTGGAGTCCAAACGAGAGAACACCTCGCAAGAAGACCGCTCGCTGGCCGGTGAGATAAAGTGCGAGATGGTCGTTTGCTTAGAGTCAGGGCCTGCATTCGAAATCAAGTGGTGCCCTCTTCCCTCGCACGATCAGGTTTGTTTACGACCTGTCCACGCCTTCACACTTTGCTGATGGTGGGAGCGCAGTGGAATGAAGTTCATATGGAAGAACACCCGCGAAAGCTAGGGCTACTAGCAGGGACATTTGAAGACGGTTCGCTGTCCATATATGTTGTTCCAGACCCAGAGGATGTAAGGAGTAAAGATGATGACTCAACACGTCCGACATCTGGTGGGTGGTTAGCCCTTATTTATCAACACACGACCGAGATTGGTTGACAAAATAGTACATATACCCGAACCACTTCTCCGGATCGAGCTAGAGGAAACTTGCTGCTGGTCTCTTGACTGGGCTAATAGTGAAACCATTGCTGTTGGTTGCACAAATGGTCTGAACAATGTCCTTCAGTTGAAACGCTCCTCATCACAGTCATCCTGAAGGTTACGTCGCTGTATATGACATTGGTCACGCAATCAGGACAGGTCAGGGCTCAAGTGAGTTCTCGTTGCCCTCGTTTATTCCATTGTGACGAAAATTTTCCAAGACATCCTCCCAACCCATTACATTTCAATACATCAATCCGCGGTACGAGCCCTTTCATGGATTCGTATCCCGCCGACGAATGGCTCTGGCGTGCCATCGACCTCCGAGGATCCAACAGTTCTGGCTACCGGCGGATACGACGGCATGGAATGTCTGATTGACATTCGAGAACCACATGGAAATATTGTAAACAGGACACGGGGTTAGTGCCTTTGACAAACAAATGTATTTCTCTGATATACGTTCCTAAAGATGTGATCAATAGCACCACATACTCCCCGTTCGCGGGCGGACCGATCATGATCGATCACGACAACAGCGTCAAAGCATATGCAATATCTCCTAGTACGCTAGGCAGAGGGCACGTACTTCTGGAGCCCGATGGACCAGTGTGGGTACGTGCCACAACAGTCACTATCACTGCGCCGCTGAATAAAATTGCAGAGCGTCAGTGCATCGGAATACCACGCTCAGTTAGCGGTCGGTTCAGCAGATGGCTCTTGCGTAACAACCAACACTCTGAAAACAACAAGGAGAGGAGGGTCGGTCGTACGTGTCCTGTGACGATCATAAGCATTCTTCTCTCAAAGTCTTAAAGCCATTCTTCTTCCGCAAGATCTTTCAGTTGGACTACAGCCGAAAGACAGGAGAGTTTCGTATGTTAGACCATTTCCTTCCGCAAGTGAGTGACATTTGAGATACACCTCCGTTGTTGCTGACACTACGCCAGGAAACTCAAGAAAGGTCCACAAAATTGAAAGGGAAACAAGCCAAAAAAGATGAATCTGAGACAAGCACCAGTACTGGTGTATGGCCATCCGAAGTAAGCGTCCATCGTGTTACTTGGAACATGGGTAATGGTCTGGGCGGAGCGCCGCTACTCGCGTCTACTACGGGTTCAGGACTATGTAGGGTGGATTGGTTGCTAGGACGTTGGATCCGGAACAAGGTACCATACGTGAATGTGCCAAACATGAGGAAAGAGGTTGACGATGTAATGGACGAGGATAGTGGGGATGAAGCTGTATAGTTGATGTATCAATCCTTATAGCACGATAAAAATTCGGATACATTAACGTTAACGTTGTCATTCACTAGTAGGCCACCTGAGACTCACGGTAGTCCATCCGTATCTGCCAGTAGCAACGAGCGCACAGCGACCAGTCACCGCTACATATCGATATCGTTTTCGTTCATTTTCCAAATTTTTGATGCGCGCCCTATGTGCACTGCTAATGGATGGTATTGGGACAGGCTATAGTTGGATCTTTGGGGATGGTGCACAGTTGGTGGGCCAAACAGTGCATGTTGAATGAAGCGGAGAAGTTTTGCAAAGCACTGCAGTACGCAGTCAACGTTCATGTAAACATGACGCGTTTCCAAGATGCGAAAGACTATTGATCACTTGTTATCTCAGTTTGACCCTGGATCTATCATTAGCGTTCACCTTGGGCGCAAGGCTCTTGCCTTGTATATTGAAGCGAAATGATGCACTGCTCCCATAAGGCACTTCTTCGCCTTCCTGACGCACCACCAATGGCTGCAATGACCAGCAGCGACCTGGAGGCCATCTTGCACGCTACAGAGCGGCTCACTCAATCCATGACAAGCGAAATCCATTTTAACGAACCCAAAACAAGAAGTGGAACACCCCTATCGGACGTCTCGCGGCTCTCGCCCACCCCCCAAGCGTGCTGTACTACTCCGCCTCCTTCTCCAGGGTTGACATGGTGTGTAAAGTGAACGATTATCTCTTGACAAGGAAGACCACTAAGCACTCTGGCGACCTATAACATTGCGTTCATAGTGGCACACAGGATCATTGCACGAATAACGAATGGCACAAAGCTCCACAAGACAGAAAGGCGACTTTTTGTTTGTCACAAATCTTTATCAAGTTTCTGAAACGAGATCGAAATCCGTGAGCCTTTCGACCTTGAAACATTACTAGCCTCACCGCTGCAATAGAGTAGAATGTATTGCCTGCGGGGATAAGGTCCCAGCGAAGCAAAGCTTCCGTGCGCCATGTGCTCACCACTATTGCCGGGAATGCATCGCGAATTTCGCGAAAGCGTCCATGAAAGACGAAACACTCTATCCCTTGCAGTGCTGCCAGATCCGAATGGCAGCAAAGAAAGTCGATCGACAATTACCTAAACCACTGCAGACACAATTCCGTGCCAAGACTGTGGAATATTCTGTCCCACCGGCTACACGAGTGTACTGCGCAAATCAGAAATGTTCTGCGTTCTTGTGCTCCTCGGACACGCGGAATCGCAAGGCGAATATGACTTGCCGTGTGTGTGGCACCACGATATGTCTCGCATGCAAGAATAGGAGACATCCGGGAGAAGAATGCTTAGAAGCAGGACTGCAAAGAGACTTAAAGAGACTCGCAGACGATAAAAACTGGCAGTCGTGTCCTGGCTGCCGGGCGATCGTCGAACGTACAGATGGGTGTAGCCACATCACGTGTCGCTGTTCCACCCACTTCTGCTATCGATGTGGAGCTCGCTGGCGAAAATGCTTTTGCCACAGAGACTCGGCGGGGGATCACTAAGTCCCCTGTTATAGCGGGAAGACCATGGTGAGGCAAAATACCAGATATACTCTTGGCTTATTCATTAATTTCAGTGTTAGTCAATTCAGTGCGAACGATTCAGATAATAGGAAGCATATGCAGCACCAAAGAGATGTCCAAATCTCCTAGATGTCTCGTTATGGACGTACCCTTCTGTTTACGCACTGTATGGTACACAGACACACAGACACGATACAAGTGTATAGCCTTCGCAGAACAACCTCGTAAAATTCACAATTCGAACCAATGTCTATATGTATAAGCATGTTATATCCTTGGTGTATGTTTCAGTTACAGTAGTTGATGAGCTTCGTCCACTTGCTCGCCGTAGCATTGCAGCGCTGACGCTATCACAAAGGTCTAAGACATCAAAGTCTCACAACTGAGATGAGTAGGACATACAATGCGGAAGAAATCGATCTACGTAGAAGGGGCCACGGCGATGCGTCGAGTTAGACGGCCCACTTCAAAACCTACTGTAGATAAATTAAACCCACTCTATCGCAGCTTCAAGTTTTCATTTAACGGATATCTTTCATTTTCGAGTTTGTGTACGGTCAAGTTCCTCCGAGTGAGCGAGAAATGAACTGATTTGATGGCTAAGAGCTAATATCGTCCGGCACGCACTGCTAGTAGGTGAGTCTCTGAGCAAAAATCCTCGTCCCCTGCCCCTGCGAAGCAAGATATGTCAAGGCAAATACCTTATCTAAAAATCGAACTAGGATATTGCAGTGTTACAACCCACTTGTCAATGTCAACTTACCGCTGCCCCGGTACTAGTGAATCATCCTATAATGGCTCGTTTCTGGTCTGAGCTTGGAGAGCGGCGCGCAGATCAGAGCAGGTAGGATAATTGTATAAAGAAAGTGGAACTGGCAGCACAAACGGGAGCTGTGAGATTGTATGATGAGTCATCAGGAAATCTGCATATTACTTAATGTTCCCTTAATGGGGATGGGCAACGCCTGCAAACAAAGCGTGTCATTATGTAAGCACGGTGCTAGGGAACATCAGCAAATCATCCAGTGCCTTTTTGTACCTTAAGTTACTTAATGTGACTTAAAAAATACTGTTAAGGCAGCTAAGGCGAATAAGTCACTATTGATATCCTTAGTTCAATTTATTTTAAGGCCGAGGTCACTATAAGTAGGTCTAAGACAATCAAGGCAGCGACAGAGATCAAGGCGCTTGCTTATTAATATATTTACATTACCACATCATTCCGAATAGTTGAAAAATAAGCATGCGACAAACAACTCGTTCATCGCAGAGATCAACCACTGAAATTCATATATTCCAATAAAAAACATTACAGTAAGTTTTATTGGCGCTCGTCACGTCAATCGTTAATGTGACACTAGTACACTGCATGTCTCCGAAATCTGTCTATCGCGGTGTAAAGAGTTGATTCTATGTGGGCGCTACAAAAGTGTTACCTTAAGACTCAGAGTGCGAGTGTGATGTTCGTCCCAAAGAGACTGCCTATAGAAATGCTCCTTGATAAAAAGCAAGGGATATCTTGTTAAGATCGAAGGTGAGAGAAGGAAAAGCTACCAAGAGTGCACTCGGTGTTCCGAGGATGTGTCCGAAGTACTGAAGTACTCGTCCGAAGTGGTCCGAAGGTGGTCCGACGTCTAGAAACGAAGGTCCGAGGTTGCGCGAAGCGTCCGAAGAGCTTCCAATGAACAGCGAGTGTTCCGAGAGAAGTACGGCGGGTGTATCGAAGTATAAGACTCGTGAAGTATAACTAAGCAAAGCCTATCGGGAGAACTTAGAGACAGCGAAGAGCGAAATGGCAGTGGTCAAGCCAAAACAATCATTCTGAATGAACAAAGATTGATTGCGTGAAGTACGACTATCTGAAAGTGACTCTACTAACTGTGACTTGTAGCAGGGAAAGTGAAGTGAAGTGCGAGTAGCTAGCGAGGCAGATTATATCCTACAGCGTGAAAGTCCGGAAACTGCGTAGGTGAAACCAGTAGTGAGATAAGACATCCGAAATGTAATAAGACTCAAGGTGAGCTGCTACAGAGATATGCATGTAATAAGATGCAAGGCGTGTATAACTGACGGGCCAACAACATATGTGCCCCTAGACATAATTAATAACAGATAATCAAGTGAAGAACGCACCAGCAAAGTCAAATGGACATGGACGGGACATGGTATGGAGGACCAGAACTGTATACAGGCCTCGGAAATGGACGGACGACCTTCGGACGACTCAAACGAATGCACGGAACTCTCGGAAGGTAAATGGAGTGTTGAGGAATGTGTATGTGGGATACCCTTAGAATTGGCAGGATACGAGCCCAACACCGATCCAAGTGCTACAGCGGGCAAGGGAGGAGGCACCAATTGTTACAGGCATCCGTAACACCTACAGGAGCCCCAGCTCTGCCTACGCCTGCCCCCGCTCTGCTAGACTCCCCGCGCAGCGGTGCGCCGCCCGCGCCTAGAAAGACAGCGGTCTGGACCGCTATGACCCCGCCCCTGGCCCAGATGGCCTTGTACCTGATCCATGGAGGCTGTACGCCTCATGGTCACCCTAGATCAGCGCATGCATACCGCATGTTGCTTCATGAAGATCCGGAGCGCTCTTGGCTCTTGGCGCTTCCTGTACCTACGCGCAGTCACACTTGGCGCTGCATGCTTGATCAGAGGTTAAGCCTCATGTATCTTATCTGAACCTCATGTCTTGTTATCATAGATCCTAGATATACTATTGATTACAGACTGAGCTAGAATACTTGTAGTACTTCTCTATAAGTAGACACAGATTATTGTACTTAGACTTTACTTTAATCTACTAGGTTCATCCCCAGAACTTGCTCATCTAAGCCTTACCAGCTTCCTTGTGTGAGACTGCACTTCTAAGTCGCCCCCTTACGACTTAGCACGTATCTGCTAGCCCTGCATCTCGACGAGCGCCGTCCTACCGAGATCGCCGGAGGAACCCTTGACGTTCCGTCAAGCCGAGAACCACCCTCAGCTTCAGTAGACTCACTCGAGTCGTCGCTGAGAAGACCTATCCTAGTTCGCACACGCCGACCGACGGTCAGCGTAACACCAATGGGGAGATATGATAGTTCGGGCAGAGGCAGTGATCATGGCTGAGGTGATTGCAGAGGAAGTGGAGGCGAGAACAGAAGGAACAGAGGCCTCACTGGGCTTCTGGAAGAGGGGGAAGGGCTGCTTCTGGAGAACGGAGAATGGAGACGGAACATGTCGCTCGAGAGCAGAAGGGGCGGAGGCCTCGCTGGGCTTCTGGAAGAGGGGGAAGAGCTGTTTCTGGCCCATGAATTGAGACGCTCGAGAGCAGAAGGGATGGAGGCCTCGCTGGGCTTCTGGAAGAGGGGGAAGAGCTGTTTCTGGCCCATGAATTGAGACGCTCGAGAGCAGAAGGGACAGAGGAATAGTGTCATCTCGGTGACTCTAAATTTGTGCTGTCAATCTTGTACTAGTGTATAACATGTAGAAATGCAAACCTTGAGATTCCACGTCTGCTCCAGATGACGAAGATATCAGTCTTAAAACTCTCTGCAACTGGCGACAAAGCCATGGTGAGCTTGCAATCAATCATTTTAGCACGATCAAGCTCGAGACGAAGGAGCCATGGCGACTGGAGATGCAGCTTGGACTCAATCTCGTCGGGAATGGCAAAGAATGACTCTACGAAGACAGAGTCCTCCTCGATGATGGTGGAGCTTAGGTCTGGGTCATACCAGATCTCCACGGCTGCGGTCACGGTACAAAATGAGGTATAGGTGAGCTCTTGCTCAATGTTCTTGGCAAGCAGACTCTCTTCAGCAATGTCAGGCTCGAGGTAGACAGTGAGGGAGGGAGTTTTGATTTTGGTGGCAACATTGATAATCTCCTTCAGACGTGGGTCACCAAGTGTCACATTCTTACTGGAGACACCAGCCTAATGGAATGTATTGAGCATCATCTGCGTAGCTGGTTCACCAATGGACTGACCTGGGTTCACTAGCGACAATGAAGCTTGACAGGTAGATAATGAGGATTAGGGCCGTCTGTCTGGCGCTGTTATTATGTACTGTCCCCGCGAGGTTCCAATGTCTGGTGGGGACTCTAAAACCATAAGAGTCAGGGTGTTGGAAGTCGGAGCTACTTATCAATATCTGCTTTTTGGTCAAGTTCGAAGTCAACATGTCTAACAAACCCCGGGAGATATGAATTCTCGTAGAAGATGGCAGTTGTTCAAAAGTTCGTTGTATTATTCGTCTGGCTTCATCTGCAGCTCTAGGGGGCCGTCGTCGACACAGATCTGCAGGGTATTTGGTTAGGGAAAGGAAGTTGGAAGGTGTTCAGCAGAGGGAAGGACATACTGCAAATTACACTATTTCAAAAGCGTGGTGATCTGCATATCTGTTGATATAATACAAGTTGAACATGTCATACGAGTCGTGTGGACTGATTTTGGGGATAAAGTCTGGGCCATAGACTGGAATGAGATGGGCAGCACGAAAGATGCAATCAATGTGAATAATTGAGATGTCTGGAACACCATCACCAGTTGTCGTCGGTGTGACGACATACATGCCTGTGTCGGGATCACGTCCTTCAAGCACATAAGCATACCAATGAACTATGGCACAAGGATAGTACAATGTCTGATAGTTAAAAGAGAAAAAGCACAGGACCCACGCAACTGCAAGTCCACCCATGGGAGAGTCAAAGTTGGCACCCATATTGACGAAGATACAATCACGCCTAGGTTCGCCACCGCGCCACGATGGTGTTGCCTGGATGTGCTTGCGATGCATACCTCCAGTACCACTCAGATCACTGGGTGCATGGAATGACGCTGCAGCAGAATTAAAGACAGCTACTTTCCCCAGGAATACTTGTGCTGTTTCCAGATCAAACTCAGGAGGGTTGGTGTCTTCTAAGTAGTGCTGATCATGGATGAATTCTTGCATCAAAAGAGGGAGGCGTGGAAGGTCGAGTTCAAGGCTGAGTGTATGAACATTTTGTACGCAACCTATGTATTGTCAGAAAGGGTCAAGGAGTAAATAGATTAACATATGGGGAGTCGCTGCAAGCCCGTCGTGGGACTCCTCGATCAGTCCATCAACAATTTCACCAGCATCCACCTCAACGGATTGGTTTTGAGGTTTGTAGACATGCAGGCGCCTAGAATGACCTTCTTGCACCATATCAGCCATCGCATCATCATCCAATTCTGAGTCGTTGTCTTCATGAACATTCTGACCTGTTTGGGGACATGAGAAGGGCTAAATCGTCAGATCAAATGATCACGCACGTCTCCGGAGTTCTCCCAAAGCGTTGGATAGACAAGAGCCATGAAGCATACCACGTGCCTCAAAATCTGCACAAGCAGCTGCAAGTTTGTCAAGGCATTGATTTGTTAGTAGCATTTGTCCGAGTGCATTAAACCTGCTAGATCAGCGCCAAGGTTCTTTAACCACTTTGATGTGTTTGGACTCAGTAATCAAAGAGCAAAGGCCATTGGGTGCGCCAAAAAGTCAAATCAGCAATATGTAGTGGCACAGGGAGTGTTGACATGGAAGGGAGAATGTCGAGACCACACCAGTTGCCTTGAAAACCTCCCAGTATTTGTGAAAGCGGTTGAGGGCATCTTGGAGTTGTACGAGGTCATCTTCAGTGAGAGCCTCACACCTTACAATGTAGCAAAATTCTAGAAATGCACTGAATGTGCGCACCACATCTTGAGGAACATGGCCTTTGATTGCAGCTAGATAGATCTAAATATGAGTTAGCTGGCTTGTCGTTCGGAAGGGAATACTCCAGCATACCTTCATCAATGCCTTTGAGTCATCACCCGTCCATTGCCGGAAACCATGCCTGTCAGGAAAGCGTCGCAACCCAGTGAATGGGGCGACTGCTGCTATCCTGTATGACATTAGTAGTTATTAAAAAAACATCAACGGTTTGCATACCTGCGGTCAATGTCATCCATGATCTCGGCCACATGACGAGCACCATGTGTGACCTGCAAATAATCACCCACCCAATCAACCAAATGATCCTTGAAAGTTCCCTTGATTATTTGGTGTAAAATATCCGGCGATAGGAGCTCATGGATGTCCGCTCGAGGAAAGTCATTTGTAAATGGCTAGCAAAGCGGACAGGTGAGATTGGACTTGGCGAGTTTCAGCAAGCAACTTACGACAACATTGGCAATGATGCCATACTCATCCCAAGCCTGTTTGTGTGTGAGTTGTTCGACGAGCAACTCGGTGTGTGCTTCGTGTCGATGCAGACATGGTTGATCGCCGTCAAGGTCCTTCCTATTCGCCAGACACCTATTATGATAAGATGAGTCATTAAAAAGTGAAATAAAATTGTGACATACTGTGGACACCAATTCTGCACGACGCCAGAGAGAATTAACTGTTCTGGATAGTCAGCAATGTATGGGCCCAAGCCATACACGGGTTGTTGAAAATGGCCGTCCGGAAAGCGTGTAACGTCAAAAGTTTCCATAAAGGGTTTCACAGACTCGAAAATCTTGGCAAGGGAATGCTGGAATAGTTGCCGTCGAAAATTTCTGTACTTGATATCGTCATTATGTTCCTTCGTGGCTAAACAAACAAAGGTTATGATGAAATGATGCAATGAGAATAACAAGCACCTACATTTCAGTATCAAAAGAAATCCAATGAGCACAATGCCATTGCGATGTGCCCGTTGTAGAGATACAACAATTGCTGGGCACTACACAAAGTAAGTAGCCAGCAATATAAAAATGTTGTGGTCGTGCACAGCCTAGTCTGCTATACTTGCAAGACAAGTGCGTTCGACCCAAGGGGTTAGCTATTTGGAATGGTCTGTAGTTAGTGAAATGATAAAACGGTCAAAAGTCCGAGCACGGGAAACAAAGTCCGAAGGTATAACTACGATGTCTGATGCCAAAGCATCGGGTCCGATGTTTTCGGGTTTTGGGTTAGCGGGTTTTGGGTGCGGGTTTAGCGGGTTAGCGGGAATGGCGATTAGTGAACGTTGGGAAAGCGAGTGGTATGCAGATATATGATAACGATGGGTATTTCGGATAGAAAGAGCGGTAATATTCGCAATGTCAACTAAGAACTACAAAATATCGGGTTTGACCACTAAGTATTGGGGAACGGCTCCCTACTACTTGGATAATGAAAATACTCATAGTCAGTCCAATATATATATAAGTACGTAGAAATCCGGAAGGCCATAGGCGAAAGTAGCGGCCGACGATTTCGGGTCCGAAGTACATGTAAACTAACATGAGGCGCTGCGGATGATGGGAAAACATGTAATAGCGCTTGCTACGACGTGAGTAATGTGTGAAATAATCAACTACTCACCTAGTGGGGCTAGCAAGACGGGACAGGACACAGATAGGACAAGTGTGCGGGAAAATATCGGGTCCGATGCGGCCGAAACATCAGGTCCACTAGTCAAAGCGTCGGGTTTGTGTCGGGTTGTGCGGGTTACATCAGAAAGTGACGGGCATTGAATGTGGATAGGGAATTCAGTGAATACGGGCCTAGCGCGAGCTCGAGTGCTACACCGTCGTATGCTATTGTGAATGTTCCCAATTGAGAGATAAAGTGGGTGATATTCAGTTTGGCCAGTAGCGACAGAAATGACCGTCTTGTCGCTGCCGATAATCAATGGCACGAATGTCGAACCATGATTCTCCTCATTTTGAGCGATAACATCCTTGAGATGATTGTTAGTATGCTAAAAATGTGAATATTAAAAAGTGCACCGCCTGGTTCCACGCCCAGTCAGCCGACATGAAGTTCTTCCAGTATCGTTTGTTCTCAGTGGTATAATCACGATATGGTGAAAACTCGATTCCTCCATCAAGTTCAGAGTTTGCCAGCATGCTGCGCACCATTTGCAATGGATCTCTATACCATACATCATATTTTCCATCCATCCATGGCGGTATGTCTTGTTCAGGTCTGACTCCGTTGTAGCACATCGTAAAGCTCTTCCAAGGGGTATCACCAAGTGGTGTTGCATCGATGGTAGCATACATGTCCTTATGGTTCGCAAAAGGGGGAGCATCATTGTGCTTAATGAGAGTTGCGACCCACAAGTCGAGAAGTGTATCAATCTGCTTTGCAGACATTTGATTGCGCGTGAATACAAACTCCACTGTCTCAAATGCAGCTCGATCGTTATAAGGTGTCCAGTCGGTCGGGGGGGCATCCGTATGAGGCGGTGGGGGTGCATCCTGGTCGATAAATGACCTGTTAGCATCACATTTGAGTCCTAAGTCAAAAGAAATGAGTGCCATAGTATGACAGACTCCTAAAAAAACACTCACCTGTGAGGTGCGGATGGAATGTGTGGAATAAACACCCCATGTCCGCCCAAGTACCTTCCTCAGGTACAAAGCCTCCATCCTCCTGCTCACCCGCTGCGTCTTGATGGAAATTCTCATCGATAACCTGGTTTTTACCTGCTGGAGTGGGAGAACAACTTCTTGGGAGTATAAATCCGGGACCTGCGGGTGGGGCTGTGCGATTGAAGTCTCACTGTGTTTGTCAGGTGCCGTGCTTTGCATTTGTGTGTTGAGTGAGGCCAGACTTGTTTTTGAAGACCTTGTTGCAGTTTGGAAACCGACAGACGAGCCTGGTGACAGCTGGGGCCATGTTGAGCGGTGAGCGGTGAGCAGTTGCAGCAACGGATACCAGGAAATGGAGTACTATGTAGAATGCGGATTAGACTGATAGTAAGTGTGTGAATCAGAAATTATGACACGTCAATTGAATGAATAAAAACTCGCTGGTGTAGCACTCGGATCGGTGTTGGGCTCGTATCCTGCCAATTCTAAGGGTATCCCACACACATATTCCTCAACACTCCATTTTACCTTCCGAGAGTTCCGCGCATTTGTCTGAGTCGTCCGAAGGTCGTCCGTCCATTTCCGAGGCCTGTATACAGTTCTGATCCTCCATACCATGTCCCGTCTGTGTCCGTTTGACTTCGCTGGTGCGTTTTCCACTTGGTTATCTGTTATTGATTATGTTTAGGGGCACATATGTTGTCGGCCCGTCGGTTATATGCATAACAAACACGCCTTGCGCCTTATTACATGCATATCTCTGTAGCGGCTCGCCTTGAGTCTTATTACATTTTGGATGTCTTATCTTGCTACTGGTTTCACCTACGCAGTTTCCAGACTTTCACGCTGTAGGATATAATCTGCCTCGCTAACTACTCGCACTTCACTTCACTTTCCCTGCTACGAGTCATAGTTAGTAGAGTCACTTTTGGATAGTCGTACTTCGTGCAATTGATCTTTTGTTCATTTGGAACGATTGTTTTGGCCTGACTGCTGCCATTTCGCTACTCGCTGTCTCTAAGTTCTTTCCGATAGACTTTGCTTAGTTTTACTTCACGAGTCTTATACTTCAATACACCCGCCGTACTCCTCTCGGAACACTCGCTGTTCATTGGAAGCTCTTCGGACGCTTCACACAACCTCAGACCTTCGTTTCTTGATGTTGGACCATCTTTGGGCCACTTTTGGACCACTTCGGACACATTCTCGGAACATTGAGCATGCTCTTGGTAACTTTCCTTTCTCTCATCCTCGATCTTAACAAGATATCCCTTGCTTTATAACAAGGAGCATTTCTATAGGCAGTCTCTTTGGGACGAACATCTCACTCGCACTCTGAGTCTTAAGGTAACACTTTTGTAGCGCCCACATAGAATCAACTCTTTACACCGGTTCATTGCCACTTTTCTGCTTAGCATCCATAGTATTCCTTCAATGCCTCACTGCCAACGTTCCTTCAACAGCTTGTCCTTGCTCTCTCTATTCTCTACATATGCCTCGGCCCGCAACACGCCCAGGGAATGCTAACAAACATCCCGGACAGGTAGTGCTTGATGCAAATCACGTGGCGCACCCAAAGGAAGTGATTGCAGCTGAAAAACAAAAGGTGTCAGCAGAGAAATCAGCCAAGGCAACTGCCTTGGATCATGCTCAAAAGCAGGTCGCTGCAAAGGAAGATGCCATGGCTGTCGAGCAGATGGCTCAACGTGCTGGCCCTGGACGCCTTGTCAGGCCAAAGCCTAAGCCGCGCCCAGTAACCAAGGCAGTCACAGTGCCAACTGCAAACACCAATGAGATGTGTAAGCCTTACACAATATATAATGTTGCAAGGACTTACCAATCCTATACCATTTGTACAGCTGTTGGGACAAATCCAGCGTCTCAAAGCACCGACATCCAAAAGAAGAAATATCCAGGCTTGAAACTCACCTTCAAGGATAGTGTGAATGCCAGTCAAAAGGTGTCCAACATCGGTGTAGCATCCTTAAGTCTTAGCGAAACACATGTTGGAAGCACCATTGATCATGGAAAATTCCGACAGCCACTGTAAGTTCGCCTTAACTACAATGTTACTTCTATCAGAGCTGACTCTTCATTACTTCGATCTGTTTCACTCACTAAAATGTAGGACATCTGAACCATCCAAACTTTCAGAGGGAGCAGGAGTAGGGAAGTGGGTCAGAGGTGTGGCATTGAAGTCTCAAGTGAAGCCTTCTGTGCCACCAAGTGCACGTGCCAGCAGTAGGTACAGTCTGATTTTTGTGCACATCGCTAATGGATTTTCAGTGATTGCAAACAATAACGCAGAAGGGTTCGAAGACAATGACTCACCTGAAGATCATGACGATAGTGTAACTATGAGTCGGGGTGGGCCGGTGAGTGAATTCATGCTCACGAATGGGTGTTACAAGTAACATCGGTCACGTGGCCCCCCTATCATTTTCCCTTCATCCTCGCCCTCACCACCTACCGGCTCGTCCTCCTTTACCGACTTTCCGTTGACCGGATCCTCGGGACCGTTCCCGTCCCTCGCATCATCCGCCTCTGTACACGTGCAATGCACGTTCCTCTTCTGATTCGACCACCAACGTGGTCCCGCACCTCTGACTCGGTCTGACTCATGCCACCAATGTGGCTTTCCTCTTTCTGTTTCCCCTTACTGCGGATTCCCGCACGTTGTATTCTTACCGTTGGTCCGTTCCAACGTTTCTCGGTCTCATTCCACATTCGACCACCCATCACTAATCCGGCTATGCTGCCAACGCACCTATACCATATTCGCATCCCCTTTACCCTTACCTACTGTGCGGTAGCCTTGCCCTTAACCCTCTCCACTTAGTATAAGTAGTCGGTCACCTTGTACTAGATTCTCTAACTTGAATCTACTCAATCTTCCCTGGAACATACTTCCCTCTGAAGCCCCCTCAGCTTCAGTCTCTAGTATCTTTTCTTAGTCGCTCCTCGCGGCTAAGTCTACCTCGATCGACCTCATCGTTCGGACAAGACTGTCCTTACCTTGAGCGACTTCTAAGACCTCCGTCTCAGAAGTCACGTGACACGCGCGTACTGTGATCGCTGCCGACTTATCGTCGCCAGTCTCACTTGCTATACCGGACCCTTCCGGTTACGTCACGAACATTAGTGGACGACGCCCCTCTTAGGGCTCCGCCTAACAGATCTATTTGAGTGCGTAACAATGGGGACTACTTGAATCAAGGCAGGGCATTGTGCATATTTTTCAGACCGCTGATGATGCACTGAGGGGACGAAAACGTGGATTATCCACGGTCTTATTGGGCGACCTCGAACCCGAAGAGCAGCATGAAATGGAGGAAGACCAAGATGCTGATGAAGATGTTCAGGAGGATGTCGACATGATGGATCAGCAGAGTGACATTGAAGTAAGTGCTGGTGGGTCCTGTGAGATAGATGAATCACTTACCATGATTCTGGGATTTCATAGGTCTGTGAAGTGTCAAACAGTCGGCTCACAACCTCTGTAGGCAGAATCTACTCTGGTAGCCTGACAATACTGACAAATTCCTTTGCAGATGTCAGTTAGCGTTATGGACACTGCAATGGACAACCAGACATCTAAGTACATCAAAACCGAAAATGGACGTGCATCATGACTCATTTGTCAGAAGAGAGAAAAGCCGAAGAATTCGCACTTACCCAGCAGTGCTCAGAACTCAACCTTTCATTCCACATTTATTCCAATGGTCATCCACTGGGTCGGAAATAGCAACCATCCATGGACTATCCCAGAGCATGATAAATTTTCAGACACTCTCGAGGATATCTACAAGGCGGTGTATTCCCAACCTGGAGACTTTCAGTATGATGATGGCTGCAATTTCGCCTTCAATCTTGTGAGTGAATTCCTATTTTATTACTACTAGTTGACTATTATGCTGGCAGGTATCCCAAAGGATCTCTGAATGGAGAGGAAATTTCGGCTCCACCACTATCAGCATTCTCATGGCATTTTTTGCCTCCACGGATGAATACGAGACTAAGGAGGCACGGCAAGCATACGCCGAATATCAACTCGAAGATTCACGCTTTGTGTATGAAGATCCAGATAGTAAAGACTCACCCGGAGCTTTCTTATCAGAATTCATTTTGCGCATCTTCGCTGTTCAACTCAACGCCACCCAAGGACGCCAGATAATTGACTCGCTTGACTTTGAGTTACCTGGATATGCAACAGCCCTTGCACTGACCACCGCAGCCATGAGTTTTGCATTGCCTTTACAAAACTTACTAACTTGTCATTTACAGGCCGAGTGTGCACTTATTTTAGCTCGCGACGACCTCATCGTGGAAGATACTTCGGACCACAGGAAACACAAGATCATGTTGATGCTCAACCATGCCACCAAAAAAATGACTAACACAGGCACTGCTGTTTCTTCAGCCAATTGGGAGACTGATACGATCATGTACATGGAGCGAATTGAGGAGCTGCCCTTCGACCGCGTGAAAGAAATCGTTCAACGATCTCAAGCGTACATGAAGCGTACTTGCTGCAGGGGTCCAGATGAAGGCACTATTCCTGATGATGGAAGTCAGGTCCCCATGAATCCACGTTCGTGTATCCGTATCTGTAGTATTTGTTTCTTTATCTCAATTTTCTTGCTCTGACACCATTATGTTTGACAGAACTTGGTTGGCTACTATATGCGCGCTTGTCTCCTGTTACGAACTAGGGTAGTTCTAACAACGATAACTCGACAGAGTTTATGATCATTGAGATTCTCAGTCTCTCAGACAAGAGAGAGTTCTGTGGACTTAATCAAAGGAGTGCTTTGACTAAGAATCGGGTTTCTAGATGACTTAAGATTGGAGGTCTTAAGTGAAGGAAGTTCCAGGTAAAACCTAGTAAGATTCAAGTAAAGAATACAAGCGTGATACACTGTGCTTAAATAGATCCATATGTGCGCACAGACCAAGTCATCGTGAGAAAGTAGTACAGTTCCAAGAAAGGAAGGTGTATTGTATAAGTACAAGAGAAACAAGATAGCGGTTGTAACATCTCCCCGCCTCAAATCATTAATCGCTTCAATCCCTGCTCGCGCTATCATCAATTGCTTTCATACACGTTTTCTAATGTTTTTTTTCGTTATTTTCATAGAACGCCTTAAAAGCCATTGACATCCTTTTTTTGCCTTAATCTACTTAGATCGTTTTGTCTTTATGAAATAATAGTATCCTTAAAGTGCCTTATTTGCCTGATTTTAAGTGAACTGCCTTAGTTTAAGGAGATGGATCTACTTTTTTCTCCTTATTTTAAGGCACGAAAACGGCCTTAAAACTGCCTTATTGTGTGAATTAAGGCACTTAAGGAGCAAATAAGGCACTCGAAGGCACTCAATGATATGCTGATGAATGCGATGGCAAACATCAAGAGTACCGCTAGTGCACACCATTTACGAGTGCAAATACCAAGCAATTACTATCGAATGATACTGTGAGCTACATTAGACAATTCGGGCACAAACATCAACTATCATTCATCCTTGCCCTCGTGTTCACCATCTCCCACATCAGGAAAACCTTAGCTTACTTAATCTTACTTATTTCAAATGGACCTCCTTATTTTTTTTAAATCACCACCTTGTCAAAAATGGACCACCAGGGTTTGTTGAAAATCATCATATATGTGTGCTATCAAATTTTTAGATTCTTAATTTGCAAGATGGTGCCTCAAGAGAGCATTTAAGGAAGAAAATCATTAGTATTAATGTGCCATCCACACTTCATACTGGTAGACAAGTGTAAGTTTTATGCTATGAAATATATCTCTTAAGTACAATAAACATATTGGAATACTCAAAATTGGAGCAGTTGTTGATTTAAAAGAAATAAGTAGGTCCATTTGAGATAAGTAGGAAAAGGAGTAAGAAAGTCGAAATAAGTTGGTTTTATTGCCTCATTTTACCACAGGCATGTAAAACACCAAAGCACGTGACCTCGCTGACGAATCAGCGACCCAACGCGTCTTACCAGTAGCATAGTACTTACACTATGATAATGTGTCCTCAGTTTCAACATGCTGATCTGCAGCTCCTGTTCTGTCGTCTTCGCATCACAAATACCTGCATCCAGGGACACGTGCCACTCGCAAGCACCAAAAGCACCCCACAGCGGAGCTCGCTGAGCTCCTTATGTTTCCATGTTGCATCCCAACAACCTTCACGACGTGATTCCATCGAAATTCATTGTGCGAACACGCAGGAAGATGGTGTTATCTGTGTTTTCTTGATGTATAGTTGTATATATGCTCACTGTGTAATATAAGTGTTACAATTTGCTTCATTAATGGTGAAATTGATTGAGTGCGCAACTTTTCCATTCTTTTCTTGTAAAATGCTGCACACAGTGCGGCAAAAAATCGCATTTCTGGTTCCCTTCCCTTCAAAATCTTGCTTTAACTTTAGCCTCACATTCACACTACCATCTCTGCTACTCCAAATGTTCCTACAGGTATGTATAATGTTGCCAACTTGCTACTTACAACGCGCTGCCTCACTCTTGGACCAGGGGCGCTGCCCTAACAAGGTAGTGTGACTGTTTGTCACATTACACAATCACACCGCTCTTTGTCTTCATCCAGCCGCACGGTTGGCTCAACGCCGACTGGTCTTGTCTGTCACTATGGCTCAGGCCCTTTGGGTGGATCTGAGCTAGATCTGTGGTGTTCCCAGTAGCCTTTCTTTGGTTGCACTGCTCTTTGTCCTGCACTAATACTATCTTCATCATCCAGCCGCCATTCTCAGCCACAACTTGGGTGCTATTCTTGCAGTTGCGGACCACCTCGCTCACCAGGGACAACCCCTGACTGTCCGTGACATTCTCGAGGGCATGATCAAAGCACACGAGATTCAAGGTGGCCTTGCCCTGCTCAACTCTTTCAACCACGTTGGTCTCGATCACGTCGTGCTCGTCAAAGTTGCCAGTACTGCTGTTGTCTCCAAACTCCTGTAAGTGCACCTTTGGAGTTGAATGCAACAACTAAGATGGTACACGTAGCAGTCTTTCATACTCTCAAATGATCAACGCCGTTTCGCAAGCATGGGTCAATGGCCAATCTCTCTGTACTTACCGTCATGCACCAAACACTGGCCCTTGCAAGTCATGGCCAGCAGGTGATGCCTGTTCCTGTGCCATCAACCTCGCTCTTCTTGTCAAGAAGGGTGAGCTTGGTCTCCCCTCAGTCCTCACCGCCAAGACTTGGGTTTTTACGATGTCCTCTTCAAAGTAAGATACCCCAAGAGTACAGCAGTTCCACCCCACTGAACTAGACCTCCAGGGAAAGCCATTCGAGTTCCAAATGCCCTTTGGCTCATACATCATGGAAAACGTCCTCTTCAAGATCTCATATCCCGCCAAATTCCATGCCCAGACCACAGTCGAGGCCGCATATACCATCCACAAGCAGCTCATAGCACTCAGTAAATCATCAGATGACATTAAGGGCATGCGCATCTGTACATAGGAGGCTGCCATTCACATCATTGATAAGCAAGGTCCCTTGGACAACTTCACTGACCGAGAGTAAGTATCTCAACCCATCCATGACAGTGCATATTCACTCACAGGTCACTTCAAAGCCATGCAATCAGCTATATGGTTGCATACAATTTTTGTGCAGCCTCAGCCTCACTTTTGGCACGTTTCCTTGCCTCCTCTTGAGTTTTGGCATGCTCTTCTTCCCGTTTCCTATGTGCTTTGGCAGCTTTCTCTTTCCCTTCCCATTCCTTGGTCTTCCTCCTACTCTCTGCGAATTCTCTCAGCCTCAAGACGCTCTTGTTCTTCCTTGTCTTTCATCTTCTAATGTGCAGCCTGCATCTTCTCCTTATCCTCCTCTATTCTCTTGCAGCAAGTCTGGAGTTTGCAATGACATGCAGGCTACAATCCTCATCTGCATTTCACTTAGCTTTTATGGAAAAATGCAGCGCGCCCCTTCTGAGTGGCGGAGATGCTGCTCTCACTGCAAGCAATTTTGACAGGGCGATCGACTTGTACTCGGTGGTGATCAACCTGGATTCTGCATCCGATGTCGTCTTTGCAAAATGTAGTCAAGCAAAGTTGGGGAAAAGGCTGTGGGAGGAGGTGCTTCTCGACATGCAAAAGGTATGATGGCATCCATGATTTCGTGGCCCATGTTGACTTCGGCAATGTATGCATAGGCTACCAAACTCAATCCTTCGTCTCATGTTGGATACCAGCTGATGCATACAGTGCTGCCAAAGCTGGTGAAGCGACGGTCCCTGGAAAACTCATAGTGAAGAATGGCGTGACAATCATAGGTATGCCATCCACTTTGCGTGATAGCAGAAAATCTCAAAGGACCAAGGTTACACTGACCTTCCCTCGTGACTTCCAATACAGTCGTCTACTCTGTACTCCAACAATATCACCAAATTTTCATTGTCCATAGGAGAGAACAACACCTTCAATGTTGATCTTACTGATGAAGTTGTTTGTGGTTCTATCATTGTCCACCAAGGCACTATCCTCCCTCTTGTACCCCAACCTGCTCCTCCTCCTGCCGCTCATCCCACTCCCAAGGTCAAGGAGAAGGCAGAGACCCTGGCCATCACTCCTTGGCAAAAGGCTACCCGCGAGATAGCTACTGTCATGGCTGGAATGGGTTCCGTAGTGGCTCTCGGCAAAATGACCAGCGCTGCCTTCATGAGCAACTTCTTCACGTTTGGCCTTGTGGGTATCATTGGATACCGAGTCATTTGGGGTGTCACTCCAGCTCTACACTCCCCCTTGATGTCTGTTACCAATGCCATCTCTGGTATGTACCTTTTCTTCAGGTATGAAATTGAGCTGAGTGTTTTCCAGGCATAGTTGGTGTTGGTGGTGTATTCATCATGGGAGGAGGATACCTTCCAGGAACCATTCCTCAGGTATTGGGCGCACTCTCTGTGCTCCTTGCTAGTGTCAATGTCACCGGTGGGTTCATCATCACAAAGTGGATGCTTGACATGTTCAAGAGTGAGTCGAGCCTTCATCTCAATTGCTACCATAGTTTAATATTGTGTAACAGGACCAATGGATCCTTCTGAATACTCTTGGTTGTATGGTGGTCCAGCTGTCGTCTTTACTGGGGGGTTCTTGGCTGCTGCAAGCATGGGTATGGCTGGTCTTGTACAGGCAGGCTACCTGATGAGCAGCATGCTTTGCATTGGTGAGCACATTGAGTTTTTTCGGGAGTATGAAACTGATAGGCTATGTATGGCCTATAGCTTCTCTATCTGGGCTGGCATCTCAGGCAACTGCGCGACAAGGGAATGCACTGGGCATACTTGGTGTCGGATCAGGCATCCTTGCCTCACTTCTGGCAGTTGGCTTCCCCCCTGCCCTGCTTGCCCAGTTTGCTGGTGTTGCCACTATTGGAGGTACAATCAGTGCCATCCTTGGTCACTGTATCATGGCCACTGAGCTTCCGCAGATGGTAGCTGCTTTGCACTCTGTTGTCGGTCTCACTGCTGTCTTCACTTCCATCGGTAGTATCCTCGCTGGTAGCTGCTTTGCACTCTGTTGTCAGTCTCGGTGCTGTCTTCACTTCCATCGGTAGTGTCCTTGCTGACCCGTCTCACATTTCTATGTTACACCTGGTCACTGCCTATCTCAGGGTTGTCATTGGTGGTGTCACCTTCACCGGCTCCATTGTCATGTTCCTGAAGCTTGATGGAAGGATGAGCTCGAGGCTGTTGATGATGCCCAGATGACACCTCATTAACTCTAGTTTATTCGGAGCAAATGTATTGACCATGGCTGCTTTTGTCACAGTTGTGCCAACAGTACCCATGGTTGCTGCTGGGTATCTCAGAGTCAGCACACTTCTCAGTTTCATCAAGGGCTTTACAACGACAGCTGCGATTGGTGGTGCTGACATGCGTATGTATGACTTCAGGCACTTTTAGTCTGTTTCTGACGCGTCATTTGAAGCGGTCGTCATCACTGTCTTGAATGCCTAATCAGGGTTTGCATTGGTTGCAGAAGGTGAGTATCAGAGTTGAGCTGTAAGGAGGTGTTTGACTTCAGACAGAACATGTCGAGGGCGAGGGTGTGAGGGCAAGTCTGAATGAGCACTACACTCTCAAATTCTGTTGTCAAAGGACCATCCTTCTCTAGTCATTAGTGCACTTCAACTCGTCGATCTCTTGCTACAGATGCTTCTACATAAATAGGGACTCTCTTAAGTTATGGCCCCTTGGCAATACACCTATTCCTCCTCCTCCGATTTGACACTGTCTTCCTTGACGCTATCATCTATAATGCTGTTGTCCTCAACGTCGTCGTCCTCTGTCCTGCTTAGAATCTCAGCAATGGTGTGCACCTCGGCTGCCTCCCTCATCGCCTCAATGACCTCAACCGTTTTCTCATAGCTTGAGAGGTACTTGTAAACAGTCCTGATGACATCCACCTGAAACCCTTGCTGGACTGCGAGTGATTGGACTAAGGCATCGAAGCCAACCTGGGCAAAGTGTGTGATGTCACCCTCATGTACATTGCTATGAGTGGTGGACGTGCCTGAAGCTGTTGTAGTAGAATGGCTGCTGGGCTGTTGTCCTCTCGCGCTGTCTTTGAAGAATGTGAGCTGGAGCATTGTGGCTGTAGAGAGGTGTGTGTCAGTGTGTAGTTCATATGATGTGACGAGTGCAAACCGGCGCTGTTGTTTGATGCTGTGGAAAAAGGCGAAGATGCAGCCAGAAGCCCCTGTAAGTGTTTGAACTTCTATATGTACTGACTCCTATAATTCATATCTAGAGTGTGACACCCCACTCGTACAACACCTCCTTCTCATCTGCTCGATCATATTTATCCTAATCATACTCTATACTATATTGTACTTTAAACAAATGGCACGGGGCACAACAAAGAAAATCGCAGTGGCCATAAATAAACCAGGACAGAAGGGAGCTACTGCCTCAGCCTCAGCTCTTCAGGAACAACGCGAAGAAGCACGACAAACACTGCTGAAGGCGAAAGGGACTCGATCGCAGTATGCCAGCCATCTTGAACGGGGCCGATGGTTTCTCGCGGATGTTGTTGAGCAGAAGAGAACTGCCCAAGCAGAGGGCACTCACTCTCAGGCTGATGGCGAGTCTGATATCGATGCATACAGTCGCATGTTTGACATCATCCCTAACAGATACTCGGCATCAGCACTCGAGCTGTTCCTTGTCCAGAAGGAATTGACAGAGGGACGGAGTTTGAGCACAATGTGGGGCATCTTCTCCACATTCAAGGATATGTGGAAGAACACATACATCTTGTCTATTTCTGTGCATGCATTCGAGGCCTCAGGACTCCACATAAATACTACAGCAAGGGCGAGACTTACTGTGGTCCCTATCACTGCGATGAGGGCACTGGGGTGGTCACAGGAAACCCAGCCTTGTCTGTGGCTGCACAGGATATGATGGAAGTCCTCAAGAACAACGAGGGTGCCGAAGGTGGAAGCAGAAATCATGTGTCAGCCATGACCATCAAGGACATGCAGAAACTCATGGCCTGGTCCTATAGCCAGTGTCCAGATGGAATTGTCAGCCATGTTTGCCAGTCCATTGAAGGTAGGTCAACCCTTGACATGGCTGACGTGATTCTGGCCCAGCGGCACCTCATGGTGCGCACATTCTCGACAACAGGAATTACAATCTGGACACGGTATGCTAGGTTTTGAATTCAGGCCACTTTGCCCTCATCGCCTCAGGGACTCAGACTGACTGGACTGATGCATGCACTCATTTACCACAGGAATTTTGAACTGATAAAAATCAAGCAGAAAGACATTGTTTGGAACTGCCAGGGACGCCCACCCTATGGCATTCCCTTCGACCTTGTGAGCCTCATCAACCATAAAGGCTGGCAGCGGAAGGGGGAAATTGATGGTGCACTTGAAGGTATCTATTTTTCGATTGGGTTGCTGGATGAGGGCGCTGACTCTGTGACTACCAGGTCATGAGTACGAGGTCTACGCTCAGCCGAAGACCCCCGAAATCTGTATGTTCACACACCTGCGAGCTTGGGTGAGTTTCCTAGAGGAGGTACTTCTCCAACGGCCCTTGCAACCTGAAGAGTACATCTTTCTGTGCATCGGTGCAAATGGTGTCGTCTACCCTTCTGACGAGCTGTCCTACAACACTGTCATGAAGACACTGACCTGGATTTGCGCCAAGGCTGGGCTGACAGCCAGGTACACCAGCCATTGCTTCTGCCGAGGTGGTGCGAGGTATCAGTTTATGTTCGCACCCCTCGGAGAGTGCTGGTCACTATCTACAATATGTTGGTGGGGTGCATGGGCTGAAGGCAAAAGCATGAGTTGGCCTGCTAATCTGTAATGTGAACTGATTCCCAACTTGGACAGGTTGATATGCTGATACGGTACCTTCTGGACGAGCTCACCCGATATGAGAAAAATCACCGGGACGCGCTGTGCCCAATTCCTCGGGAAGGCAACAAAAGCTTCAACAGCGACCACATTTTGACAGCACCCATCACCACAGCGGAAACACGTGAACTCAAGATGTCATTTGATCGCGAACTGAACCGCCTGTCTGGTAAAGTCAAGGAAGTCCTAGACAAACTAACTCTTTCTCCGGCCTCATTCCCTTATCCCTCACTCTTGCCGTCACCTTCACAACCTCCAATCTCGGTCCAACAAACCATGCGCCATCAGGCCACCAATCCACCCTCTTTGCTGAGCAGCACAGAAACTTCTTCGATACCCAGCCCGGTTCCTGTAGACTCGGCTTCTTCTCCCTTTCCTCGCATCATCCCCATACTGCAGGTGCCTCCCTCTGACAGCCGTCAGTATAGCTGTGGTGCAGCAAAAAAGACAGCTCCCATCCCTGGCATCGGAATCCCAGACCTCCTGCATGGACAAGAGGCATGGCTAGCTGCTGTAAAGCAGTGGGAGGATCCTGCAGCATCCATTGGCAGCAAGGCACTGAAAGATTGGCCGGAGGAGTGGTACACTGGCCCTATGCATACAATCACTGGTGTGAAGCGGAACATCCACAAGGTGATTGCTATCGAGTTCTACTGGTGAGTGGCCTTCACACCGTTTCAGCAGGTTTCAGAAGCGGCACCCAATTGTTTGCAACTCAAACACTTCCTCAAACAGGCTGCAGCGGGACCATCAAGTTTTTCTGGAAGCATACCCTGAGGCCACCCGCAGTGTCAAGCCACTTTTCGATACCATCCAGTGCCAGCGTGAGGGATGCAGAGAAATCACCAGTCAAGCAAGCAAGAATGGCCACCCAGAAGTCCAAGCATCCTCCTCCTGCTGAAGGCTATACCCCCACATCCACGATTCACGAACCACACACGTTCATACACTCTCATTTTCCCCCTCATTTCAATGTTTTTCACATTGTATTTCACACACCGTCACTCCCCATGTGCTCAGTTTGTCCCTGCAACTCAACAATTGTATCCCTAGCTCGTTTTCATCACACCGCAGCTATTGTAGTCTTTGCCCTTTGTATCCGTCATTTTGCTTTGTTATAATGTTGTTTTAAAAAGTTGGATTCATGTATTATTTTATTGTTTGTCCAATCCATTCGAGCCGAGCGCTCAGAAAGTTGAGAGTGTTTGAAAACAAGAACAACCAATGACGAGAAACAACGCACATCGCAGAAAAGGAACTGGGTGCCAGAATCTGAAAGTCACATGAACACATCACATGATCATAAAATGGTGTAAAATGTTCGACAAAAGTAAGATTAAGTAAGCTAATGTTTTCCTGATGCAGCTCTGGCAACTTGAAGGATGCAACAGCACTATCATGATGATTGTTTGGCTGCAACAACATTAAAGGTCCACCAGGGGTTGCTTCACCACTCAAATACCGTGCGACAGCCTCCATTAACACTTTGACCTTCTTCTGTTTTGTAGTTGATGTGTCTTTGGCTGCTGGTACTGCAGGGTCAAATTGACGATGCCATTGAATTTGCAGGTCTATCTCTGGGGCATGAAGCTGTGTAAGATCTTCAAGTGTGAGCCGAGGCATGACAGCATCAAGTTTTGCCCCTGCAGCATCATGGTGTGCTCGTTTCTTAATATCTTGCTCCTGATGCTGCCACACCACCTCTTTATCATACTCAACCTGTGCAAATCGCCATAGGCTTTATGCTCCTTGCTGCTGTAGAGACTGACATCTCTGTGGCCTTGTAGAGGTCTAATCCTCCAATGCTCTAATCACCTTCCAAATGCAGCATGACTTGTATCTTGTTTCCATGCACTTGGCACTTCATCAGCCACTCATGTGTGCAAGCGCTTTGGACGTGCATCAGCACATGCATCCTCAGTTCTGTCACTTGTCCTCTGTCCATCCATTCCATGTCCATTCAGTTCGTCGGTGCATATTCCTATCTTATTCTTGTGCATTCTGACAGTATCTCTGGCACTTGCGCACACATTCCATATGTTGTGCCACAGACCGTTATATTACATATCATCGCATACTCGCTTTGTTTCTCAGTTTACCTCAGCACTTGACAGTGCTTAGCAGTACTTAGATAGTTTTCATGTATGTCTTTCCCTCTTAACAAGTAACCACCATCTTCTCGCACATTATTGGACTCTAAGTCTAAATCACCGTCATGATCACCAACTGACACTGAGTGCCTGAATGCACACAAGCACCAACCCTCTTACTCTTAACAGGACATCTTTCTACTCATCTTCCGACTCATTTAGAGTCGCTGCACTCTACCACCCCCATGTGTGCCTCGTATTCACTCAGTGCACGCCATCGCACTTATTGCTCAGTAGTGCTTCATAGCACTCTCGCTTTCCATGCTTCACTCATCATTGCACACCTTACCAGGCTTGACTAAGTGCCCGGTTCAGTGTTTCCCTTCTGTTAAGAACGTGCTCAAGGGTCGTATCCAAAGGGCTTGGCTTCAGCTCGTACACTGCACCCCTTACCCGAGTATGTGCCCCTAACTTCCAAGGGCTAAAGGACAATGTCCGGAGTCCAATGCATGGGAATTCTGGCGGACATTCAGGAACAAGTGATAAGACTAATCCAGATGATGTCCGAACTAGAAAGGAAACAGTGGAGGACTACCAAAGGTAGAGGCGGAGGTGGTAAGTCAATAGGAGTCGATCCTAAGACTGTCAGAGACGACAAGAAGAGACTCAAGTTGGATGGAGGAGGGAATGAGCAGAATCTAAGATAATATTCGAACTGAGGAAAATACAGAGACTTTACAGGGTTTATATACTATGAAGGACATAATGGAGAATCAGTCAGTGCAGTGTGAGGCTATGCGAGGCTATGGACAGAGCATGTGGAACACCTAACACTAGTCTATCGGAACTTAGTAAAATGAAGACAGAAATGAATAAGGGACGGAAAATAAAGCACACTAACTGATAAGGGAAATACTAAAGGGAAAAGGCACGGAAGATAGAAGCTAACTGGATCCAGAAGTCCAGAAGTCCAAAGATGATTGCGTGATTGGTCTGGGTCCGGAATGCAGGATATGACACCTTCACTATTTACATAAAGGAACCTTCTCAGTAGCAATCCCCTTGGGCCAACATTAGCTCACGCACAGAGGACCATCTGAGTATATCTCACATTACCCACTTTCCATCACTTTACATTCCTCACCTATACTGCTCTCATCCATTTCATAAGCCTTCTTGCATAGTTTCTTGTGTGAACTATCATCCAGAACATTTTCAATGTACATACTGGTCTCGTTCTTCTTGTACATGAAGTGAGAATTGAAATGAGACAAGGACATGTGTGGGGCACAATGGAGGGATGTGCTGATGGTGCCAAGGGCTCCCTTGTTGTTATCATTGGTGGTTTCCATGTGAGCTATCTGTTGCTGGGAAGGGGATGCCTTATTAATTTTTCTACCAGCTGCAAACTCAGCAGAAAATTGAATCCATGTGTCAAGAGCCCCCTGAAAAAGGCAGTAAGTAATTGAGGGAAGTGAGGGTACATTTTCTGGTCCACCATGAAATGCTGAATAGCATAAAATGCTTCAGGATGTTTGAAAGGCTTGCCATCCAGTGTCAATGTCTCATAAGTAGCATCAGACACCAAAATTAGATTGATATTGCTAACAATGTGCTCGAGGTGGGAGATGACTTTTGTGTGAATTGGTCCGAGGTCTAGGATGTTGGATGTTGAATTCCGAATTGTACGCAGGTACAGGTGGGTAATACATTGATTATATGTTCCCCAGGACATCATTTCTTGCCTTGTTTTGAGGCAAGTAAAGCCCCTGTAGATGTTGTGCTTGATATTGGTGGACGTCCAGCTTTCTTTCTTAAGAGGGATGAGTTGAAGGAATGTGAGGTAAAGTGTGTCGTTTACAAGATACTTGCAGGCAGCATCACCATGGCTATGATAATGTATGTTACTTGTATCTGGCCATTGGATTTTGTAGCCCAACTTGACTTCAAAATAATAGAGCAGTGAATCCTGTTATCCCTTCTTGTCATCTTTGTGGTGGAAGACTGCACCTGCAAATTCCAAGACCTTTTGTGCATCTTCTGTCAAAACTTGGATAGCACACTGCTTTGTAGATGACAAACCCACAGAAGATGCTGTGGCATTGTCCTTATTCATCAATAGAACTGGACCCTTGATTTCATTATTTCCCTACCAGGCATGCATGCAAGAATTCCCCTCTTTGGCAGCATTAAGCTTCTTGTGCATGCAACAGCCTGCCCAGACAAAGAAGTTGATGACATCCTTTTCAGACTGCGTGAGTGAATCAAATTCCTCTTATCCAATCTGTACAAGTAGCTTTCAATGAGCTATCCTGTAGTGGCTCTGTTGTTCATTAATGCCAAGCCTATTTCACCCATCTATCCTACCCACTTCATTTATGAGTGCTTCCATCATTTCCCAAAGGAGGTGTACAACATTTTCTGAAGGTAAGGTGGCAAGCGCTCTCTCCCCTCAAACTTCTCTCTCACATGATTGTTTTCATTCAGTAAAGAGCCAGACAAGTTTTTTTGATCTTCAGCATGATCAGTAAGCATTCCCTTGACTTTGGACAGGAAGTCATGGACATCCAGCACACCTGCCACACTGCCAACCACATTATTGTATGTGGTAAACATATTCTCGATGCATGACTTCCACCAATCAAGCTGTGTCTCGCTTCTGTGGTTCACCTTGTGCAGAATATCAGCAAACCAAGTTGTAGGCTGTCCGTTGGGCAGCAAGTAAGTAATGTGATGACTCTGGTAATTAACATTTTTATGTGATGTCACATCTCCACTCAAAGTCACTCCTGTTTAGTGTGGTATTGTCAAATATGGAGTCCAGATAATGGTAAGTACTATCTGTATCTTTTGTTGTGTTCATCTCATCAACAAGTTGTGCCTTGGCAGCCACTTCTCCCTCAGCAACTATTCGACAGATACTGTGTCCACTGACAGACCTAGTGACCTCGATGCTAAGTGCCTCTGCCACAGCATTAATGGTGGCATTGACACTCCATATAGGTACGTCTAGGTTAGCAACTATATTGCACACCATAGCATGGGAAGTGTTAGTGAAGACACCCTTTTCCTTCATTATGAAGGTACTTGCAGTGGCCTCCATGCTGACTCAATTGTGTGCTAACTCCACAGCACAATGTTTTGCAGCAGATGCACATGCTACATGCATAGTCAGTGCATGGTTTCATTTGGTGAGTGCCTTGTTGCGACTCTTGAGGTAATTGACACTTTCAATAGTGTCAGCATACTGTACCTCAGCCTCCTGAGCCTGTGCTGCAATCTCCATGCTTGAAGTCTGTAGAGAGCACAACTGCTTCTGAAGACATGCAACAGCATTGTCTTTTTATGAAGCTCACTTCCGCTCACTTTGAAAGCACCTCTCATAAGCCCTGACCTTCTGTTGTTGTGCTTTGAGCTCAATTTGCAGCTGTGCTATGATAACAGTACTTGGGCAGCTGTCCCTTGCACCACAGCTCTTGGTAGAAGGAGTGTTCTTTTTTTTGATAGTTTTTCTGGAGTTTAAGCATGCAAGGTGAGCCATTTGAGCTGATGAACATCTTTTAAAAGGTTATAGCAGTCCCCTTTGATGTATTGTGGCTGCATTATAATATAAATGCTTTATTGCCATGTCGAAACACGTTGTGATGCATTAATTCCTGCTGAGTTAGCACACTACTCAATGTCCTCAAAGATTGACTGGAAACTAACAATATGACCCCCTTTTCTCTTTGAAATTTGCTTAAATGTATTCTTTTGGGTTTGTCATTGTATTCTATGAAAAAAAATGAGAAATTTCATACATTTTGTATCTTTTTGGTGACTGATCCTCCCAAGGACAGCATCATTTGCACATTTTTTTATATAATACCTAAGTTCAGTTAATTCGTGCATATCTCTTCATATAAACATTTTGTCAAATGTTTGGGGTAATGTAGCGCCAGTCAATAATCTTTCTGGACACTCATTTCGACTCCACATGCTACCACACAATCATGGATGGAGTTTTAAATTGACTGGGTGTTGCCCATCCCCACCCTTAATGAGGTCAGAGTCACTGAAAGTGTGAAAAAAAGTCTAATTCAAGTCCAGAACTAGTAAGATCATAGCAGTGCATGCGCACCAAGTCCCTGACTTCCATTTCATATCCCCAACCCCACATTAGTGAGAGAAGTGTCTTTCTGGGTAGGATACGTCTCATTTCCCTATACATACTTTCTCTGCAATTCCAACTGCCAGTCCTCACAAAGCATTAAACATTCTGGACTTAACATAGTGGTATGTAAACATGTTAGATACCACTTCACTAAATAAGAAATGTGGGTGTAATAGGTGAGCCAGGAGTTGACTATACAGCACACATATAGCACATACAGGAGGCTCAGTCCACTCCAAAGCTTGATAATAGTTGTTGAGACAAGAGTAGACAGTCTTTTGAGAGATGATGGCCAGCTATGCACGACAAGATTACTGTGCCACCAAATGCTCATCCTTGACAACCTACAAATATTTGTCTCCATGTCACTGTAACATCACCAAAAGTCTGCAAGTTAGAAATTACCTGATTTGGGTTGTAGCTGCACCACAACACTTCTCTGAAGTGCCATGTCATGGTCATAAGTGATCGTGCATACAATGTCATGCTAATGCAATTGTAAGGTGTATGAGAACCTGACAGCAAGTAGCTAATGGTTGCTCCAGTCTGCTATAAGATTATCTATCCTAGCTGGAGTATATCAGCAAATAATATAATTAAAGTGCACCATATCCTTCTCTTGCGAAGATGTCGTCATCAAGTTCCTCACCCTCATCAGCATGCACCCAGTCTTCCTCATCCTCATCCTCGTCAGAGTCATCCTTCTCACCATTGTCCTTATCCACATCTTCGTCTAATTCTTTCTCTTCATCTCCCTCCATATTCTTGGCAGCGCTAGTGTCCATATTAACATCCCAATTCTCATCATTGTCAGAGATATTTAGGGCTCCATCACTCTGCAAAAAGTCGTCCCATTCCCATGTGACCTTATGACCAATGCCTCCACCGTGAAAGTACACAAACATATCTCTGTCTACAAACCTAGTACAGTAGTCAGAACTGCGAATAGTTTAGAAGCAAAGTAGGACATACATATTGACATAATGAAACCACCAGTCTTCATCACCATCCTCCTCATGATGGACAAATGAGGGCCCCATGTAGTGATCTGTCATGCGATCATATGCAAATGCAGGAATGAGATGGACCCTCATCAGGAAAACCCTCCTGGGGCAAAAATCACATAATTTTCATAAAACGATGTAATTTAGATAATTCTGTGTAATTACAGGTATTAGGATAAAAGATAATAAAGTATGATGTGATTATTGAGAATTATTTGAAAATACAAAAAGTGTATCTATTTATATACAAGTTCAACAAAAAAAAGTGCTACAATTATCATATATCAAGAACTATCACTCATTGACGGTCCACTCTCATGGGATGTGACAGTGTGGGATGATAACTCATATGAGAATAAGGAATTCCAATGAGTGAGTAGGTACAGTAGGACAATTTGATGGACTTGGTGATATCCAATGTCAACAAGGACAACATGTGTAAACAAATAAACAAAGAACCTTGTTGAATATTTGTGCTTGTTTACTCTCACACTCACTTGTGGTTCGAAATTCTTTCACTCACACTCTTCCACCACCACCACCACGTCACATTCGAGTCTTCAACATCCCAAGTACTGTCTTCAAGCCTCTTCACCGCCGTCAAACAATCTTTGTAAGTGTTTATTGCTGGCACTATTCTTGCTCATCACACTCTCATTCTCGCTCGCATGCAGCGCATGTAGACTCAACTCTGGATGGGGAGCCACTGTGAGTGAGTCTGTCAATCCTGCTTCAAGCTTGAGCCATGCTGATTGAAGTCATTGTCTGCTGTTCACAGTGTGTTGATCCTCCTTTGAGCTCGAGCCATGCTGCTCGAAGTCATTGCCCATCATTCGCAGTGTCTTGGTGAGTGTATCCTTTTTTACAATCATTTTTTTCATATTTCTAACTTAATATTTATATGTATTACCTGTAGGTCTGCCGCTGATGGTGCTGCAGCTGTGTCCCACTCTCAGCTAGTGCATGATCTTCACGCAGGTATGTTGTTTGTGTTAGCATCGGCTCCTACTTCCCACTAGCCCTGCCCCAACTTGGTCACTTGTAAGTGTTATACTGCTTGTCTATATCCATTTTTATTCACCCCCACTCATTCCAGCTTGTTTTTGTTTCATGTTTCATGTGCTTGTCCACACATGCCATGTGTTCACTTGTAAGTGCTTTTATCTGCACTTATTTTCGTTCCTTTGTGCTCATTTTTAGTCATTCTAGTTTTTTTCTACATCTGTATATTTTTGTGCTTGATGCTCATCTACACTTGTACATGCTTGTCCACACTCATTCTTAAATGTCTGCACTCATTCTTGTTGCAAGGGGTACAAATTTTATGGGCTTCATTTATCTAAGCCAGGGATTGGGTAGTATTTGTGGTCATTTGTAGCATATAAAGCTATATAGTAATTACTAGTGTTATGTATATTTTCTAATCAAATATTAGTCTGTTTTACTTGTAACACTGTCTGATGTGTGTGATTCAATATGCAAAGTTCGAAATATACTCTCTGAAATTCACAATATTGTAGTCTAATATCAACTAATTCGTGATAATTATCCTCTAAAAATAAGGCAGTAAAAAAGTGCTTCTAAACAAAATAGTCTTCCTAGTCGTTCTAAAGCCAATAATTTGAGATAATACTCAATGATTATCAAGAATTATCATGGTTTAGAGGAGTTTAGATGAATTTCCCTAGGGAGGGTTTTCCTGATGCTGTGAATCACTTGATCAGGGTCAAGGAATCCAAAACATGTGGGATCATCACCTTTGAAGAATCCAAGCCAGTGCAAACACTTTGCAGACCAGCCACCCTTGAACGTAGTATCATGCCCAAACCAACATATGAAAAGTACAGACATATAAGATAGACAGATCACTGTAGTATTCCTCACTTTGTTCTACTTGGTAGAATCCCAGAACTAGTCTAATCAACTAGCTTTCCCTTGAAACTCCTGTTCAACTAAGTCCCCAACTCAGTTGTCTTTAACCGCACTTCTAAGAGAGCCACTGCTATCTTAGTCGATCCTGCTAGTCCTATGTCTTGACAAGGCATTGTCCTTACCAAGACAGTCAGAGGGAACCCTTAGCATTCACTGAGACTCTGAACTCAGTACTCGGTAGCACATTTGTGCTTGTACCATTAGAACTATACAAGTTGTGACAAACATAGAGCTGAAACCATGATTAGAATATAAATTTAAGCATAAATATTGGACACTTACAGGATACAGTGGAGAAGGAGTCATATCTGCAATAGTCACATTAGACTGTGTGAATGGTCCTTGTGGTATACATGTGAATAGTTAAATAAGCAGCTGGAATAGATCTTGGATCACTAAAAGATGATGTCAGAAGAGACTCTGAGTTAGATAATCATACACTGGCATACCCTGTCCCAATAAGTGAAGCCAGACCCCAAGCCAACACAGGCCAGCCCAAACCCCACCTTGCACTCCTGCATATAATCCCAGTCTGTCCTCACTACATCTGTAGGCTACAATAGCCCAAAAGATTATATCCACCATGACTATCATCAAGAGAAAAAAAATACAACTAATGAATACAGTTGATGGAGTAAGTGTAGGCATAGCTGAGTCAGCAAGAATTAGCCCAAAGTCAGTTTTAAGTTAGGGACAGAGTTAGTGCACTTGCCTAAATACAAATCAATGAAATAGTATACAATGATAAGGTGCCAGTTGATGGATTGAAGAAGTACCCCAGCAGGGTGTGCAAACCTTCTGAGAAACCTGTAGAGATAGGCAAAGAGTAAGGTGGTGATTATTGCTGCAATGATGGTGATGTGTTCAAGGGGGGGCATGGAATGGGCCTGGGAAAACCATGAAGAAGTAGCAGTGATGAGAAGTGGAAGTGCAAACAGTATGATGGCAAGCACTGTAGCATAGGGGCTGGGGGATTGGTTCAAGATTGTGAAAGAATCTGCCTCTCTTTGTGTAGTTGGTGGGTAGAGAATGATGGCTGATTGATGATTTGTAGGGAGTGTTGCTGTTGAGCTAGACATAGTAGTATGTAACAAGGCTTGAGATGTAGTATAGTGTTAAAAGGTAAACTTAGGAGCATCAACAAACCATAGATGGAATCAGATATTATTACATAATGCATACACATACACCTCACAAATCACCAGTTCAATGCCAAAAGAATATCCAAACAAGAAACCCATCACATTCAAAGGATCAAAATCTAGCGCCATTGCTAAACACTACCTCTAATCCAAAACCCTAACCCCGCCCCGCCCCAACCCTCCTATAAAACAACAAATACGCACACCTCATCGTCTCATCCTTCTCCGCGCCCCCACTCCCAAACACATCATCAGCTCTCAAATCAGAAACCAACTCATCGTCAATGCGTATCCACCCCTCGCGCGGCTTTGTGGGTGGAGTTGACATGTCGACGTTGGGGTGGAGGACGTCAAGGGTGTAGTGTCCGCCCGAGGCTGAGAGGCCGTGGTGGTAGAGCGCTGTGTCAGTCGGTGAGGTTATTTGTGCCGATAAAACGAGACGGAGACGGACGCACCTCCAAACAACCGATACCTCGTTCCATTCACCTTCCTCCCAGGTGCCATCACCTCACTCCCAACCTCCAGCTCAGGCGCAAACGCGACCTGTTTCCCAACCTTTGCAACACCCCCTTTATTAGCATCGTATAAGAACCGCTTGAGGTGGAGGATGAGGATCGGAGGGAGGGATTCGATGTAGACTTGTTGAGTTGCATCGAGGGTGGCACCTGGGCGGGTTACGGATGTGACTTGTACGGATTGGGGGGTGGAGATGTGCGTTAGGGCGTCTTTGATTGTGTGGATGGTGTCGCGCTATGTCAGCGTCAGTTTCAATAAGCTTAGACGAGGTGGCAAAATGACTGACTTGGATGTCTAACCGTAGACTACGCCAGTCTTCGACTACAGCAGAGTCTTTTTGGTGTGGTACGCGGAGGATGGAGCGGAATTTGCCGCCGAATATACGGGTCATGGGGGAGTCAGCTGTTTTTGTCTAGGAAAGGTGAGTATTGATGAAAGGGAGGAAAGGGAGACCTTACAGAGCGCGTGAGAACGGTGCGGTTACGCTTGCCCACCTCGAGCCAGCCCTCTTCTTGCGTGTTGTTCACTGCAGCGTTGTGGTTCTGCTGAGCTGGAACTGGGTTGGGGTTAGCGAGTGACGAGGAGAGCGTCAGGAGCTCTTCTTCGAGCGTGTCGAGGTAGAATCCAAGGAACTCTTCTGCATCTTCTTGATGTCCGCCCTGTCAATACAACTCAGTATCGAAGTCGCCAAAAGTAGGAAAGAGGACCCACGCGCATATGATCGAACCTCTTCTTCTCCTTCAAAGCGTCATGAACATAAGTCGGCATAAACGAATCCATAATATCTTCATTCACTTCCTCATGCACAAGACCATCTGATCCATAGCGCTCTACACCCTTTCCCTTGCCCTCCACGGGCACCCTCTCTTTTGGCATAAACTCCTTTACAAACCGAATGGTAGCATCGACCAACGGGGTCTTAGACTCCTCCGTAGGCTCAAGTAAGCGCCCGAGATCCGTAAAGAAGCGCCAGAATGGAGGACAGTACACAAGGACCTGAAGCACCGCGTTAGCGAAGCACAAGTTACCAGAGTTGACGAGGCCGCGTGGCCTGATACGCATGGGAGCTGCGGATGATCCACCGGAGTTGAGCAGGGTCAGAAGCTCAGACTTTTTGGGGTGGGACGTTTTTTGGGAGGTGGGGTTTGAGGGAGGGGGAGAGGCAGGGATGGAGAAGCCTACGACAGAGGATGCGGGGAGGTTGGAGGGGCCGGGTTTGCGGAGGAGAGAGGCCCATGATACGGCGGGCTTTGGGGCTGGGGCAGGCGCGGGTTTGGAGGCTGACGTGGAGGCTTCTGCAGATGGGGTGGAGGTAGAAGAATCTACATCGGATGGGTTAGCCAGAGAAGGCTCTGCATCAGATAAGGAAGGCGCAGCAGCGGACGTAAAAGGTTCTGTATCAGATTCGGATAGCTTAGGCGCCTCTACGGGATCAGTGGATGATAGCTCAGGCTCTAGTTCGGCGTTGGATGACGTGGCCTCCCAAGGCTTCTCTTCAGATTGTTCGGGAGCCTTTGCAAGAGAAAGTGAAGTATTAGTAGAATCCGGTGAGCCGGGCACAGGTGTATCAAATGCTGTGGAAAGCGGAGGAGTCGTATTTGATTCTGTACTGTCTGGGAGATCAGAAGGCACGGTTGGCGCTGATAGATCTATAATGATGGGTGTGGGGGATGGAGGGGGGGTTGGAATGTCGAGTGCATATTGAATGACATCGCGAGGAGGATGAGCTAGAGGTGATATGATGATACCAGGAGCGGTAGATGGATCTGTGGGACGTTTTGACCAAATGACCCAGCCACCTAGTTTTGGATCTGTGCTAGGCATGGGTGAAGAAGGAGGCGAAGTTGTTGGATTAGGCGTCTCCTCGGGTTCTATATTTTGATTTCCGATCTGATCGCCGCTGGATTGAAGAGAAGGAAGAGTTGACAGTTGTTTTGGTAAGGGAGAAAGCGGCTGCTGGCCATGTTGTTGCCAGTAACTAGACCTCGGAACATAATGAGCAGGCTGATGAGGATGATGATAATTGTAGTGAGGATGAAATATTGGTCGGTGAATGTGTCCATTCATTGGTACTGCAGCCTGATATCGCTGATATTGACCAGGAAATGGCCCGGTAGCCACATTACCGTAAGGGTAATGGTAATAATTCGAAGGACCAGGAGGACCAGCGTGAGCTGCCATACTAAATTTTTGACTGCCGTTGAGTAAATGTCAAAATATAATGAGCTCAACGCACCTGACAGCGAGGGAAGAGTGTCTAGACTGGGTCGCGTGGTTAAGGGCCTCCTTCAAAATCTGATTCTCAATTCTTGTTGTATTTTGTTTGTATACTGATCCCGAAATAGACTTGCAGCAACGTTAGGATCCGTCGCTGACGATGAGCGTCGAGCAGAACGAGCTCGACGACGAGCACCCACTCGTCCTCGAACTATCCAGTCTCAGACAAACAGCAGCTCGATTTCAGGTACTTTTCATTTTACACACCTCTGTACTGACCACTCATATTCATTAGCATGAAGCACACCAAGCTGCTCTCAAACTCCAGCGTCACACTCTAGCAACAGCCCAAACAAACGACCGCTTACATTTCCTCGAATCACAACATTCCTTGCTCTTATCTGAGCTAGCTACCCTCCGTGCTTACCCCTTACCCAACTCTCAATCAGACACACACGTCGTCCAAGAACTCACTCTCGCCCTAAGACGTTCTTCCGAGAAACTCGATCTCACAGAACATGCACTAGCAGAAAAGATAGCTGAACTCGTAAACACCCGCACCGAAGCCCAAAAAGCACGTTACAACGCAGAAGGCGCGTATAAACTCGCAGCAAGTGTTCGTGCACGCGAAGAGGAAGGTAAAGTCCGCGAACGTAGCTTGGAAACGCGTCTCCAAGCTGCAGAGGAAGAACGTAGGCTCATAGAGCTCGTGGTACACGAGTACGCTGATCTCGTACGCAGTTTGGATGGCAGGAAGAGCTCGCTTGGTAATGGGGGCGCAGTACTGCAAAACGCATCTGCATCTGCGTCTTCTCTCACCCTCGTCGAAGGGCTCCACGAGGGCAAATCGAACTTGCATCGCCTTACGACCGAATATGCTTTCGAGACCGAGAAACGCGAAATGAGCATCACCCAGCTACGCAATGAAATCACAAATTTGGAGAACATCCTCAATGCTGAGCGTAAAACAGCTGCTCATGACCGTGCTCACCTCGCAAAAGCGCGGTCAGAATTAGAAGCACTAAAGCTAGACGACACCACAGCAGCCAAGATGGTCTCCCGATACATGTGCGTACCCCTTACATGTATTGCTTCTACAGACTCGAGCTTCACACAGGAAATTCTCGCAGTCTCAAACTAATGCCCTTCAATCCACACTCACGACTCTCCAAACACGACACGCATCTAGCCAACACACTCTCCAATCAACGATCAACGACGCTGAAGCACGAATGCACGCTCACATGGCCGAGAATGCACGTCTTCGTGACGCCTTAGAAGAGCTCGGCGAAGAAGTCACCAGGGAAGCATATGGACGGCGAAGGGAAGTCGCACTACGTCTTGCCCTTCTCGCACGCGAAGAAGCGCTCAGTGAAGCCCTACGCCGATGGGTTCGAAGAGCCCAAGAAGGTATGAACCGCTGCGCAGACGCAGATAGTCAAATGTATGCAACTTTTGAGCGGGCAGTGAAAGATGCGGAAAGTCTCTTGGTGACGCTGGATGCGGAAGTGACTGGGAGTTTGGTTACTGGTGTGTTTGGGAGGTTGGTTCTTGCTAAGGACGCTATGATGAGAATGACTGAAGAGGTTGGGGTGGAGGTCGAGAGAAGGGTAGCTGCTGAGCGGAAGATTTCCTTGGGCATGGGGTCTCTTGACGAGATTGCCCACGAACAGACTATTTCAGTCGAAGGAACTCTCATTGATATTACAGAACAAGCACCCTATGCACAGGACATAAGCACCGATATCCCGCCTACCCAGGATCTATCATTCGCTTCTCCACCCACACCTACACTTCTTCCAAATCTCCCGGCGGAGGACAGCAGGGGTACGTCCTCACCCGTCATGGGCGACATCACATCTGGTACTTCGCAGCTGCTTCTTGATTTACCCACCGAATCGAGTCAGTCGTCTGCTGTCTCGATCCTCAATCTGACGCAGACCCCCGCTACGAAAGAGGTGTATACTTTACCGCAGTCTGCCGAACTACCCGCGCCTTTGGTGCCTGCGAATGAGCTGACTATGGAGCCTGTTGACATGGATAGAATTCTGGATACTCAAGAAGTCAAATTGCACGTTCAAACACCTGACACTGAAGGTACGCCTTTGCCCGTCATAGGCGAGATCACGCCTGGTAGCTCGCAGCAGCTTCTCGATTTTCCCGCCGAACCAGGTCGATGTACTGCAGTATCAATCCTTGATCTGGTGCAGATTCCCGCTGGGGAAGAGGCGTGTATTTTGCTGCCTTTTGTCGAGTCGCATACGCCTTTGGCTTCCGCCAATAAATCGATCATAGAGTCTGACACCGATAGAACTTCAGATACTAAGGATACCCCACCACCCCTTCCCCTAACGAATCTCGCAAAACAGGAAGAAAGTCCCACTAACCAATTTCTGGAAAGAAAGGAGGATTCCGGTGTCCTCTTCACTTCAGCTGCTACAAGTCCAGAAGCTCAAGCAGTCGCTCCCGCTAATGAACCCAACAACTTAACCACCAACATCATTCCCTCATCACAACCCCCCTCCATCCCAGACGAAATCTCATCCTTATTGTCCTCCCTCAGCGAAGTCAACCACCGCTACGACACCCTCCAACACGCATTCCGCGATTGCTCTCTCTCGCTCAAAGACCTTAAACGCTTGCTCCCCCCCATCCCCATCGCCTCTCCGCCGACACTGACACCAACACCTTCTCACTCTCCCCAATCCTTTCTTCGCACCGCCCTAGAGCGCATATCCGACTACACCGAAGACGCCCGTGTCGAGCTCGAAATCCGCATCACAGACGAAGCACTCGCCATTCGCGGTTTTGAGACCCTCCTCACCGTCCCAGGCGCGCTTTCCCTTTCATTGGATTCGAATTTGGACCTTGAAGAAATGCGGGCTTTTGTTGATGGACGTGATGAGGGTGTGAGGAGGGCCAGGGATAGGCTTGAGGAGAAATTGGCAGATGTACAACATGATGTAGCGGTTGTTAAGCGGGCTGTGCATGACTTTCAGGTTCTGCTTGACGAGGAGAGTGAACCAGAGGAAGACAAAAGCTGGTCTGCATGGACATCAAGCCTCCTCCCTCGTTCATCCACACCTACACCAAGCCAAACGCCTACATTTGGTTCTATGATGACTTCTCCGCGATTGAGGCGTTCCTCCTCGGTGAAGCAACTATTTTCGCTTGCAGAGCTAGAGTTGAGAATTCCTATGCCGTTGCCTGCGTTGATACCTCAAGCTCAACCTGCGTATGGAGCCCTTGGACTTGGAGTGGGATCTGGAGCTGCACCGGGGTTGGGACGTCAACGGACGATGTCAATGATGTATTCGTTGGGGATCGGGTCTAGGGCTTCGGTTTCGACTTCGGCGTTGGGGTCAGTGTCGTCATTGGGGATACCTGGGATGTCACCTGTGAAGAATGAGGGAGGTAGGAGTAGGTTTGTCACGACCCCGCTCACTGGTGAGACCCGCCGTGATTGTGATGAAAGCGATGTCGAGTGATAGGTTTCGTCACTTGTATGCACGATTTGATGTTATGTTTGCAATTGGTTGGTTTATTGCTCTGTATGATTCATTGCTAGGTTAGGACTTTGTTTGCATACCTCCTACTTACGTAAAGGATCATCGATACGATTGCGAGCGCTTACAACGTTCGGGACCGTTATCAATGGACATGACTTGATCACGTGGGGATAAAACGTTTCGTGGAGCAAGCCACTAAGCGCAACCCTTGCATCCTTCTCTAATCTTCAATATTCAATCCCTCTTATACAATCATGTCTGCAGAAACTGCTACCCAGCCTCAGACCCAGATTCAGACTTCTCCATCAGCCAGGCGTGGCAAACGAGGCGGACACAGAGGCCAAGGCGGTCAACGCGGAGGCGGTGGTAAATCCCGAGGCCGCAAGGATCCAAGTGCAACCGCACCAGCCGACCCCGTTCTTACTCAGCCAACTCAGAGCGAAGTCGCGCCTGCTCCAGAAGCCACAGACGACTCAGTGGTATGCTGGATCTGCGCAGAGCCCGTCAAATACTACTCAGTATCAGCGTGCAACCACCGGACGTGTCATGTCTGTGCTCTACGCTTAAGAGCACTTTATAAGAAGCTGGATTGTACATTTTGCAAGGGGGGTCTATCTTTTCTTGGTCCCATCTATGAATTTTGACGCTGGGACGTTTACTAGGAACCTCAAACGACAGTGATATTCACGACTTCCCCCGATGCGCTTTTTTCTTCTTACACCCCCGACATGATCCCGCATAAAGACTCCAAGTTATTAATCTATTTCGAGTCCACTGATATGATGGAAGAGACGCTTATTCTTCTACGCTTCAATTGTCCTGACTCGCAGTGCGATTATACCGCGACTGGATGGGGTGATCTTAAATTACACGTCCGGGGTACGCACGGAAAGATGATGTGGTACGTGCATCAGATATGTAAGCTTATGCACAAAGCACAGACTTCTCATGCCCTTGAAAGTGACCTGTGTATCCGATTCAAGAAAGTTTTCAGTCACGAGCACGCTTTGTACCTCCCCAACGTTCTACCTTTACACTTGCCGTCTATGCCGCATCGGTCTCATAAACAAGTGACAAAAGAGCCTATTGAAGGCGGCGTACATCCATTATGCGGCTTCTGCAAAGAATGTTTTTTCAGTGATGATGAGTTGTATGTTCATATGCGCGAACGACACGAGGAGTGCTTCATTTGCAAACGGAATGAAGTACGAGATCAATAGTTAGTTTTTTTGTCGTTTGTACGCTGACGGTTTATGCTAATACGGGGTCGTGTCTAGCTTTCAAGACTATGAGGCCCTTGTAGGATCTTTTTGACTGCATTGACATTGACGCTCGTAGTAATTCATGATTCCCTTGGCAGGAACAACATTTTAATCAAGGGCATTTTGCGTGTTCAAAACCTGCCTGTCAGGCTCAAAAATTTGTGGTGTTTGGATCTGCGATCGATCTCAAGGCGCATCAGGTCGAAGTGCATGGAGCAGAGATGACTTCAAGAGATAAGAAGAATACTCAGCGTGTTGAGGCAGAGTTTGAATTTGGGGATGCTGGTGGTGGGCGTAGGGGCAGACGGGACCGGGAACGAGAACGAGAACGAGAACATGAGCCGCCGCCTGCTGCGCAGCCTAGGGCAGTGGCAAGACGCAGGGAAGCATTCGGTGGCCATCTGACTACAACCAGTTCTCCTGCGCCTAATGGAGCGCAAACGCCGCAATCGGCCGGACCTAGCCGACGAGCTTCGCCATCCCCACAGCGAAACGGAGAAGACGTCGATCCTGTTGTAGCTCAGTAAGAGTATTGTCAGAATCTCCAAGATTTGTTCTCACACCGTTATAGGCGTCATGCGGCGTTCATTTCAAGGTTACAATCTGTTGCGCCAAACCCTACCACTGCAGTGCTCGCTGCTAAAGCTGCTGTCCGAGGATTCCGATTCAACGAATCTACCGCCCGTGATCTCATCTCGACAATATGGAACGTTCTGGACAGGAATTTAGATGACACTGCGGGTATTGTCAATGCTATCGTCGACTTATTTGATGAAGAAGAGAAGAAGTCTAATCTGCTCTCCTCTTGGAACGGATTCAAAATCGAGGTATTTTACTGACCCCTATATCTGTACTGCAGTGGATCTGACAGTGAGATCGCAGCAACGTCAGCAGTTTCCTGATCTAGTACCTCAGGAAGTAGGGTCAGGCTATGCTGGTATCGCATCCGGTCGCGTCTTGAACGTCAAGCATGCTACCGCCGCGCGATTTTCGTCACAATCTTCGAGACAAGTGTGGGATCGTGTTGCACAGGCGGCTGGATCTTCTTCATCCCGCATTGGCTCCGCTCCTACTCCAATACCACGACCGCCAGATAGTTTCCCGGTTCTGACAGGTCCCTCTCAGCCGCAGCCTGCAGTTCCGCCAACAACAGCGGAACACCCCGTGGGCTTCTGGATCTGGATCTTCTAGCACAGGTTCCCGAGCACCGAAATCGGTACCAACCCCTGTAATACAGCAACGCGCTGTTGCGAAGAAAGGTCCGCCGCCACCGTCGCTTACATCTGCTGCTTTTCCAGTGTTACCTTCGTCTGGTAACTCTCGTATGAAACCGCTAGTCAGCGGGAATCAGTCTCTACGAAACATCCTTGGTGAAACTGCTCCGACCGTTGCTGCTTGGAAAAGCAATGGCACGGCAAGCGGGGGCGGTACTCCGATACCGGAAGAACAGAATGTTGCCGAAGAGACTGCTAGTGGAAAGGGGAAGAAGGGAAAGGGGAAGCAGAAGCAGACCTTGTTTACTCTCGGTTCTTTCCCAACATAAGCAAAGGTGTCATCGTGCCTCCCTATTGCATTCATTCATACTGAGGGACTGGGATAGACGTATAGATATGCCAATAATGAAAACTTGATTGTAAACTCTCTTGACGAGCCTATACTAGCATCCCCGCATCACCGGTGCTATTCGTCGCCTGGAATCCGCCAGAAATCCGTGTTTCATGTGAGCATGCATCGCAATGCTAAGTGCAATTCCCCTAAGGAATGAGGCAAAGTGGCTTCAACCGCTGTTTGGGCTTGACAACCTCAGACTCCGTGTTACCCTTGCTCATGATTGTTCTAGTGAATGAAGCAACCATCACATGCATCAACTTCTGTAGAAAACTCGTCATCAGCTATTGCAAAAAGGCGTCCCGGCGGGTTTCGGCCAAAGACGAGAGAATGATGACCGAAGGTCACAGCAGTGTGGCATAGTAACTGACTCATTGTTGAGCTGTCGACTGCTGTCGTATGAATTTGAGCTTCCCGCGTTAGTGACGGAACGTAACAAAACCTAGTGCCTTCGGTGACTCTGGTTCCTTGCGATTTGAATTGCCAGATGTCAACGTTTCGACTAGTAATACGTTTAGAGTGTATAGTAGAAACCAGTCACTAATATGTTAATATACGGGTAGATCTGAGGCTGTTTGTCTCCTTGAGTTGACCTAATCCAAATATATCGATATCAGTCCTTATGATATTTAGGAAGCCGTAGTCATTGTATCATGTATGATATTACGCGTCTCATCTCTTCGTATGCTTTCCCTTGGTTCGGTGGGCCTCGGAGCCGAGTGTTGTGCCATTCACCGAATGAATAATTCAATACTTACCCCATAGGCGCTTGAGATGAAGACATCGCGCCAGAAGTAGCAATCCAGCAGAACACATGATGTTGCCACCTAGACAAGATCAACGTTCACCCAAAGACCGCGTATTTCATAAACGTGCCTGCATAGAAACCCGCGTCAACAAACCCTCCTGATGCAGTACTGATGGCCCCTGATATCGGAGGGACCTGCAATAGCTCCAAAAGCAGCGAGGGACATGAACATCCCCACTCGGCGGCCTGCATCCTCTATATCTCCCAATGCCACGGCAGCTAAAGCGAAGAGAGCTAGGAATCCTCCCGAGGAGAATCTAGATTGGGTGAGTTGGCAGCTAGTAACGAACAAGGTCCACACATACCCGTAGATGGTGGCTATTGCAATAATCTGTGATTCATTTGTAGCAAATGGCCAAGCGAATGTCGTAATGCCTGCCATCGCGGTAAAAGCCGCCATAGTATTGAGTACGCCTGTCAGGAATTAACTGGTGTTACCATCCACAGCCATCGTCGAGACTTACCAATTTTATCTGCCAGTAGTCCAGATGACAGACGTCCAAATGTAGATGCTCCATTGGCAATCGCGATTATATAGAATGCAAAGTTTTTGGAGACGCCAATTGCTATGGCACTCACAGAGATATATGTTAGCTCTGGTGGATCAATTCAGAATACGAGGAAGCCACGGTGGTAACTGTTACGACAATACCTGTGTAGAGTCCTAAAAATCCAAGCATTCCTGAAATGCAACAAATGGTATATGCTGTGTTGCGGAATGCTTTAAGATTGAAGAGTCCCCCACGAACATTGACGGGTGGAAGACGTCGTTTCAGTAACTTGGGAAACATGCTTCAGAGAGGGACAGAGAGAGGGGCATCTACAGGTGACGATGACATACTATATTGGCCATCCCAAGTGTAGCAAGTAGAATGAATCCAAATACACGCATCGTCCATTGAAATCTAAAATTTTATGAGCGAGCATGAATCATTGATGATCAGTCGACCGGACCCGATTAATGGAATTAATTTTTGAGCTGCTGCAGGAAACACAGTACTGCCAGACGAAGCGCCAACGGCGGCTAATGACATAGCGAGACCACATTTCCTGTCGAACCAATGCGAAATGACAACAAGTGCCGGTCCAACTATGATACCACAGCAGATTCCCAGACTGAAACCTTGTACAAGAAAGAAGTGCCAAAATTGAGTGCATTCCGCAATTAGGAAGGCGGATACGACGATAACACAGCTAGCGGCCAAGAAGGGTATTCTGAAGTATCCTAGGTCAAACATTCGTCCTGTCGCAAGTGCTGGAAAGTATATGAGCGCGTACTAGAAGGACACGTGAGCGACACAAGTTTACTGGACCTAGAAATAGATTTACCTGCGCAGAACCGATCCATGCTCTGGAGAGTAAAAGTGTACAATAGATCAGTTACAAGGTCGCGTCAAACCAACGAACGCCGTACATGTTTGAAGGAGAAGTCTGACGTAGTAGATTTTCCTCGTAATACACTTGAAAGACCTGAAAGGGGGGAAATTGCAGGAATTGCCAGTATATGGTGACAAACCTCACTTACCCCCCATGTATTAGCTATACCGAACCTGGTGATCACTTGAGCTAAGCTGGGGGGAAGGAGAAAATTGAGACAGCTCACGTAGAAAATAAAGTCAAGTTAACACTGTAATTTGAAGATGTCAGTGACTATTTCAAAGAATTAATCGTAGGCCAGTACTGACGCAACAACGACCAGCCACGCGGTCAATCCTCCATCTGGTGTTCCAGTAATGTGTGTTACAGGCTTCTCAGAAACTTCTTCATGCTGCAGGGCTTCCTGGCCAGCTGGAACGGCTGCCCAAGGTAAGGCTTCAGACACAAATGCGGTGCCCTGTGATTTGCTTGCGGACTCCTCAGACATGATAGCTTTGAAGATCAGGATCAAAATAAGAGTGGGGGAATGTACTGGTCCATTCTGCCGATGTTATGTAGTGTAGCATTATTGAGCTATTTGCAAACCGATGGCCGTTGGCATTCCTGACCGAAGAATATCGATCCTAGCTAGTAGGACCCAGGGTATCCGATCGACCCTATCCGACCCCCGCATCTGCGCCATCACATTGTTCTCACGCATTACATATCTAAACATTAAAATCATGTATAAGCTCGCTGTTTTCCACAAGCTACTGCTTAGACGCACCATACCTTGCCTCCCTAGTCCGCACTCAATAGCTGCACAAGCACCAGGTGAGACAGCGACAGGAAGAAATGGAGAGAAAAACTTACCTGTAGATACTAGAAATGGACAGGTCACAGCGTACCCCGTTATTGCTTAAAGTAGACACGAAAGGCGGGATGCTAGGGTTTGTTTATTTGGTGTTTGTTCGTATTGTGGTGGTCGGGTTATAACGTTAGACCCTGGGTCCTGGGATCTGTATTCACGAAGCACATGACGTCAGCGAGCTAAATCATCTCCGTTCTACATGCTTTATTGTTTCTGCCAGTGGTGGTTCAATTGATACCGCTAGAAAATATATATCATACCCCAAAATTTTAAATATTTACGCGTACATGGCATGGCAAGTGGCGTTCATGCGGAGACGCCTCAACGACCGACGCTAATAGCGCGCACTTCAAGAAGCAACTAAAAATTGAGGTTGTAGGTGTTGATTTTACCAATTTTCACTACAAAGTTGAATCTGCAATAGCTTTAAACTTAGAATCGGCAGTTTCAGTCGCAAAGCGCTACATGCAGCGAGTCTGCCTGTGATCTGGCTTGATCCATTGATCCTTCACCTCCGGGGACCAGCGAACAAGTCCAATTGCATATTTTGCTCCTTGTAATCGTGGCATCATCAGATGACGCTTCACGAACGGTGTAAGACGTCTTGTGCCACTCAAAACACCGCAAATGGCTTTGTGAAGGAGTTTTGTGTCACACGTCGCGGAGAATACTATATGTACATAACCTCAGCAGCGTGATTTGCACACACTAGTACAGTTGCTCTTTCCGCCACCGGCTGTCTGTTGATCCTGTTCACTTCTCTCCATATTGACAGAAAAACGGTGCTATGCCCGACTCGGAAAAGTTACCAACTATAGAGTCCTTGCAGGGCATTGACTCTGCGTCTGAAAGCAAATATATATTGCCTTACGATAAGCAGAAGACAGAAGCAGGCTTCGACCACGAACTTCAAACCCATCTTAGCGAAGCACCAGATGGAGGAATAAGGGCATGGCTTGCGGTTTTTGCGCAAGTACAAATTCATTTGATCGAAATAGCCACTGACGTCTTTGGATTATAGTACTGCATTGGTTACATTCTCTACGTAAGCTGCTCCTAATTTATTCCTCTACTAGTTCGACTCAAGAAATTGTACTAGGTTTGGTTTTTTAAATTCATGGGGTGTAAGCAAGGTTTGTCACGATACACTTGCAGTTCCTACAAATTCCGCCTTTTCAGATCTTCCAAGCGTACTACGAGGAAAATCTATTGCTTCACACTCCACCTTCAACTATGTAAGGTGCTAAGTCTATTTGATGCAATGTTAGACAAATGACCTCTTGCACTCTCCAGAGCATGGATCGGTTCTACGCAGGCGTGTCTAATTCTGGTTCTAGCAAGCCTACTAAGCTCATTCGTGCTACTAGTATGCACTCACGTACCTTCCGGCTCTTGCAACAGGGCGAATGTTTGACCTGGGATACTTCAAAATACCGTTCTTCGCCGCTAGCTGCGTCCTCGTCGTGTGCACCTTTCTAACCGCAGAATGCACTCAATTCTGGCAGCTCTTCCTGACACAGGGTGTCGGCCTGGGAGCGGGCTGCGGTTTCCTGTTTAGTCCCGCAATCGTCATCGTGTCACAATGGTTCTCCAAGAGACGTGGCCTTGCTTTGTCTACCACCACCGTTGGGGCTGCGTTCGGCAGCATCTTGTTTCCTGTAGCGGCACAAAATTTGATTCCGTTAATTGGGTGAGTTTATTTAATCGATCATGGGGCACTTCCATATATGCTCACAACACCTTCAGATTTAGATGGACAGTTCGTGTATTTGGATTCATGCTAATGGCTACAATGGGGATGGCAAACATAGTATGTCGTTAGCACCTGAGAACATCTCTGCGACTGACGCATTTTCCTCAGTTTCTTAAACGGCGGCTTCCGCCCACTAAAGTTCGCGGGGGACTCTTCAATCTCAAAGCATTTCGCAACAAAGCATATTCCACTTATTGCGTTTCAGGAATTATGATACTTTTAGGTCTTTATACAGGTAATACCATTGTGCTTTATTATTATGGCTCCTGATATTTTGGTTCATCAGAGTTAACATATATCTCTGTGAGCGCCGTAACAATTGGCGTCTCGAAAGATTTTTCGTTTTATATAATTGCGATCGCCAATGCGGCATCTGCGTTTGGACGTCTGTCATCTGGACTGTTGGGAGATAAAATCGGTAGGTCTTGACAGCTGTGGACTATACGAACATCAGTTGATATTTGACAGGCGCACTCAACACCATGGTAATTTACACGGCTATTACAGGAATCACAACAGTCGCCTGGCCGTTTGCTAAAGACGAATCCCAGCTTATTGCAATAGCCATTATTCACGGGTATGTATTGCACTTTTTCAGTTGCCAGGTGCACGATTGACTGACCCATCCAGGTTCTCCATCGGAGCATATATATCTCTGTACTCTGCACCTGCCGTGGCAATGGGGAGAATGGAAGACGCAGGGCGTCGAGTGGGGATGTTCATGTCCCTCATTGGTTTCGGAGGCATTGCAGGTCCTCCAATATCAGGTGTGATTTGTACCGCGACAGGAGGCTTCGTTGATACGGGTTATTATGCAGGTAGGTTTATGACACCCGCGATCTTTGAGTGAACACAGACATTTCCCAGGTGGCAGCATTATATTTGGTGTCGCATTGCTACTCGTGGCACAGTACCTTCACCTCGGACGGCTATGGGGCAAATTTTGAATGATCGTTCCGTGAGGTAAATTTAGTGTTGAGTCGATGTGTTCTTGAAGGAGTGGATGTGAAATGATTCAAGCGTGGCGAGCATTAGTCACTTTCGCTATAGACTAGCGTAGCAATTTGGTTTGTACTACATTAAAGCTGGGCAGGAAACCTAGAGTTTTCTTGCGTAAAGTAGCCCTTTCTTACTCAATCTTTCCCGTCTGATTGGTTGATGAAAGCGATGTGAGTGATGTACATTGCTCGGTACTTCGCGTTTCTTTCGACGCGACCTTTATGACAGGAACAGCCGACTGGACTGGAATATGTCCATCCAGACTCGAACATGGCATGCTCCTGGAAGCCGCCTTCGGTAGCTAGCTTGAAGTCATGGACACTTATCTATAAAGGTTTTCTCAAATCATCGCCCTGTACCACTTGTCAGACTTACAAGAGGTCCGGAATGAAAAACTGCACTGACATATCTCGCCAAGCCTCTGTTGACGGGCCGCTGCTTGGAGATCTAACAAGACGAATGAGTAAAAGAGTAGGGTGTTGACAACCGATTGACGCACAGCATCTATCGGTCAAATTGGACGTCCCTGGTCAAAGAAGTGTGATCAAGTGTGAACGAGATGCAGGATTGACTTCCTTTGAACTTCCCGTCGGGCTTTGCATTAGCATCATCTGTACCCTAAACAACAACCAAAAATAGAGAAGACATTGACACAATGCAGATACACACACCCTGCTGTTTGAGCGCTGCTTCCATGCTCCATACGCAATTTCCAGCACTGGGGATGTACTTTCCATCGGAGGCAGTCCAGAGTTCGCCGTCATGCAAGGGCGGGTCTCCGACTGGCTGATTGGTCTTGAGGTTCCAGATGCGAACTGTGCAGTCAAGTGCTGCGCTAACAAGATGACTTTCATCAGGGGAAAGACCAAGGGAGTTGACGATATCGGCATGACCCTTGAAAACGACTCGGAGCCCCTTCCTTTGAATCGACCGCCACTTTCGGGCAGTGCGATCACTCGACGCGGAGAAAATGTATGCTGTACGGTGCCGTCGATCGATCCACTTTCTATCTCCAGGGCATTGAGAGACCAATCGAGGCAATATCTCGGTGCTCTGGAGTTGCTGGTATATTCCGAGTCGTGATATGACCTCGTCTGCCCATTTCTAGTAGGTTGCTGATACAAGTATGTAGGAACAGCTAAAATCACTCAAACTCCGAGTCGGTTACGTGAGCTTGGTTCCACTTCTTGTTTGTGAGTTACTTCAATTACCGAGTCGTCTTGGAAATCACGCGCCTAAGCGACGGAAGCGCGGGCCAGCGACTTCATCCACTATCTTGGCTCAAAGGCTACAACAGGATCAGGATCATATCGATGAGCTATGATATATGATGGTTGATTGCCAACAAACATACAAATTGGATTCAAATTTGCTGGCCCTCCTGGCATACGTCATGAGGCCTGAGGCCTTGAGGGCCCAACGCCTCACCCTTGGGACTTGAATGCGCGACATGACTATCTAGCGCGCACTTGAAGTCGTGCGGGTATCATATATAGTTTCTGAAAAAGGTGAAATTGCCGACATGATCTTTTACTACGAGACTAATCAGTCAAGGGTACTGGGTATCATACTATGAAGACTCTGAGCCTTCGAATCGTCACTGATGCAGTTTCATCGGCAAAGTACAGGCTATGTATAATGGGCCTGCCTACCAATCGGCTCGATTCCTTAACTTGACCAGCGAAGGCCAGCAAGTGTAATGACATGTTTTTGGTCATTGTGTGCGTGGCTTTATCGAATGAGAATGGAATACACGGTTCTAGTTCCGATGCGGCCCCTCAAGATTTTGAAAATAGCTATAGGGAGTATCCAGGTGTCCTGGAGAGTATTATATGCAAATAACGTTGGCAGTATGGTTTTCACATACCGGTTCAGTTACCCCTTCCTTCCTGCTCTTCGTTGTGTCTGACCTCTTCTCCGCGCAAAGTTGGCAGGAGAAGCCATGTCCAAGAAGTCACCAAGTATAGAAGTCCTGCAGGGCATTGACTCTGCGTCCGAAATCAGCCATGTCTTGCCTTACGATGGGCAGAAGACAAAAGAAGCTGTTGACCCGGAAATCCTGGATGAACAACTTTCTCAGAAGTATGTAACACATCTTGGTGAAGCACCAGATGGAGGATTAAGGGCATGGCTTGTGGTTTTGGGGCGAGTACATTTTAAATCCATTGAACAGTCGCTGACGTCTTTGCATTGCAGCGCCGCATTGGTTATGTTCTCTACGTGAGCTGCTCCTGATAATAATTCTTCCATAGTTTGACTCAAGAAGGTTCCATCAGGCTTGGTCCGTCACTTTCATGGGGTGTGAGTAAGGTTTATCATTACACACTCACAATTTCTACAATTTTCTACCCTCAGATGTTCCAAGCCTATTATGAGGAAAACCTACTGCTCCACACTTCTCCTTCAACTATGTAAGGCGCTAGGTTCGTTTAGTTGCAATCTTGCATGGCTGATTTCATCCAGAGCATGGATCGGTTCTACGCAGGCATGTTTACTTCTCGGTCCAGCAAACCTGCGTAACTCACTTGTCCTGCTAGTATGCGCTCATGTGCCTTCCTTCGCTCGCAACGGGCCGAATGTTTGACCTAGGATATTTCAAAATACCGTTCTTTGCCGCTAGCTGCGTCCTCGTCGCGTGCACTTTCCTAATCGCGGAATGCACTCAATTCTGGCAGCTCTTCCTGACACAGGGTGTCGGTCTGGGAGTGAGCTGCGGTTTCCTATTTGGTCCCGCAGTCGTCATCGTGTCACATTGGTTCTCCAAGAGACGTGGCTTGGCTTTATCCCTCACCACCGTTGGGACTGCGCTTGGCAGCATCGTGTTTCCTGTGACGGCACAAAATTTGATTCCATTAATTGGGTGGGTTTGTTCGATCAATCGAAGAACAATTCATATACGCTCATACAATTACAGGTTTAAATGGACAGTTCGCGTGTTTGGATTCATTTTGATGGCCACCCTGGGGACAGCCAACGTTGTATGTTGTCGGCACCTGTAGATGCCTCTTTCTTTGACTCATTCCTTTCAAGTTACTGAAACGACGACTTCCCCCTGTCAACGTTCGTGGGGGACTCTTCAATCTCAAAGCATTCCGCAACAAGGCATTTACCGTCTATTGTATCTCGGGAATTACAATACTTTTAGGTTTTTATACAGGTACGATCCTTGTGCTTATCATAGTGGTTCTTAACATTTTGGTTCCATCAGAGTTAATATATCTCTCTGTGAGCGCCGCAGCAATTGGCGTCTCAACAGATTTCTCATTTTATATACTCGCGATCGCCAATGCAGCATCTGCATTGCGTGTGTCATTTGGGCTGATGTCAGATAGAATTGGTAGGTCTCGATAGCTGCGGACTGTGGTAACATCAGTTGATAAGTTGACAGGTGCTATCAACACCATGGCAATTATGACTACTGTGACGGGAATTGCGACAATTGCTTGGCCATTTACTGAAAATGAATCCCAGCTTATTGCAATTGCTGCCATTTATGGGTACGCGCTGCACTTATTCACAACTAACTGCTCGACTCACTCATCCAGTTTCTCCCTCGGAGCATATGCATCTCTCTACTCTGCACCTCTTGTAGCAATGGGACAGATGGAAGATGCGGGACGTCGGGTGGGAATGTTCGTGTCCCTCCTTGCCTTTGGAGGCATTGCAGGTCCTCCGATATCAGGCGCTATCAGTACCACGACCGGGGGGTTCATCGCCGCGGGTTATTATTCAGGTAAGTTTATGACGCGCGATCCTTGAGTGGACATTGACCTTGCTCAGGTGGCACCATTATATTTGGTGTTGTATTGCTACTTGTGGCGCGGTATCTCCATCTTGGACGGCTATGGGGCAAGTTTTGAACGATCGTTCAGTGAGGCGAATATAGTATGACCAATGTACTCTAGAATGGCACAAATGGAGTGAATAATTTATGGGTGGTGCCGGGCACCACCAACGCTCCATGTCAATTGTAATAATTTGTTGACCATGGAAGGTGGGCCCAGGTTCGAGCTTTTTAGTTTTATCTGTCTGATTGGTGAACAAAATGAAGACCAGAGATGTAATATATTGTCCGGCACTTTCGACATGGTTTTTAGCATTTGTCTCATTTTAAGCTATATATCGTCTAAGTGACAAACGCAGCATTCTGAAACGAGTCCTCTATCGACCGGCAGTAAAATTTGTTTAGAAGCAGTCCCGTCGATCAACCGAGCAACAAACTTCTAACTCGCACACGGTGCCATCAACCATACCGCAACGATGTGAAAGTAGAACCACGACTCACTGTCGCACTAGAAACATATATAGATGATCTACCTCGCCGGTGAGTTATGTGGTTAAATTCAGGATGCAAACTACTCATACTCACGCAGTTTTTATCAGGGCAGTGCCTGCAATTTGATTGACGCACGCAAAAGATAGGACATACTCCAACTTTGCCGTCGGCGTCGGCGTCAGTGGGCCTGGCAGATAATGATACTGCCAAAGTAGTAACAATAGCGAGGACAAATGGGAAACGCATTGTTTGTGAGTAGATGATAAATCTATGGGATAAAACAAATCTGAGGATAGCATGAACTGGACGCCTTGCTTTTATGTGCTGGAGTCGTTCTTCATGGCGATTAGAACCTCTGAGGCTCCACGAAATCCCCATTTCAACAGAAAATATCTGCAACGCCAGCAGATTGCCACCTCAGGCTTATCCTGTGAGGGGTAATTTGGTGTGGGACGACCGTACTATCCACTCCCACATAAGAAAAGTCGGTGAAATAGTTCTGGTTGAGGGCCGAGGGCCGGGCTCAGCGTCTGTAACCAGACCAGAAACGCAGACGCTATGATATTCCGTTATTAATTCAGAATGTCACAGATTTGAACGCACTGGGTCAAAACTCTTAATTTTCCTATTCCAGAATTCTGGTTCAGGAGTGATAAGAACGTTGTCCATTTATCAACTGAGAGATTGTGGCTCGAGGCTTGAAGGCTAGCTTAAGCTTGAAGCACCAGCTGTTGCTGGAGCGTGAC